AAAAAATGTAGCTGAGCGGGGGGGGGGGGGGGGGGGGGGTCGACAACCAACCCCCATCTGGATCCGCCCCTGTTCGATTTACACAAGGAGTGCTTCTTATGTGTCTAGTTAAACCCCATTTCATTTCATTTCTACCAGGCTTCTCTAGTCATTATCAAGCAATGATTAAATATAAATGTCGTTGCAGTTGTTGTTGTTTATTACAAATTCAACAACAACAACATTTATATAAATATATAACGAGACAATATTATACATATAAACAGCAAAACTTGATTAATGCGGACCAACCAGAGACACCCTTCTAATTACCTTATCAGGAAATCTAACTTAATTAATCATACAATTATGAAAGTGATCAAGGTTGAGTCAGGTAATAATAACATCCAATAGGACAAATACCAGGTAAATACTTGAAATTAAACGTACAGATTAATGGATAACTGTCATGGAAGTATTGACAATGATTTGACCAGGTTTTAAAAATCACAACACCCAGAAAAGAACCTGGCAGAGGATAATCAGGGGCGGATTCGGGCATCTTCAATAGAAGGCTTGATCTCGCTTTAACTGCGTACATCTTATCAAGGCCTTCACGTAAACCCTGCATATATTGCGTCACTAATTTCGATTGTGTACAAGCCCAACTTGTGAGCCTATCAGATTCCTCGATCGTCGCGAATACCAAGTCTTACGCTTTCAAGCTAAAATGTCTACCTGTGATAATCGAGTTGCAAATTTCAAGGTTCATTCAATGTCAAGGTTTCCATGGAGGTCGCGATGTCACAACCTCTGACTGGACGCTACAGCTCACGTGTCTGTAGATAACATAGCTATAAGTTCGGGAATTGTGAAGTAAACAAGCAACGTCCAGATGTTGTGAAACTTGCAGTAGTTGCTTCAGGAACATGAGGTGGGGGGCAATTTTTTTTTTTTTAAAACAGCACTTTTATGAGAAACGTGTCACGGTCATGTGCTTTATCGTTTATCGTCAGGTGGAAGGATGGGTGGGCATTCAAAGCGTGACATACTCATATAGACGTGTGACATCAGAATTATTGCTTCGGCAAACGGGGTGCTTGATTTCTCTCTTTAAAAAGCTCAGTGTGTATGTATGCCTACGTAATTTGTATGTATGCCTACGTAATTTGAAGAGGATGGTGGCGTCATGCATTGTCAACTGTCAAATTTTCTCAACAGGAGCCTGGCAAAACCCCTCCTGCAAAAATTCCTCCGCCCCTGATAATCCGGAAATTTACTTATGCTACGATATTTATAATAAATTGAAAGCAACTAAGGACAAATACAAGCTATGAATGGGTTCTTGCGGGCCCGTAGCCAGCTCATAAAATTTGGTGGGGCTACGGGATGTTTTGGAGGGACTGAGGATGTGGCCGGCTAAGAACGCTCCTAAGAAATCATTATTGTTGGCAAAATATTTGGGGGGGGGGGGGCTAATTCGATTTTTTGGTGGGCTCCCCCCCCCCCCCGTGGCTACGGGCCCGGGTTCTTGCTCAATCAAGTCACGGCTGCTAAAAATAGATTGGGTAGTGTTTTTGCTGCTTGTCTGCGATGTCACCTCGGTGGAATCGGACGTTAAATAAAGCTATTTCACACATTTTCTTGCTATTAAAATGTTTTGAAGGGGACTTGAAGCAGACATTTAAATTACAGATTAGATATATAGTTTAAATATGTTTTTAATCCAAATATATTCTTAATTGGTGTACTGCTTCACTATTACACACTGGGGTTATGTCCCTTTCTTACATTTACGTATTAATCATCCAATCTTTGACGTATTTAATATAGGCCTAATAACCAGGAAAATCATGATGAAAATTATGCGCCGACTGGGCTAATGAAGAGGGCATACGCCATACAATGTGCTATGAGGGGAATTTTACTCGGGCAGCGGCACTATGGCCTGTCCTTATATCGAATTCCAACTGCCAAGGGATATTTTACGTGCATGCCAATGTATAAACGTACAGCTCCTTGGTTTTTAATCCCATCCGAACGACTAGACAGATGTCCCTGTCAGGCTCTCCGTCCTAGCTGTATGTTCACGTATTAATTAATCTTCGAATCTTGACGTATTGAATATCCCGGAAAATCGCGATGAACTTTCTCAGCCAACACCGGGGTTGAACACGGTACCTCCAGGTTAGCAAGCCAATCTGTTTTTTTTCTTAAAAAGAAATACAAGATGAAATTTTCACATTCCTATTTTTTCACTGTTACTTCACTATATATCCCTCAACCCCTCTAAAAAAAAATTTTTTCTAATTTTTAAATCGGAAACTTTCTTAAAACCCTTTTGCGGATACAAAGGGTGTTTCGGGACTCCGTCTTCGTTAGCCCAGTTTAGGAGCAGAACAGTAGGACGTTAAACCCCATTGCATTTCATTTTTGTGGGGAACTGGTTCATAATTGTCTAGCGAGAATTTTATATTCATTGTCGATAATGCTGCAAATACAATGGAAGTGAGACAGTGGCAACATTCACCATTTGACAAGAAACTATAAGAGTATTGAATTATCGGAAACAAGCAGTAGCGGATTATCAGTGAGGCTGAAGAGGCTGCAGCCTCAGGCCCAAAGATTTTGTAAAAAAAAAATTTTTAGACTTGTCTGATACGATTACGCATAGACAATGAATGTTAGGGGGTGGGGTTTAGGCCCAACAGGAATAACATAGGCCCTGACCCGAAATTAATTCGGCCCACGACATTTTAAATAGGCCCTATTTAAAAACTAAATAGGCCCTCCAGCAACTGCCGCCTCAGGCCTTGGTGGAGCTTAATCCGCCACTGGAAACAAGGGGTCTTATGGAACCCCTCTCGCCCCCTCGCAAATGGCAAAAATCACGTGGTTTCAACTGCGGTTTTCAATATTATAATCATAATGCTTAAAGGAGCTAGAAATTGACACAAATGGGTCGCGACGCATACAATAATGTAATAGGAATGTATATTAATTGATTTACATTCAATCGTTTCTGTTTTTACTGTAATTTCTAATCAGTTAGGTTCGGCGAAATACGCCAGTATTCTCAATCGAATTTCAATCTCTAGCGTCCGGCTATTCCAGTCTATGCCGATAGTATTTATTGGGCATGCTCTCCAGATAAAATATAGCGTCACCGTTTGACATGACTTGTGGAATATGCCTAGCCTAGTTTTTCGAGTCCCTTATTACAAATAGCACTGAAACGCATTATGGTACACGATTCGTGAACCAATTGTAAAATGTTTATTTTGTCTTAAATATTGGACATCAGAAGGCCATCTTTTCCCGGTAAGATCAGAACATCAATGTTGATTTAAACCGACAAATAATTCGTGTTTTCAATGTCGAAGATTTTGGATGATATTCAGTTAGAGACTTAGCTACTTTAAATATCAAACATAATTATATCGTGGCTCAGATATGCTACAAATTGACTCTTGCATGTTCCACGCAGCCCAATATTACTCGGTGGAACTGGGAGAAGCTCCCCCCCCCCCCTTCCTCGCTCCTCCCTTCCCCGCACACACATTTAGATATTGGTTTTTTTGGGGTGCGCCGGGCGTGATCATGTTCCTGACACCCCCTCCCCTCCTCCTTTGAACATTTTGATGACAAGTGTCTATAATTAGCTACGAGAAAGTAGCTAAAAACGTTGAGAGGGCTGAGAGATGTTTGTTTTTTTTTTTATCTAGTGCCTAATTAATCTGTTCTGCGCTCGGGGCTAGATTTATATTTGAAAGGTTTCTTACTGATGATATTGTGTTGATGATTCTAGTAATCTAGATTTGAAAACAAATTTAGGTCCTCTACTAACCCCTTCAAAAGACGATTCTACATGGAAATGACAATTAAGTTATTTGCCGATTTGTATGGTTTAAAAAATAGGCCTTCTACATTATATATCATATCTCCACAGTCAATACCTCAAATATACATATTTTTTTTTTTAATTGATTATTATTCAGTCTTTATATGAAGCTTTAATTAATCGTAATTGAATAAAATTGAAGATGCTTGTGGCAATAAGGTGGACAAGTGCCATTGATTTTAAATAAGATCATTTGATTTTTTTTCAAATAAATCCATTTTTAGCAGATTTTCTTAACAACTTGTTCATTTTTATCATTCTGATCAGTATATATGTCAATTTTAGTATTCTGGTATAAAAAATATGCAAAAATACTATTTTTGTCACTTGTCCACCTTTTTGCACTAGCATCTTCAATCATGCACCCAAAAGCTATCTGTCTGGGGTCTTTGCTAGTTCAGTAGTTGCCGACAAGGTTTTTCGCGTGATGTGTAAAATAAAAATAATATTCATTCAACTGAATGGATCCAGGATGTGCGTCCATAAAATTGTTGCATCTGGATATATATTTCTTAAAATATCCATTTATTCCTTTTGAAACCTTTGTTAATTTTTTTTTTCTAATTTTATAAACGGAAACTTGTTTAAAGTGCATTTGACAGATCGCCATTCATAACAAGCCATTGACCTCTTGAAACTCGTCCCTGATTGGACAACATCTTTGACGTCAATCAGTGTCACGGTCGACGGTAAAGCTCATATTTTCTAAACATTATTTAGGGGATTTCAAAGAAGTAATTTGATATTTTATTTCAGTAGGTAGCTAGGTTAGATACCAAGCCATGTAACTACGATGTGTAATTTGGATGTAAACTCGAAAATGTTGGTGAAATTGAGGGAAATATCTAAACCACGTGGGAGCAGGGAGAGGGGAAAGCGTGTTGGGATGGTCTATATTTGTAAATAGGTTGATCAGGTTAGAGATCGGTTGTGAATATTTCAGGATGTAAGCATTTGTGATTGGAAATTTGGCAGCTAGAGTTATGTGCATGTAGTACCCGTCTTGTGTTTGCATTCCTATATATTAGCTGCATAATATTTTATATTGTTGAAATTTAGACATTTCTAAACCCCCTCCCAAACCTCACTTCCGTTGTCCCGGAATATCACTACGCCGGCCGGTACTGTAGTTGGGGCATTTTTAGTTACCCTCTCTATGTGATATAGTACTAGAAAATTCTCCTGTTTGTCGCCGCTATTCTGTCGTGCATGAAGATTCCATGCTAGTTTCATGACTTTTATATTGCAGTAGATTAATTAGCAATGTCCAAACTATACTTGGGTAACCTGTCGACAGATGTCACGGAAGGAACGCTGCGTGACTTGCTTGAAGAGAAAGGGGTTACGGTCAACAGTTTACTTCTAAAGAGTGGTTTCGCATTCGTTGAAGTCCCCGATCAAGCCAACGCAGACAAAGCAATTGACAGTTTAAACGGTAAGCTAGGGTTATAATGTGTTCTGCGAAACATATTGAGAAAGAATAAAATTTCGATTCGAACCATATGCATCTAGGGCCGATTTACTCATTACGAACGCCTCCACTAAGATCCAAAATGGCTGGACATTGACCGGCTCGAAGTGTGGTGTGCATGATCTTCGTCAAGGGAGCGATGGGGTCATTTTAAACGTTCGATTACCGAACCTTTGATAGCAAATATTGAAAGCACAAAAGCACATAATATATGGTACGTTCACTGTAGTTGCATTCCTTTTCCCTTTTGCTTTTTTTTTGTGGTTATGTCAAAACGCAAAGCTCAATGAAAAATCAAAAGGTTATTTTTGCTTTCGATTCGTGGGAATACTGTGATTCTTTTCACCCTTCCGCCCCCACCTTTACATCTGCCAAAATAAGCACTTCAGTGAGCTGCTGGTCAAAGCTGCAAGTTGAAATGATTACAAACCCAGACCATCCATGCAATTGTTTCGTGTTTGCTAGTTGACCTTGTTTATTGCAAATGAATGAAACAATAGAGGTAGAAGAGGCTGAGGCAGACCAGTTGTCCTGTAGCCTGCCTCCATAAATTAAAACAATGAATCTGGATGCAGCAAAGTTTGAATTTTAGCTCTATTCCTAAACTCCTGATAAACTAATTGAATTGGAATGTTGATAGTAATACAAGATTGGTTGACGTCACATGTCAATGAAATGATAAAGAGAAACTAGAAAATTGACTTTTGAGAAGAGGAAGTCTTTTCTGTTTTTGGCTTGTTAAGTAGAAGGCTTATTTTCGCTTTAACTCTGTACATCTTATCAATCCCTTCACGTAATACCCTGCATATTTCGGCACTAATTTCGATTGGATACTGACCCAGCTGTGGATGCTGTCGGATTCCTTGATCATTGCGAATACCAAGTCTCGCAACTTATAGCTGAAATGTCTACCTGTGAATCGAGTTTCAAAGTTCAAGGTTCGTTCAATGTTTGATTGAAGTGTGATTGTGTCACAACCTCTGATTGAACGCTATCGTTGACGTTTCCGCATTAAAGGGAGATAACGTAGCTATAAGTTCGGGTATCGCAGACCATGTCATGTAGCGACGTCTAGATATTATAAAACTCACGTTCGTTACCTGAGGGACATGAAACTTGGGAGGCGTTGGAAGGTTATGTCAAGTAGAGTACAGTACAGGTATTAAACTGTGAGACGCAGTTGTCTTTACCAGTGAGATTCACACAACTTCGGTGGCAGCACAGAATTCTAAAGACCACATCCTGCCAGTACCACCTATGAGTTTTTGCTGAATATTATGATTGACCTTTTTAGAAACAAGACTAGTTGAATCTGAAATGGCAAGATATGCGATCATTGATATTTAGCTTTTGTTTTCTTAAAGTAACATTATGAGTGATTAGATAAAGACTTCATAGTTCCAGGGCTGTCGGTAATTTTTCACAGATGATTAGCAGCACTGCTAATCAAAAAGTCCAATTTTGCCAAATTTGATTAGCAAATTTAAAAATTGATTAGCAGTTTTTCAGTTTCAACATCAAACACCTAAATAACAAGATTATTTTAATTGATAACAAATGATTAGATTTCATTCTTTAGATTTTTTAGAAATTTAGAACTTCTACAGGTAGCTGTGAACATTTCTGAATGAATGTAGACTTTTGGTTAGGCCTTATGTCTGAAGCAAATTCTTGGCAGTGGCTTCTTATTTCTTCGTTAAAAAACAATTTCGTCTGCTTTTTATCGTGTGTTATTATTTTTGTTCAATCGGAAGCACGCGGTATTTTATGAATAATCTCGATTAACTAGACGCACGCGATATAAACAATAATAGTTTACGGGAATTCTTACTTTGATTTCTCATTTTACAACACGTTTACACGTATTTATTTTTTATATTTTATTTACAATATGTGGGGGATACACTGAATTTATTTTTTTTCAAATTGAATACTGATATAATTACTCAAAATTGGCATGTCTCGCAACGTGAGTGGTACTACTTGATTCCCTATTTCCGGTTTAATCGTCCCGATTCATAGAGTTATGTCCCTGTATTATATAGTATAATGAATTGAATCTGGGTAGTTCGAGAAGAAAATGTCACACGGAGAATTCCGTTTTGTTTATAAAATTTATTTGATATTTTATACACGTTGAAAGTGTTGAGAAATGTGGATAAATCTTTGTGTCAATATCCAAAATGACAGGCATATTAATGATTCGCAGTTACTGCGAATCAAAAACGTTAGATTTTAATTTTTGATTAGCAACGGACAAAATATGTATCGCAAATTGCGCTGCGATACTGGTTGTCGGCAGCCCTGCATAGTTCTCACTTTGATAGTTAAAAAATAGATAACGCAAATAGAATATATTGAAAATTTCAGTCAAATTGCTTCACTCTGAACCGAGATATTTAGCTTTTGAATTTTAGGTTAGCCTCGATCTTCATTACTAAAGTCGGTACAATAAAAAACAAAGTCGCGATCATCCATTTTTACGCTCAGTTATTTTTCAAAAAATGGATTCCAATCCGTTAAATAACGCAGGCTAGCGATGGCATCAAGAGTTGATTATTGTCTGGATAAGTTAATTTATGTCTAGAATTAATAATTTAGATAACATTACAAGTCTTTCTTTAGGCCTGAAATGTTATCTAAATTATCAATTAGAAATTAATTAACTTATCCAGACCATAATAAACTCTCGATGTCAAGGCTAGCCTTCGATGTTGGCTGGATTAGATTCCTATATGCCGCTAACGGCATGTGGTAATTAAATCAAGAAAAGTGGATAATCGAGACTATGCTGTTGATATTAATGATTTTAGTAATGATGACTGAGACTATGCAAAAATTTCACCCGCTTCTTTCTCGGCTCATAGTGGATCAATTTGACTGAAATTTTCAGCAAATTACCTTTACACTATCTAGTTTTTAACTATTATAGCGAGAACTGCCATCTTTATTATCTCCCATAATGCATCTTTAAGTCATAGATAATGATATTTTTTCTGAAAAATGCAAATGACTCGCCAGGACACGCATAGTGATTTGTTTGTGTATTGCTGAATTTTAATGTTAAACATAATAAATACCAGGTAGTGAATAATAGGAAATAAGAAAACCATTACTCATTTCACCTTGTCATTGAATTCCTAGAATTTTGTGTTGTTTCAGTTTCAGTATTATAATTACGTATTATATTTACCTGTAGTCTGCTTGTCAATCATACACCTGTCTATAGTCTATGTCAATCATGTACTTAGAAACTGTCATTAACTTATATTTATTAAGTAGACTATTAAAAAAAATTCAAAATTTTTTATTCACCCTTATGAAATGTCGTTTAGCTAATGAACTGGGCTAATGAAGACAGGCATACGCCATACAGTGTGCTATCAGGGAAATTTTGCCCGGACAGTGGCACTCTGACCTACTCTTTCTTTTGATTTCCAACTGCCATGGCGGTGTGTACAAGGGACCTCGGTTTTTCATCCCATCCAAACAACTAGACGGCTGTCCTTGTCATGCCCTCCGTCCTGCATCACTGACAAGGGGGAACCACGCCGGAAAATCGGGACGAACTTTATTGGCCAATGCAGGGATCGAGCACCCTTGTGACAATTTTGTGTAAAGTTGCCCAACCCTCAATTAATGCAGATTATATGAGCAAGTAAAATTTTCACAAATACTCGTTTAGATAAAATGTAAATATTCACCATAAATGACAGTTTTGTTTAAACTTCTTCCACTTGAATGCAGTTGACTTAAAAATGCAAATATGTTTTCTTGAATATACTTAATCTAAATACAGTCACAGACGTGCAGTACATGTAAATAAAAATAAACTTTTAATTCAGCCTCCCGTTGTCATTATACCAGGTGGAGGAGAACAGTGGGATGTTAAAACCCCTTTTCATTTTATTCCGCCTAATGAATTTTGTTTAAATATAAGTTCCATCACTTTTGCAATTAACAAATGTTTTCTAGAGTATTCTGATTCTTAAATAAATAGGTACATGTCCTGCCACTTTTTATCAATTTCAAATCATTAAATTTTTATTTGGATGATGACAAGTCGGTTTCAAGTTCCTCCACTGGAGACCTATACAATAAGGAAATAATGTTTTCATAAATATTTTTATGATTTTTGGTAGCTGAAAGGTCTTGGCATCATTAAACGTCTGTCATTGAGTCGAGTGGGCTCGTTTTGGTTCCCAGCTTGTATATGACAAGGAGTAGGGTCGCCTGTCCAACTTCATGGGTTTCTCCAAGTCCTATGGTTTCCTCCTACTTCTAAAAGACCCAACATGTACATGTATGTACAACTGAATTAATGAAATAAAATTGAACTGTATGTTAGTCCCAAAATGACCTAGTTAGTGTCTAGTGGATGTTAAACCCATTTTCTCTCTATGAATAGTTTTATATGAAATACGCAGCTAGTGTTATTTTTGATAGAATGTGTAAACAGTGAATTTTATTGTTTTGTAGCTTGTTACATCAAGTAACGGTTTGTATTGTAATTTAATAGTACATGTAAATCCTATGAATTATTTAATCTATTGGTCGATACATTGATTATAGTTCCATTTTGCTGATTAAGCATAAAGTTAAAATAATAGACATGCAAGTTTTGATTGCTAATTAAATGTACATGTACCAGTACTATTAATTAAAATCTGTTCATGCCAATCCAGCTTCTATTAATTTAGTTTAACCATTTCAGACAGACATATATGTAGGCCTGTCAATGCTAAGTGGTGATATTATCATAATAATTCTTTAGTAGGCTGATGTTTCCAATATTAAGACTGCTTGCCACTGCTGTTGCAAAATTCACCGTATATGCTTTGTTTGACTGCATTGTAAAAAGTAAGAATAAAGAATGGAGGAGTGATCACATCGGTTTATTTTGCATTCACTGATGTAAGGCGACCACTGGATATAGTCATTGTAAGATGGGAACCTCAATTACATGTACACTGTACATGCACAGACTGGGATATACCTAACAAAATGTCACCTAACAAGTTGTACACTTCACAGTTTTAGATTTGTGACAGACATTTTCTAAATGTATTTAATAAAAACACAGAAAATTAAAGATACATTATGGGAGATTAGATAAAGAGTTGGCAGTTCTAACTATAGTTATAATAGCTAAAAACTAGATAATGTAAAGGGAATTTGCTGAAAATTTCTGTCAAATTGATCCACTCTGAACCAAGATTTTAGCGATTATATTTTGGGCCTAGCATCGATCATCGTTACTAAAGTCGATACAATAAAAAACATAGTCTTGATTATCCTTTTCATGATTAAATCATGAATGGAAGTCAAACAGCAAATCGGAACCTAATCCAATAAACATCGCATGCTAGCGATGGCATCGATAGTTGATTATGGCCTGGATAAGTTTATTAATGTCTAATTAATAATTTAGATAACATTTCAGGCCTAAAGAAAGACGTGCAATGTGCAGATTTAGCTCTTGCATAATGTACATGTATGTTTAACAGAAATGAAATGAGGGTTAACATACAAAGTGCTATAAGTGAAATTTTGCCCCGACAGCGGCACTGTGGCCTACTCTATATCGAATTGCATTCCAATGTGTACACGGGACCTTGGTTTTTTGCACCATTTGAAAGAAGAAAGCTGTCCTTGCCAGACTCTCCATTCTGCACCACTGACAATGGGGAAACCACACCAGAAAATCCTTATGAACTTTCTCGACAGTCAGATACTCTTGATTTTTAACAGATCTACAAACGATTGGCAGTTAATGATTTAATTAAAAATGGATAATCAAGACTTTGTTTACTGTTGTAACAACGGTAGCAATAACAATAGAGATTCTGCTCCCAACAGTCCTAACGTCACTCAGAATGAAGTAATTTTATTGAAATTTTTAATATATTCCCTTTTAATTATCTAGTTTTTAACTATTATACTATAGTGAGCACTGTCGGCTCTATCTAAATCTTACATAATGCAACTATTGAATGTCTATGTTAAACTTGGAATTTGTTATATACTGTAGAAAAAACAAAAAAAGGCCCTTCTTCCATGTACACATTTTTGCTGATTTTTCCACCCGCAAAAAAAACAATCTAATGCAAATGGAATAGAACTGTTTTCATATAACTTGCGTATATTCGTGGGAAATCTCGCACATGGAAAAGGGCTTAACTGACTGCACCCTAGCTTTATAATCATTGATGAATGATGGGAATTATTCTGGTTAAAATCACCCAGAAAATTCATCACATAATTTAACACATACATTGTACATGGATGCTTGAGAAAAAAAATATCAACTCAGAAAGGAATGTATTTTAATTGAGGATAAACTCAAATGGCCTTCTTCAGTGCAAAAACCCAAAATGATTGCACCGAATGTTAATAGGTAGAATTAATTACACCTGATGTTTACCTGTTTGTTTCCATTGATACAAGGTATACAATAGTATGTTATTTACTACCTGATTAAAGTATACTGTTTTAATTACATGATTCTAGTTTTAGTTGTTTATAATGGACATGTCTTGGCATGATTATATATTATATTTATATATTATGTATTTATTTATTGTATATTTGTTCAGGGTGCATCACATATATATATAGTTTGATTATATCATTACTGGTAGTCTGATCATTTTCCATGTTATACAGAACCCTATTCTCCCACCCACCCATCCCCACCGTAAATCATATCATTACTTTATGTGTGACTTACTATAGTAGACTGTCATGTATTTATTTCCATCGTTAGACATTTCTCTGTCTTACCCTTATTGTTAAAAGTCCCAAAATAATAGGGGTGAGTCAACAATGGGGTAATGGGGAATTTCCTTCAGAATTTTTTATATTTGCTAATTATTGGAAAGGGCCAAAACTAATCGACTCTACATATTTGAAAATATAGATTACGATACAAGCTTTGCTTACCGTTATAGTTGCTAATTATTGGGAAATTGGGGTGGGTGGACTGGGAGCTGGAAGGTAAATTACAATTAACGACCCACAATGAACATATTTGAAAGTATAGATTATTTGCTGAACGTAGATGTGATTTAATTAGTAAGTTATATTTAAAGTAGTATGTAGTGTTGTCCATCCTTCTAACCAACCGTTAATTATATTTTCACCTTGTATTATCTTATTTTTCCAGGCTTTAACCTTCTTGGTTTTGTCATGCAAGTAGAACCCTCTGTTGCTCGCCGCAGGTATGTCAATCAATCCTATTTTAGTATTTGTCTAGTTGTTTGAATCGTATGAAAAACTGACATCCCGTGTGCATGTAAAAGATCCACTTGCAGTTGGAATTCGATGTAAGAGTAGATCGTAGTGCCGCTGTCTGGGCAAAATTTCACTCATAGTACACTGTATGGCGTATACCCGTCTTTTTTTTTTTTTTTTAGCCCAGCTCGGAGCAGAACAGTAAGACGTTAAACCCCATTTTATTTCATTTATTTCGATATTTTCAGTGTTGTAAATTTAAAAGTTCCTTGGAAGATCTCTAATTCTGTATACTTCATTTGTACACAGAAATCTTGCATAAAATTTCAAAATTCTTTCACACAAACATATCCTTCCTTTATCCGCATATGTAGGATCCATGTGATTCCCCCAAAAAGACGGGGGTTGGATGGCCGAATGGTTAGCGTGTGCGCGCTGTATTATAATCGCTTGTTGAGTCAATTTGCGTGGTTTCAATTCCCCGGTTGTACGTGACCAGGAGTTGGGTCGCCTTTCCAACCTTGTGGGTTTTCTCCGGTTTCCTCCCACTGCTAAAGACCCCTACTCGCAAGTGAATTATGGAAATAAAATTGAACCATATGTTAGTCCCTAAATGAACTAGTTTGTGTTGAGTGTTAAACTCTCTCTCTCTCTCTCTCTCTCTCTCTTCAAAGGCTTTTTGTCCCCGGCCTTTTGGAGAAAGCAGGGGACTATTAAAATGTCGGTCTGTCCTTCACAATTTTTGGGACACTTCTTGAATGTCTTGAGTTCAATCATTAACATTTCCCGCTAAGCAATTTCATTGGTCAATGCTTTGGGACAAGGTAACTTTGATTCTAACTGGAGCATGATCAGTTTGGTTGAAAAAGATAAATGTGCAATTAATTAATGTCACTATCTGTTTATTTTCGGATTTTGAAAAAGATCAATGTGAAATTAATCGGAACATAAACCTTACTCGCACTGTTGGCTTGTACTTCTAATTAAGTAATCTTCAATTTATATGGTAATGATTAAATTTTCAATTAACACGTTCGCAGTGCTTTGAGGTCAACTGACCAAAGATGCGTATTATTGGATGTATGAACCATTGAATGAAATATTGATGTCAGATATAATTGTCCCCTGTCTTTCATAAAAAAAACCGGGACAATTAAAGTAGGTCTGTTACACTTTCTGGGACACAATAACTCTCCTAATTGAGGTAGAATGTTCAAACTTGGTGTAGGTGTTTATTAGGTCAATGCCTTGATGGAGTTAAAAGATGAGCATATTCTGATTATGGTAAGCAAAGATAAGCAATTTGATTGGTTGATGCTTTGTGACACGATAGCCTTTTTTATAGGCCCACATTTAAATGTGGTCGTATATTGTCGGTCCGGTGTCCACAATTGCTTGTGGATAATCTAGAGGCTAAAGTTAATATCCGATTGACATTAAATTTATACACAGTGTTTAAGGTCTTGAGACGAAGAAGCCTATTGATTTTCAGCGATTTCCGATAATTACTGGTTATGGCCCTTGATCACTTCAAAAAATCTTGTGGACGCTCTAGAGGCCAAAGTTAATATCCGATTGACTTCAGCTTGATACACAGAGTTTAAGATCTTGAGACGAACAAGTATATTGATTTTCAATGAATTTTTATGATTTGGAACAGCTAAATCAATGATATTAAAAGTTTTGTATACAAAACGTTAGCATGGGGCAGAACTTTATAAAAACCAAACAAATTCTAATGGTTTTCTGAGTTTTTGCTCTTTTTCAGATTTTAGTGTATTATAAATGTTTCATTACCGAAAAAAGTAAAAATATGCGACAACTCTTGTTGACTGCCCGGACGATTTAGCTGCTGTGGGCGTATGTTTTGTTGCCTGGCAACCTATCTTAGTTCTAATTAAGTGAGAGTGATGAAACTTGGTGTAGGTGTATAGTTTCATGACATCAATACCTTGACTAAGTTTGATAAGAGCATTTTCTGCTCAGGGTAAGCAGAGATAAGCAGTTTGATTGGTTGTTGCTTTGGGACAGGATAACTTTAGTTCTATTTAAATGAGAGTGATGAAACTTGGTGTATAGTTTCATGACAAAAATACCTTGATTAAGTTCGATAATGAGCATTTTCTGCTCGGGGAAAGAGCTATAAGCAATTTCATTGGTTGAGACTTTTGAGCACAATAACTCTCCTTATTTTGGGATTTTGACGGGACATCAGCCTCACTTTTGGCTTGTATTTCTAACCAAGTGGTCTTCAGTTGATATGGTAATGATTAAATTTCCAATTAACACGTTCGCAGTGCTTTGAGGTCAAACTGACCAAAGATGCGTATTATTGGATGTATGAACCATTGGTTGAAAATACTTAACCAGAAAAGTATTTATCCGGTGGTTATTTCCAATAAAAGTATGGCAATTTTGGTATGGAAAGTAGAACAATCCAATCTTACTAGAAAAATACTGGATTCCATGAAAAACACCCATGGATTGCATACAGGGCAAAAATGTTAGGATTTCCCTAACCGGCAACACAACTCGTAACGTCAAAGGTTGCGTAATTTCCCTGCGTTAGTGACTGTTTGATGTATATGTTGATAAACTTGATGGCACAACAGTTTGAGTTAAAATCCACGGGGGAAAAAAACCTTGGGCAGTGGATAATTGGAGAATTTATTGGGCTTCGATATTTGTAATAGTCGGCGAAACAACATCTTGTATATGCAATAAATTCTCCTCAAGCTTTGCACCTGTTGCTAGGTACCGAGGGAGGTATGTCACGTGACACAAACATGACGTCTTCTGATCGATTTTTTATAGCAAGGGTATTCCCTGACAATAACAATGTTATGAGAAGGATTTGAAGCAAAATTATGATAAATTAATTAGTTTGAATGTGTTTTTAGTCCAAATATATCATCAAATCACCCAGTTTGTACGCGGGGATGTATCTTTAATATGTTGATGTCAAATATAATTGTCCCCCACCCCATCTTTCAACAAAAACAGGGGACTATTAAAGTTGGTCTGTTACACTTTTTGGGAAACGATAACTTTCCTTCTAATTGAGGTAGAATGTTCAAACTTGGTTTAGGTGTTTATTAGCTGAATGCCATGATGGAGTTAAAAGATGAGCATATTCTGCTTTTAGGGTAAACAGAGATAAGCCATTTGATTGTTGATGCTTTGGGACACGATAACTTTTAATTCTAATTAAATGACAGCGATGAAACTTGGTGAATAGTTTCATGACATCAGTACCATGACTAAGTTCGATAATGAGCATTTTCTGCTCAGGGTAAGCAGAGCGATAAGCAATTTGATTGGTCGAGATTTTGGAAGACAATAGCTCTCCTAATTGACCTTGGTTGTTCAAACATGGTGTAGGTGTTCATTATATAATTGTCTTGACGGAGTTCGATCATTAACATTTCCCATTAAGGCTAAGCAGAACTAAGCAATTTCATTGGTCGATGCTTGGGGACATGGCAACTTTGATTCTAACTGATGGAGCGTGATGAAACTTAATGTATAGTTGATAATCTGTTTGATTGCTTGATACTTTTGAAAAAGATATGTGCAATTAATTAATATTTTGGGATTTTAGCGGGAGACATCAGCCTTACTGTTTGCTTGTATTTCTAACCAAGTGATCTTCAATTTTTATGGTAATGATTAAATTTCCAATTAACACGTTCGCAGTGCTTTGAGGTCAACTGACCAAAGATGCATATTATTGGATGTATGAACCATTGGTTAATATATTGATGTCAAATATAATTGTCCCCAGTCTTTCGTAGAAAATGAGGGACTATTAAAATAGGTCTGTTACACTTTTTGGGACACAATAACTCTCCTTCTAATTGAGGTAGAATGATCAAGACTTTCGAATTGATGTAGATGTTTATTAGGCAAATGTCTTTAAGATACATTTCCGGGTACAAACTGGGTGATTTGATATATTTGGACTAAAAACATATTCAAACTAATTAATTGTCCCCCGCCTTTCGAAGAAAGCAGGGGACTATTAAAATGGGTTCGTCCGTCTGTCTGTCTGTCTGTCTGTCTGTCCGTCTGTCTGTCCGTCCGTCTGTCTGTCCGTCACACTTTTTGGGACACAATAACTCTCTTCCTAATTGAGCTAGAATGTTCAAACTTGGTGTATGTGTTTATTAGGTCAATGCCTTGATGGAGTTCGAAGATGAGCATTTTCCGCTTAGGGTAAGCAGAGATAAGCAATTTGATTGGTTGATGCTTTGGGACACGATAACTCTCTTCCTAATTGGGCTAGAATGTTCAAACTTGGTGTATGTGTTGATTAGGTCAATGCCTTGATGGAGTTCGAAGATGAGCATTTTCCGCTTAGGGTAAGCAGAGATAAGCAATTTGATTGGTTGATGCTTTGGGACACGATAACTTTTAATTGAGCTAGAATGTTCAAACTTGGTGTATGTGTTTATTAGGTCAATGCCTTGATGGAGTTCGAAGATGAGCATTTTCCGCTTAGGTTAAGCAGAGATAAGCAATTTGATTGGTTGATACTTTGGGGCACGATAACTCTCTTCCTAATTGAGCTAGAATGTTCAAACTTGGTGTATGTGTTGATTAGGTCAATGCCTTGATGGAGTTCGAAGATGAGCATTTTCTGCTAAGGGTAAGCAGAGATAAGCAATTTGATTGGTTGATGCTTTGGGACACGATAACTTTAGTTCTAATTAAGTGAGATTGATGAAACTTGGTGTATAGTTTCATTACAGTAATACCTTGACTAAGTTTGATAATGAGCATTTTCTGCTCAGGGTAAGCAGAGCGATACGCAATTTGATTGGTCGAGACTTTGGAAAACAATAACTCTCCTACTTTGATTGTTAGACTATAAGTAAAGATATACTGTTTGATTGTTCAATACTTTGTAAAAGATAATTTGTGATAAATTTATATGTGTCCTCTAATTATTTTCCTATTTCGGCGGGGGACATCAGCCTCACTGTTGGCTTGTTTATCATAATTTTGTTTCAAATCCTTCTCAAAACACTGTAATTGGTCGGGAATATCCTGGCTATAAAAAAATAGAGATCAAAATAGGTCATGTTTGCCTCTCTCGGTACTTAGCAACAGAGACGAAGTTGGGGAATTCATTGCATCCACAAGACAACGTTGTCTTTAATCGCTGACTATTTATTACAAATATCGAAGCCTAATTAAATTATCGGATTATCCACTGTCTTTTTTCTGTCATTTTTATCTCAGAAAGTGTTGTACGTCTAATTCTTCAAAAAGTTTATCAACATGTACATCAAGCGCTCAATTTCCTCGTGCAACCTTCGATGTCACGCGTGCAGACACTCCTTATCGTTGGGCTGTCAATTAGGGAAACCCTTACATTTTTGTCCTGTATGCGCTCCATGAATGTTTTTCAGGGAATCCAGTATTTTACTAGTAAGATTGGATATTTCTACTTTCCATATATACCAAAATTGCCATACTTTTATTGGAAATAACCACCTGAGAAATACTTTTCTTGGAACATAGCTTTAACTGAGTTCAATGATTAATATTTCCTGTTAAAACTAAGCAGAGCTAAGCAATTTCATTGGTTGATGCTTTGGGACAAGATAACTTTGATTCTAACTGATGGAGAGTGATGAAACATAGTGTATAGTTTCACTACCAGGCACTTCAAAACCTGACGGTTTGATCGTCAACATTTTATGCTTGGATTAAGCATAAATAATCTGTTTTGATTGCTGGACACTTGAAAAAGATAAATGTGCAATTAATTAATGTGTCATCTGTTTATTTTGGAATTTCGACGGGGGGACATCAGCCTCACTGTTGGCTTGTTGTCAATAAATTCTTGTATGTTAAGGTTTTCAATACTTTCATGGTAGTTAAATATTTTAGTACGAATTGTAGGTAATAATTTGTATACGACAGTAGGTGAAATTTTAGGAATAGAATCTGGCACTGATCGGTCTCTTAAAGATTCTATTCAATCCAATGTCTTGTATATGTTTATCTTTAAAAAGGATTTTACATAACACATCAGGTTTTTCCTTACATACTTTATGAGGTTGTATTGAATGCTTTATTACGAAGAGAATGGACATGTGGGTCTCGTGAGGGGAGAGGGGGCGTTGAACAAACAAGTTTTTCCGAGGGGTTTGGTTAGGTACATGTATTCTGAAACTAAAAAGATTGCCACTTTAATAAAAATAAAAAATCAATTTAAGTTAAGTAAGGTTCACACCCGAATTTCAAACAAATTGGCAAATTTTGTCAAGTTCGTTGAAGCATGATAATGTTAACAGTTTTTTTTTCGCTGACCTTTAAATTTTAAGTTCATTGTTTATTTAAGGCTGACAAATGTCTGTACAACAGGACAAGTTTACTGGTAGTTAGGCTAAATCTATTTGTTAGGCCAGCTCAATTTTTATCAATGTTGTTGAGATGTTAATAATGTTAAGGCACATGATTGTAGGTTAGGGTTAGGGTAAGCATTGGGGTTACATCTTGTGACCTACAGTATGACCTTATCATTTAATACTAAGACTGGTAGTTGATAAACATAACGTGAAATACATTTACTACCACGACTAATACACATACAAATCTAAAGGAGGAGATGGGGAAAAAAAAAATTCATGTTGCAGAATACCAAATTTTAGTTAATAAATATAGTAAGTTACCTACATGTACATGTAATACTTACTACCATTACTAATATTTATACAAAAGATTCTGTAATTGTGTGGGAGGAAGCGGCGTAATCTTGTGGGTTTTCTCTGGGTCCTACGGTTTACTTTTAATTTTAAAGGGGGGATGACGTGGCTAAGTGGGTAAGACGCTGGCTCGCTATCCTGGAGGTTGGGTGTTCGATCCCTGCATTGGCCGAAAAAGTTCATCCAGATTTTCCGGTGTGGTTCCCTCTTGTCTGTGATGCAGGACGAAGGGCCTGACATGGACAGCTGTCTAGTCCTTCGGATGATATGAAAAACCGAGGTCCCGTGTATACATTGGAATGCACGTAAAAGATCCCTTGGCAGTTGGAATTCGATATAAGAGTAGGCGATAGTGCTGCTGCCCGGGCAAAATTTCCCTCATAGCACACTGTATGGCGTATGCCTGTCTTCATTAGCCCAGCATAGGAGCAGAACAGTAGTACGTTAAACCCCATTTCATTTCATTTACTTTTAAAGGACCCCTATATACAAGAGAATTATTGAAATAAAAATGAACCATATGTCAGTCGTGAAATGACCTAGTTTATGTCTAATGAATGTTGAACCCCATTTCTTTCTTGTCTTCTCTCAATAATCTCCTTGAAGACCTGATTTCGGTGTCATATTTCCGAGGTATGAGATTTTGTCGATAATCGCCATCTTGATGAGAGTTTTTGATTGATTAAAGGCTATAGATAATACAGTGAAAGGCGTGGGTGGATATTTAACTTGATTATAGGATGTATTCCTTGTTTATCAGAGTTTATTTAGTAAAATTAAAATAGAAAATTCTTGAAGTGCCAATTATCCAAGCATTCAAAATGGAGACTATAACAGATTTTTAGTCAGGATTTAGAAATATTAAACTTTACTAGATATTTAATAATACCTGCCGTACCAAAATTAGAAATGAGGGGTGGTTTATCCATCTTCATAATGTTGGGGGTTAAAAGACGTTGTGTATCAATATTAAACTTGCTGTAATTTACAATAGTGGAATACATGTAAGTTAAAATCTCCGTCCAATATATTCTTTTAGGGGGATTGGATGGCCGAATGGTTAGCATGTGCACGCTGTATCATGAGGCCTGTCATTGAGTCAACTTGCGTGGTTTCTATTCCCCGGTTGTACGTGACAAGGATTAGGGTTGCCTGTCCAACCTCGTGGGTTTTCGCCGGGTCCTCTGGTTTCCTCACACTGCTAAAGACCCTTACGCGCAAGTGAATTATTGAAATAAAATTAAACCATATGTTAGTCCCGAAATGACCTAGTCTGTCGAGTGGACGTTAAACCCCATTTATCACTCTCTCTCAATATATATTTTTTTAATTATTTACAAAGATGTGATGAATTGATTATAGATATTGATAATTGATTTAAAAACCTAAAAAAAACCAATATGATTAGAAAATGACCAAAGTAAGTCAGTGCCACCAGTAATCTCTGCCAAAAACCATTTATGGGCCTGTCTTTTTAATCCTGCCGCAATTCAATCAGATTTATGTAACGTTAATGTTTTTTTTATTTATTTTTTTCCAATTTTAGTGTGCATTAAGCTGTGAAAATTTATATATTACATGTATCCATAAAATACAAATGGCAATCGGGTTAAAATGTACATCTTATTTCACTTATTACAATTTTCATAAATATTCGGGCTGTACTATAAGATAATTTAAAAATGAATGTGGGGTAGTTACGTGAATGACCTACATGTAATTAACCATAAAGGAACATATCTTTAAAGATTTCTTGTAATGTAAGAATCTGATAAAGAGCTGGTTGTTCTTGCTATAATAGGTTAAAAATGAATATATTAAATGTCTAAAATAATAATTTATGTAAAATTTACAGCTAAAATAAAGAGAAATGGGGTATAACTTCCACTTGACACAAACACAAACTAGGTCATTTTGGGACTAACATAAAACATGCAATAGGCAGATTTGGCTCTTACATAATACATGGTTAAAGTAGCCTATGTTTATGTACATGTATTTTATTGAGTGATTCTGCTGAAACCCCAGGGCTGATAATAATTGTCTTTGTTTTCCAGTGGTCGGCGTTCAACTAAGATCCAGATAAAGAACCTGCCTCCTCAAGCATCGCGGGACGACATAGAAACACTAGTCAACAGAAACGCAGGAAGCGCTGTCAAATTTGAAGAAGGTAAAGATTATTATTATTATTGATTCATTCCATGTCCTGTTACAAAATTTTTAATGTTGTGATTTGAACATTGTAAATTGTCGTTTTGGATTTTGAGAAAAGATTAGGCCATATTGCCACTGTCCCGGGAAGGATGTGGCAAGGAACGGTTTCTAGTCCTTCGGATGGCATGAAAGAACAAGGTTCTTTGTATGCGTTGGTCTATAGAAAAAAGCGCCCGGCAGGTCAAATATCAACAAATGTAGGCACTGTACGGAACAGAAGTTTTGTCGTAACACACTGCTTGTCATATGCCCTTCTTTATTAGACCAGTTGGTGCATAAAAGTAGAATGTTAAACTTCCATGTATAGTCATTCGGATGGAACAAAAATCAAGGTCCCGTGTACACATTAGCGTACATGTAAAGGAAACCTTGGCAGCTGGAATTCAATATAAGAGTAGGACATAACACCACTGTCCAAGCAAAATTTCCTTCATAGTGCACTGTATGATGTAAGCCCATCTTCATTAGCTCGGTCGGAGCAGAACAGTAGGACGTTAAACCCCATTTCCCTGTCATGTAACTCGAGTAAGCTTATTGATTATAAATAAACTAGAATTCTGATCTTGTAACTCAAGATATTGGTGTATTGTTTTGTATTGATTGTCATGCGTATTTGTGTTTTTATGGAGTCGTTATTCCATAAGTCCTCTCGACTAATCAATCTTAATTGTATCTGATCAAGTTACCTTCTGCTTCTGTAATCTAAGTCAAAACTTTAATAAATAAATAAAATATTATTGGAAATTTACCGGGACTAGAAATAAAAACTTTTATTTGTGGAATCAAACTTCTATATTTAATGGGGGAGATTGGATGGCCGAATGGATAGCATGTGCGCGCTGTATCATAAGGCCTGTCATTGAGTCAACTGGCGTGGTTTCAAATCTCTGGTTGTACGTGACAAGGAGTAGGGTTGCCTGTCCAACCTCATGGGTTTCCTCCATTTTCCTTCCACTGCTAAAGACCCCTACGCGCAAGTAAATTATTGAAATAAAATTGAACCATATGTTAGACCCGAAATGACCTGGTTTGTGTGAGTGGAGGAAAAACCCCATTTCTCTCTCTCTCTCTCTCTCTGGACAGTTTTTGATGCAATTTCAGATTTGTAGATACTGTACAATATTTTCTTGTATCTGTTTATTTCAACAATAGTTGATTTCATTGAATATTTCATGACAATTAAATCATTATCTAGATTAGTTTTGATATCCAATAACGAATATCGAAACATTTGTTTAAGTAGCCTTGATAAAAAAAAAACTATTTGAATTTGAATGTTTGTGTTGACATTTTACGTAATAAATCAAAAGTTTGAATCAACAGCTTGCATTTGTATTCAGACATTGAAGGAGTTTTTGTTTTGACGATGTTTCAGGTCCAGAAGGAGCTGTATTTGTTACTTTTGATTCACCCGAACAAGCTCAAGAGTAAGTCTGTTATTTACTGTCTACATCCAGCCTACTGTGCATTGATTGAAGGACTTGGATTTTAGATACGTTATGATTTCAAAATTATATCCATTCCTGGTTTGAGAAATTCATGTAATGTACTCGTTTTGTTTGGCTTGATTTTTGTTGTACCTTGTCATGTCCTATTTTGTAGATAAAATGACCTCCGTTTATTGTTATTTAATAAAATAATTTATTTATTTTCAGGGCTGTTACTGCATTGAATAGTTTTGATTATGATGGTTCCGTTTTAAAGGTAAATATAATTATTCTTCGAAACATCACCGTAACTTGTATTCCATGTAATATTTGAACAAGATAATAGATTTTCCGAGAAGGTGCACAATCTGTTCCATGATCTTCAAATCTGGTTTAAAACACAGATCCTATTTAGTTTTGTTTTTCATAGTTCAAAATTACGTTTTACTTGTCTTGACTACATTAGGATCTGCAAAAGTTGTTATATAACCTGTGTTCTGGTTGATGTGAGGGATTAGCCAATGAAATGGTTTGTTGCAGCGAGTTCTTGGCACACGGTGCACAGAACTGTAGATATCCCACTAGAAACAACGCTGATTGATTAATCAAATGTCTGACGCCATAAGGTCAAAAGTCGCTCGTATGACCTGATGCAACCTCCCACTACATCCGGTCAGATCTTTGTGTAGTGTAGGCCATCGAAAGTATAAACTGTATAAAAGTATGTAGATCTGTATTTTAATTAGATTGACTCAAATCGCAACATGTAAAGAGTCTCTCGTCCATTAAAACACACATAACGTCTGTTTATAATCTGGATATGAGAACTTAATTGTACTGGCAACTTGATTCCAAGAGCACCGTTCAGCAACTCTGAAACTTTTGCCAGCAAATTGTTTTTGTTAATTAGATATTTTATTTTTTTTTGTGAAGGCTTTTTTTATTAATAACGGAGCTCGTAGACCCAGATCAAATAACGGCAACTCAGGAATGAATCGGCAGGAATTACCATTAAGGTAAGCTCTTTCATATGGTATTGATCAGCAAGCCTAGACAGACTTTGTCCAGTACAAATTATCACACAACATCTTAAATATATACAAGCCTGAACATGAGGTACTTGTCAGATTATAATACAAGTCTGGACATACATATAGGTATATACAAGCCAGGACAAGCACCTGTTGTCACAGAATTTGGTGCAGTACAAATTATTTCAGTGTACATATTATGTAATATAGACTTTGTGTGGTAATTTTTGTCTGACAATGTTTGTAACAGGTGTGTGATGTCCAGGCTTGGTCATCAGTAGTGTTTATCTTGCCGTAGATAAATTCAGTTGTGGTCTTTCTTGGACGTATCACTTTCTTTGTCAAAGACCAGTCTAATGTATGGGCATTAGATCATACAGTCAATCAATAAGTCATGTGGCGCTGTACATGTGTGACAAAGTACTAAATGATCGTTCAATTTGATGAAAGTCATAGAGTACTTTGTCACAATTTGATGAAAATCATAGAGTACTTTGTCACACATGACGAGGAGTAGGGTCGCCTGCCCATCCTTGTGAGTTTTCCCAGGGTTCTCTGATTTCTTTCCACTGCTAAAGAACCCTACACGCACATGAATTATTGAAGTAAAATTATGCTGTTTGTTAGTCCCAAAATAATCTTTGTAAGTGTTTTGCATATAAAAATTATGAATTAAATTGTAAGTGTTTTAAGTTCGATGGTCTTGTTAACTATTAATTAGTCAAGAATGGTGACAGATATGACTGAAACGGCCCTGGGAGAAATGGTAGGGCGGGGATTATGAATCACGAGCCGTGGGAGAAACATCTCTGTGAATCCCTGGTTAACCAGACCCCTGTTAAACTACTATAATCTATGATTTTATTTCAGAATAATTGTTGGCAGTGATTATGTGGGAGCTATTATTGGTAAACAGGGACAGACAATACGAAATATAACATCACAAAGTAGAGCCAGGTAATTATTCATCTTTCGTAAACCGTGGTTTGCACGTAAAAGAACCCAGTTGGAATTCAGTATAAAAGTAGGTTGTAGCACCGTTGTCCTGGCAAATTTCCATCATGGCACACTGTATGGCCATCTTCACTAGCCCAGTCAGTGCAGAACAGTAGGATGTTAAACCCATTTATTGTTTTTTCGTAAAACTCCACAAACAAAATATAGGCGAAAAATGAAGGTGTCCGTTTCATTGTGAATTAGATTATAACCAGTACCCCTTACTACCTGTCATTTACTAAATTGAGTAGGGTCGCCTGTCCAATCTCATGGGTTTTCTATGGGTCCGCCGGTTTTCTCCCACTGCTAAAGAATCCTGCACGCAAGTGAGTTATTGAAATAAAATTGAACCATGTTAATCCTGAAATGACCTAGTTTGTGTCGAGTGGACATAAAACCACATTTTCTCTCTCTCTCTAAAGTGGTGTTTGTAACAAAATGTAAATTTGTACCAATTGTATATTTCAGGGTTGATATACACAGAAGAGATAATCATGCTCCAGAAACAGTAAGTATTAACAGCTGACATACCATATTAAATATAAATATTGTTTCTACTGGAAATACAATTAGGGCCTACTGTTTCCGCTAGTTGTTTGCTTGATTAAGAATAGAGAAAATTAGTAGAAACATCCCCCAGTCATAAAATATAATCGTGGTCCCTGGAATATATTTTCAAGCAATAAAACAACCATTAAATAAAGTGCTTAGTTTTCTATGCCTAAATGAAATATGTTCCATTATCTGGATGGGTGGGAATACCACATCATATAGCTGACCTCAAAACGTTGTCTACCAATAGAACCCCAAATTATCTATACTATAAGAAACAGGTTATAAAATGGTGTTACCATCCTCTCGGTTATTGTTATAAATGGAATAGCACTCAAGAGTGTTTTAGTATAAAATGTTTATATTTCCTTGAATGTATTAAAATAGTTAAATATGTAATGTATTTAGACCAAGCAATTTTATTTCTGGTTACTCAATGTTTTCATATTAAATACCAACTTGAGTCCATTGGTGCGTCAAGTGGTCTAATGCATATGCTATAAATGTTGATCATAAGGTCTGTCGATCTCAACTTGTACGTGACAAGGAATAGGGGCAACTGCCCAGCTTTCTGGGGTTTCTCCAGGTCCTCAATTTCTATCCACTGCTAAAGAACCCTACCTGTAATTGAATTATTGAAAATTGAATGGCTCCGTGAGTAAGATGCTGGCTTGTTAATCAGCAGGTCTTCGATTCTGATGATTTTCTGATGTGGTTTCCTCTTGTCAGTAGTGCAGGACAGGGGGCCTGACAAGGACAGCTATCTAGTTGTTCGCATAGGACAAAACCTGACTTCCTGTGTACACAGTGGTGTTTACATCGAACCATTGACACTGGACAATATATCCCTCATTGTACACTGTACACATATTATACCGAGTCGGTGCACAAAAGTAGCATGTTAAATCCCATTTCATTTCAATTTATATGGTAATGATTAAATTTCCAATTAACACGTTCGCAGTGCTTTGAGGTCAGCTGACCAAAGATGCGTATTATTGGATGTATGAACCAGTGTTCTTAATCGGCTGTTTTCTGTCGGCTTTAGCGATATAAGACAGGAGGGGTTGGATGGCCGAATGATTAGCATGTGCACCCGCTGTATCATAAGGTTTGTCATTGAGCATATGCTGATTGTCGAGTTATTGTACGTACCTATATTACCATGTGCTGATTGTCGAGTTATTGTACGTACCTATATTACCATGTGCTGATTGTCGAGTTATTGTACGTAACTATATTACCATGTGCTGATTGTCGAGTTATTGTACGTACCTATATTACCATGTGCTGATTGTCGAGTTATTGTACGTATCTATATTACCATGTACTGATTGTCGAGTTATTGTACGTATCTACCATGTGCTGATTGTCGAGTTATTGTACGTATCTATATTACCATGTACTGATTGTCGAGTTATTGTACGTATCTACCATGTACTGATTGTCAGTTATTGTACGTATCTATATTACCATGTACTGATTGTCGAGTTATTGTACGTATCTACCATGTACTGATTGTCAGTTATTGTAAGTATCTATATTACCATGTACTGATTGTCGAGTTATTGTACGTATCTACCATGTACTGATTGTCGAGTTATTGTACGTATCTATATTACCATGTGCTGATTGTCGAGTTATTGTACGTACCTATATTACCATGTGCTGATTGTCGAGTTATTGTACGTACCTATATTACCATGTGCTGATTGTCGAGTTATTGTACGTACCTATATTACCATGTGCTGATTGTCGAGTTATTGTACGTACCTATATTACCATGTGCTGATTGTCGAGTTATTGTACGTACCTATATTACCATGTGCTGATTGTCGAGTTATTGTACGTACCTATATTACCATGTGCTGATTGTCGAGTTATTGTACGTACCTATATTACCATGTGCTGATTGTCGAGTTATTGTACGTACCTATATTACCATGTGCTGATTGTCGAGTTATTGTACGTACCTATATTACCATGTGCTGATTGTCGAGTTATTGTACGTACCTATATTACCATGTGCTGATTGTCGAGTTATTGTACGTATGCTGATTGTCGAGTTATTGTACGTACCTATATTACCATGTGCTGATTGTCGAGTTATTGTACGTACCTATATTACCATGTGCTGATTGTCGAGTTATTGTACGTACCTATATTACCATGTGCTGATTGTCGAGTTATTGTACGTACCTATATTACCATGTGCTGATTGTCGAGTTATTGTACGTACCTATATTACCATGTGCTGATTGTCGAGTTATTGTACGTATGCTGATTGTCGAGTTATTGTACGTACCTATATTACCATGTGCTGATTGTCGAGTTATTGTACGTACCTATATTACCATGTGCTGATTGTCGAGTTATTGTACGTACCTATATTACCATGTGCTGATTGTCGAGTTATTGTACGTACCTATATTACCATGTGCTGATTGTCGAGTTATTGTACGTACCTATATTACCATGTGCTGATTGTCGAGTTATTGTACGTATGCTGATTGTCGAGTTATTGTACGTACCTATATTACCATGTGCTGATTGTCGAGTTATTGTACGTACCTATATTACCATGTGCTGATTGTCGAGTTATTGTACGTACCTATATTACCATGTGCTGTTGTCGAGTTATTGTACGTACCTATATTACCATGTGCTGATTGTCGAGTTATTGTACGTACCTATATTACCATGTGCTGATTGTCGAGTTATTGTACGTACCTATATTACCATGTGCTGATTGTCGAGTTATTGTACGTATCTATATTACCATGTGCTGATTGTCGAGTTATTGTACGTACCTATATTACCATGTGCTGATTGTCGAGTTATTGTACGTACCTATATTACCATGTGCTGATTGTCGAGTTATTGTACGTACCTATATTACCATGTGCTGATTGTCGAGTTATTGTACGTACCTATATTACCATGTGCTGATTGTCGAGTTATTGTACGTACCTATATTACCATGTGCTGATTGTCGAGTTATTGTACGTACCTATATTACCATGTGCTGATTGTCGAGTTATTGTACGTACCTATATTACCATGTGCTGATTGTCGAGTTATTGTACGTACCTATATTACCATGTGCTGATTGTCGAGTTATTGTACGTACCTATATTACCATGTGCTGATTGTCGAGTTATTGTACGTACCTATATTACCATGTGCTGATTGTCGAGTTATTGTACGTACCTATATTACCATGTGCTGATTGTCGAGTTATTGTACGTACCTATATTACCATGTGCTGATTGTCGAGTTATTGTACGTATGCTGATTGTCGAGTTATTGTACGTACCTATATTACCATGTGCTGATTGTCGAGTTATTGTACGTACCTATATTACCATGTGCTGATTGTCGAGTTATTGTACGTACCTATATTACCATGTGCTGATTGTCGAGTTATTGTACGTACCTATATTACCATGTGCTGATTGTCGAGTTATTGTACGTACCTATATTACCATGTGCTGATTGTCGAGTTATTGTACGTATGCTGATTGTCGAGTTATTGTACGTACCTATATTACCATGTGCTGATTGTCGAGTTATTGTACGTACCTATATTACCATGTGCTGATTGTCGAGTTATTGTACGTACCTATATTACCATGTGCTGTTGTCGAGTTATTGTACGTACCTATATTACCATGTGCTGATTGTCGAGTTATTGTACGTACCTATATTACCATGTGCTGATTGTCGAGTTATTGTACGTACCTATATTACCATGTGCTGATTGTCGAGTTATTGTACGTATCTATATTACCATGTGCTGATTGTCGAGTTATTGTACGTACCTATATTACCATGTGCTGATTGTCGAGTTATTGTACGTACCTATATTACCATGTGCTGATTGTCGAGTTATTGTACGTATCTACTGATTGTCGAGTTATTGTACGTACTTATATTACCATGTGCTGATTGTCGAGTTATTGTACGTACCTATATTACCATATGCTGATTGTTGAGTTATTGTACGTACCTATATTACCATGTGCTGATTGTTGAGTTATTGTACGTATCTACCATGTACTGATTGTCGAGTTATTGTACGTATCTACCATGTACTGATTGTCAGTTATTGTACGTATCTATATTACCATGTACTGATTGTAGAATCTATATTACCCTGTACTGATTGGTGGAGTTATTGTACGTATCTATATTAAAGTTTTCTTCCTGTTTTCTGATGTTTCAGTTAGTCACTATAAAAGGCAACCCTGACAGTTGTTCCAAGGCCTGTAAAGAAATCATGAAAGTCGTTCAACAAGAAGCAGCTGCCCTTAATAAAGGGTAGGTAATTTTACGTTAGATAGACTTGATATAAAAACTAATATCGTCATGCTATTTTAATTCTGGACTCGTTAGTGTTTTGCCATGGTGGGTAAGGCAAAAGGTCCCGAACAGAGACGTCCCAGTGTTAGTCGAGAAAATTCCAATTTGTTTAATTTTTGACTTATTCGTGCTTTGCCATGAAGGCTCAGTGAATACGGCACTAGCTCACTAACCATGAACGTCCCAGAGTTGGTCAAGAAAGTTCCTCAGGAATTTTGGGTGTAGTTTCCCTTGTCAAGGGTGCAGGATGGATAATCATGTCTAGTCGTTCAGATGAGATAAATAAAACACATGTACACCTTAGCATGCACGTAAAAGAAAACTTGGCATTTGGAATTCAATTGCTGTCCGGGAAAAATTTCTGTCTTAGTAATCTGCATGACATTCATTCTTTTATTGTTTGATACATGTATGTTGAATACCCAATGAAATATGGTTGGGTTCATCAATTAAATTGTAATGTTGTTGTTTTACAGGGAAAATCCTATGAAAGTTTTGTGTCCTAATCATATATGTGGTAGAATTATTGGTAAGAAAGGAAATGTTATAAAACAGTTTATGGAGAAATCGGGAACACATATAGTAGTGTCAAGGTAAGTCTACTTTCACTTTATCAATTCAATATATACCTCACATAGAGAAGTGTCAAGATACGTCTACTTTCACTTGATCAATTAAAAAAAAAAACCTGACTTAAGGGGGAACGAGGGGCGAAATTTTTTATTTTTTTTTTTATTTTTTATTTAATGTTATTTTGGGTTGAAACAATGTATATACTAGAAAGACCATTTAGTTAGCTGATTTTTTTCATCAAATCCCAAATCGGACATTGGTTGCCATGGTTACCAACGAATCAAGAAAAAATGGGGAAATTCGTAGGAGTGCTAGATCTCTGTTAATAATAACTCTACAGTTCTGAAACTTTCACACCTTATAAACAATGCATAAAGCTAGGAAATGACAGAGAGACATTTGGAGTCCACTGTATTTTTATTAATTTATAAGCATTTATATAATTGTGTGATTTTTTTTAACGAAACATGAACTAAAAACTGAATTATTTACAAAAATTAAAACAGTAAATACAAAAACTCTCTGTTATCTAGTAATTTGAAATTGCATTTTCGTCCATGAATCAAATCAGAGAAAAATCACATCAAAAAGTAAATCATACTATTACTAAATGGTTTTATTTGGGTCATAACAAACAAGACTAAAAACAATTACCGGTCGACAAAGTTGGACACGGCTATAAAAATTACGATTCCCATAAAACGTTTTATTTTTTTTAATCACGGTTTATTAGAAATAATTAAAAAAAACTATTAAATTCATCGGTAAATATCGCTAAATAAGCTTGCGGGACATCGATCGTAGTCTTGGACTTCTTATAAAGTAATATTGTTATACAAAAGAGTGGTTAACTGTGTCTATATAGCGTGCGCATCACAGCATCCCGTTGCTAGGTGACGGAATTCCGTTAGACCAATGAGGAGATGTCGTTGTTATTACGTCGGATATATTGACCCCGCGGTCAGGTCACCTAAACAAATAAGGAAAATCTCGAGCATTTTTGGCGCTTAGAAAAACGAGTACACACGGAAACTGACGGGAATTAATAAATTATTTTTATTCCCATCATGCTATTCTTTGTTTACTCTTTCCAAAGGTATATCAAACATGGCTGTCAATGGACATGTGGAGGCTTAAAATCGGGATTTTTTAGACGTTATTTTATCAAAATTCGGACATGTACAGGTTCAGAAATGTTTACCATTCGACAGAAAATGTACTTTTTTACATAAAAAAAATGAAATTTTTGATATTTTGTTTTTGGGGACTCAAAGAGAAGGCTTCAAACTATCAAAAACTGTCAATACTTAAAAAGTGAAATTTTTTAGAAAATTCAATTTTTTTCGACCCGCGTTCTCCCTTAAGTTTAGATTTCGTTTTCTCCAGGTCCTCCGGTTTCCTCCCACTGTTAAAGACCCCTACGTGCAAGCAAATTATTGAAATAAAATTGAACCATTGAAATGATTTGGGCATCATTTCCCTCTCTCTATTTTCTGTGGGCTGTAATTTTGTTTTAAACTTGAAATATGATGACATAAAAGGCCGAGTTATAGTTGTTCTAGCTCTTGTTTTATTACAATCGTAGCTTAACACAATGTTCATAATCCTTGAAGCGATATATTCACTTCTGATTTCAAGTTTAAAATTACAATTAATCTTGTCATGTTTAAAAGGTTACTACACAGTTATCAGTAAAATAAAGCTGTGTTACAGAGGTTTATTTGGGTACAGGGAATTAGTTTTGATGGCATCTATTATCCTATTCAGAAATAGCCCATGCCGTGCACCCTCCAAAAAAGCCAATCAAATCATTCAGCAGACTGATATGCAAGTAGAAATGTTACCATACAAATAATTGAGCTTTCCATGACTGATCCCGACTGAGACATAAATTATATGTCACTGCGTTGGATTATATTTGAATCATTTTAAATCGAAATGGATTCACACTTATGTACTTTTGCAACAAATGGCTATACAATTTTATAAGATTTAGTCCCGAAGGGTTCCCACATTCTTTATATTTTGATATTTAGTAGTTGATAATTCTGACCTGATCTGAATTTTAGATTCTCTCTCTACCATCAATCTGTACACAGGTTTCTTCTCGTAGACGAGGAGCGGGGGGCCGAAAAATGTGTGTGCTTTAGCTCATAAGGTCTGTCATTGAGTCCCTCTCTCTCTCCCCCTCCCTCTCTCTCTCTCCATGTAATATTTGGTTAAGATAATAGATTTTTCGAGAAGGTGCACAATCTGTTCCATGATCTTCCAATCTGGTTAAAACACAGATCCTATTTAGTTTCGTTTTTCATAATTCAAAATTTCGTTTTACTTTTCTTTGCTACACTAGGATCCGGAAGAGTTGTTATATAACCTGCATTCTGGATGTTGCTAGGGATTAGCCAACAAAACGGTCTGTTTTGGCGAATTTTTGGCGTGAGGTGCGCGGTACTTTGGGTAAAGCAATAGAAACGTCAACAATGATGGATTAATCAAATGTCCGACGTCGTAGGGTCATAAGCCGTCAGTATGACCACTGACGCGATCTATTTGGTTTAGTATTTTGTGACAATGTATTATGATGTGTTTTATATTTGTTTCAGTATTTCTGATTATGACTATGGTATGTCCGATATGAATACATATTATGTTGATCGTGTTATTACCATCTCTGGAGGTAGTCTAGATGCAGCATGTAAAGCAGAAGAAATGCTCAGTGAAAAAATGAGACAGTGCTATGAACAAGATGCCCAGAATTATAATGTAAGTTTTAATATTTTATAATCGAACTTTAATTCTGCAAATCGGAAAAGGCTTCTATTTGATGGGATCCATGGTGGGTAAGACGCTGGCTTGCGAGCCTGGAGATTGCGTGTACCTTAGTCACCATTGCAAATCGGAAAAGGCTTATAATTGATGGGATCCATGGTGGCTAAGTGGGTAAGACGCTGGCTTGCGAGCCTAGAGGTCGGGTATTCGATCCCTGAATTGGCTTGAGAAATTTCATCAGGATTTTTCAACATGGTTTCCCCTTGTCAGTGATGCAGGACAGAGGGCCTGAAAAGGACAGCTGACTAGTAGGTTGGATGGTACGAAAAACTGAGGTCCCGTGTACACATTGACGTGCACGTAAAGGATACCTTGACAGTTGGAATTCGATATAAGATAAGAGTAGGCCGTAGTGCCGCTGTCTTGTAAAAAAATTTCCTTCATAGCACACTGTATGGCGTATGCCCGTCTTCATTAGAACAGTTTAGGAGCAGAACAGTAGGACGTTAAACCCCATTTCATTTCATTTTATATGGTAATGATTAAATTTCCAATTAACACGTTCGCAGTGCTTTGAGGTCAACTGACCAAAGATGCGTATTATTGGATGTATGAACCAGTGTTCTTAATCGGCTGTTTTCTGTCGGCTTTAGCGATAGAAGCGAGAGGGGGTTCAGATGGCCGAATGGCTAGCATGTGCGTGTTGTATCATAAAGTCTGTCATTGAGTCAACTGGCGGGGTTTCGATTCCCCGGTTGTATGTGGCAAAGAGTAGGGTTGCCTGTCCAACCTCATGGGTTTTCTCCAGGCCCTCCAGTTTCCTCCCACTGCTATCTCTATCTCTCTCTCTCTCTCTCTCTCCTATAGCAACAGTAACCCCAATCTGTAGTGAATATATGTTTAAATGTTTTATTTGTTTCTATAGCAACAACAACCCCATATGATGTTTGGTATGCCACCACATATGCAGATGATGCAAGGTTATAACAGTTATCCTGGTGTACAAAGTCCCTATGGTTACGGAATGGTAAGAAAACATTATTACTCATTCTCAACTTTCTACCTAAATTTGTTTTTGGCTGGTATGGGAGCCATGGTGATTAAGGTAGTGGCTCACTAACCAGCAGGGTTGGGATCGATACTTATTTTGCATGACAAGTTTGTAGTTATTTGTGACTTGTCGGGGGTTCAGTGTTGTGGTGACTGAAGGCATTGGCTAACTAACCATAGAATGGGGGATAGATCCAGATGTAAAGAAACAAAGCTTCCTATAGATTTTTGGGAGTCTGGTTTTTCCCCCTCTTGTTAGTTGTGCAGGTTTGAAGGTCTGGCAAGGAACAGGGGAACAGCGTTGATTCCTTCAAATGGTATGAAAAACCACATGGGCCCCATGTACACATTTGCATTGGCATAAATCCCACTGTCGGACAATTTTCGCCATACAGGCTGCTTATTAGATAGGTTCGTTCAGAATAATGGAACGTCGAACTTTTTTCTTGTCCAATTTACAAAACCAATAACCATCAATGTAAAATAGACCTCGAAAGATTGCATGTGCACTTTACACAACAATTTCTCTAATTCTGGCTATATTTGAGTTGGCATTGTTTTATTAATTAATTTGTTTATATTTTATGTTTCTCTCTAATTGTTAGTCATAATGTTAAAGTGGCATTTAGTGATCGGTAAACACATTAACAGAACACAGTTTTTATGGGATATCAATCACTGGTTTTATTCTAAAAGCACGACGTTTTGACAAGTATTCTCTTATCGTTATCAAGCACAATGACATTTAGTCAACTTGAGGTCAAAATATACAATATTCATATATATTGACCTCAAATCATTGATATCCCATAAAAACTGTGTTCTGTTAAATTGTTGGTATTGTTGATGTAGATAATTTATTTAGATTGTTTCAAAATAGGCAAAATTTAGGGTCTTTTTCCTATATTATTTCTTTTGGTGAGAAAGTAGAATTCTTCTCTAATTAACCACATCCTTAGAAATTGATTTGATGCTTTTGAAACTATTGTGATCCTTTTTAAACTGTCATGATGTTTTTTAAAAACTGTCTTGATATTTTTTAAAAACTTTTCTTGATATTTTTTAAAAACTTTTCTTGATATTTTTGAAATTGTATTGATATTTTTGAAACCATTTTGATATTTTTGAAACTGTTTTGATACTTCAGACCCTATTTCAAAACTAATGTGATGCTTTTGAAATTATTGTCCCCCACCTTTCTAAGAAAGCAGGGGACTATTAAAATGTGTTCGTCCGTCTGTCCATCTGTCTGTCTGTCCATCTGTCTGTCACACTTTTTGGGAAACAATAATGTTCAGACTTGGTGTAGGTGTGTTTATTAGGTCAATGCCTTGATGGTGTTCGAAGATGAGCATTTTCTGGTTAGGGAAAGCAGAGATAAGCAATTTGATTGGTCAAGACTTTGGAGCACAATAACACTCTTAATTGAGGCGGAATGTTGTAACTTTGTGTAGGCGTTATGTCACTCATGGATTGTATTTCTAAGATACTGGTCTTCAGTTGATATGGTAATGATTAAATTTCCAATTAACACGTTCGCAGTGCTTTGAGGTCAAGTGACCAAAGATGCCTATTATTGGATGTATGAACCATTGGTTAATATATTGATGTCAAATATAATTGTCTTTTGACGAAAATGCCTGACACAATAACTTACCTTCTAATTTAGTTAGAATGTTCAAACTTGGTGTAGGTGTTTATTAGGTCAATGCCTTGATGGATTTCAGAGATGAGCATTTCCTGCTTAGGGTAAGCAGAGATAAGCAATTTGATTGGTTGATGCTTTGGGACACGATAACTAAAAGTTCTAATTAAGTGAGAGTGATGAAACTTGGTGTATAGTTTCATTACATCAATACCTTGACTAAGTTCGAAGATGAGCTTTTTCTGCGTATGGTAAGCAGAGATAAGCAATCTGATTGGTTGATGCTTTGGGGCACGATGACCTATAATTAAGTGAGAGTGATGAAGCTCTGAGTATAGATTCATTACCTTGACTAAGGTCGATGAGAATTTTCTGCTTAGGCTAACGAGCGATAAGGAATTTGATTGGTCAAGACTTTGGAACATAACAACTCTGCTTTTAATTGAGTTAGAATGTTTAAACTTGATGTAGATGTTCATTAGGTGAATGTGTTGACTGAGTTCAATGATTAACAGTTCAAGCTAAAGTTAAGCCGAGCTAATCAATTTCGTTGGTCAATGCTTGAGGACAAGATAACTTTGATTCTATCTGATAGAGAGTGATGAAACTTAATGTATAGTTGATAATCAGTTTGATTGCTTGATAACTTTTGAAAAAAATAAAATATGTGATAAATTAGAATGTGTCCTCCATTTATTTTGGGATTTCGGCGGGGGACATCAGCCTCACTGTTGGCTTGTTGTGATACTTTTGAAACTATATTTTGATGTTTTTATTAACAATTGGCATTAAAAAAATGTTTTACTAATACTGGCACGATTTGCCAGATTATTTAATTGTTTATTTTTTTTTAACGTTATTCAGTCCTATCGAGAAGATGACATGCACGGTTACTTACAGGGTTCTGGTAACATGCATCCTGGGTTATTTGGTAACCCCCCTGTTCCACCACCCATGGAGTTACAAGTAACCTACCTCTACATACCGGAACCATCAGTTGGAGCCGTTATCGGCAGCAAGGGTACCAACATCAAAAACATTATGAGACTATCAAACGCTAGAATTAAGGTTAGTTTATTACAGTTTCTATATAGTTAATGAGGGTTTGAAGCTGATTGTTAGCGACAAAGCCAGAAATATTTTCATAGCACTGATATAATGAGGTTCGAGCTAGACCAGTGGTGGGCAAACTATGGCCCATGGGCCAAATCCGGCCCCTGAAGCCTTGTCATCTGGCCCGCTATATCTGAAAATTTATGAGTAATTTTATCTCTAAATGAAATAGAAATTGCTTATTGTTATTAAAAATTTATAAAAGAATATCCATATATTAATTCGAATCTGAATCTAACGTTACATTTGAATAAATTCAGATTATGCAGAGCACAAAAGGTGAAGAGGAGAGAAATGGTGAATCAAGGGAACGAGAAAATCGTGACCGACAACAGATGGGAATCGCAGCTCCACGACCAGATGAACGTAAAGTCATTATCACAGGCAATCCAGAAGCACAATGGAAGGTAAGTCAATATGTACCATCTTTACAGTGTTAGGTCAACATGTACTATCTTTACAATGTTAAGTGGTGACAAAACTACTTTCGTACCCATGAAACTAACAATCAATCTTATTAAAACACAGATCCTATTTCGTTTCGTTTTGTATAGTTCAAAATTTCATTTTCCTTGCCTTTACTACACTATTATCTGGAAGTGTTGATATATAACTTTGGCACTGGAGATAAGTCAAGGTAACTGTCTGTTACGGCGAGTGTGGGTGAACGACTAGAAACGTCAACACTGATTGATAATGTCTGAAGTCATATTGTCAAAAGCCGCTCGTACGACCCCTGTCAGGGCAAAATTTCACTCACAGCACACTGTATGCCCATCTTGTAGCTCATATTTGATAATCAAGGCTACAATATGATGTAATTGATTGATTGGTAGCTTTGATCAACTAGTATAGTATTTCTATACCTTTTTGTTGACTTGTTAAATGATAATTATTGTTTGTTTTTCAGGCCCAGTTTTATATTTTTGAGAAAATTCGAGTGGAAGGATACTCTGGTAATGATGAAGTTCATCTCCGATCAGAAATAATGGTACCTAAAGCAGCTGTTGGCCGTATTATTGGTAAAGGCGGACAAAACGTAAGTACTCAAAAGATGCACAGTTAGAATAATAACATTGCAACTCGGGTATAGGCCGTAGTGCCGCTCTCCAGGCAAAATTTTCCTCAAAAGCACACTGTATGGCGTATGCCCGTCTTCATTATCCTACTCGGAACAGAACAGTAGGATGTTACACCTCATTTCATTTCTTGGAATGAAGCCTACTGGTCTGACATTGGAAAGAATTTGATTTTAGTTTCACTTGTAAATCACATCCCATTGAAACAAGATTTTTCAAAGTGATCAAGGACCATAACTCTAACAGTTATCGGAAATCATTGAAAATAGGAAACTCGTCTCGTACAGTCTGATATTAACTTTAGCCTCTGGAGCTTCCACAAGCAATTCGACAGGGACGAGAATGATATAAAAAAAAAATTAGAATTTGAAAGATTGATTTTGATTGATTTGTATTTCAGATTCGTGAGTTGACTCGTGTGAGCGGGGCAATCGTCAAATTACCCGAAGATCAAGGAGAAGTAGAAGAAGTAGCAGTCACAATCATCGGTCATTTCTACGCCAGTTTAATGGCACAACGTCGCATCCGTGGTCTCGTCTCTTCGCAACAGCAACAACCCACTGGTCCACAGCCGCGCAAACCCCGACCACAACAGAATGGAAATTAGATAAATAGTGAAACCACTGGTCTAAAACGGATTTGTTGAAGATATTGGTTGTTGTCATTGCAACCGAAATGCGGCCCTTTTGGTCTAACCAAAGACTTGAATGACACGCCCCCACTGACCCCAGCTCTCTCCCTCTCTCTTATTTTTTTTTTTTTTTCCCGCCCTTTCTATTTTCAGACATATAACAGTTATATCTTTAGTAGTGACTGACAGTGATCAACCTTGTACTTTTCATTTTCTCTCAACATTTTGCTCGTCGTTAGAATCATCACGGATGAGCAAAACTGGCAAAGAGTTGACGGGCATCTCTTATTAATCGGGTGCTTTCTTAATGTCAATGAATGACAGGGTTTTCACGGTACTTTTTAATCGGGCGTTAAATATCATCGTTACTAGGACAATCATTAGAACACACTTCTACCTTGTGAAGGGAGAAAAGTTCACGTATGCTTTCTAGTTTTGAAGAATGTATCGAAAAATGTTTAAAAAGATAATCAAATTGTATTTTAAACATCTTTTGGATGCCGCACAAATATTTATGGATATCGCGACATGTTAAACTACCAACATTCTTCTGTGGTTACATAAAGTGTTTTCGAGAGGTGTTTGAAATGAAGTAATTGACGATGATATTTGCTGCCGAAAACGACAAGAGGGGCTCGTTTGTAATAACGTAAAGTTTTTCAGCTGGCTCGTCTTATTATTAATGTTTATTTTTAATTCCGTGTAAACCCTGTCAGGCGATTTGTTGGCGTCTTTTTAAATTGTTGTTGTAGGTGATAATTTTAAAGAGCGCCAAGATGACGACGACGATAATCTTGTGGCCAGTAAGAGTGGACGAATACCATTGGTTTATTTATACCTATTAAGTTTGATCAGATTTTTACGAGGTCCCTAAATAGCACTGGGGCGGCTCGTGAGAATTTTTTTTTCTTTATGTATAAGAAAATGGATTAAGAAGTTTATTTTTTGATATTTGTTGAGGAGGTTTTTGTTAGAATTTTTATGTCATTTTATGGGCAGACTTTTTGTCCATTAAATGGAGAAAAAAAAATGTAAAAAAAAAAAATGGTGGATACTACAAAGCGAGAATCAGCACACAAATAACAACAAACCCCTTTTTCTCTGAAATGACATTCATGCAAAATCAAAAATCTCGAGTCTACAAGATAACAAAAGGTCTTTCTCCCCTTGGGCAAATGACATGCATGTCCAAATATGGGCATCATAATTTGTATTCATGATTTCTGCGCTTGCGTAGTAATGTATGGTGTTAAAAAAGAATATTTGTAGATTTTTTTTTAGACGTTTAATTTGTATAAAAAAAAAAAAATCTTTTGAAATATTCGTAAATTATTTTTTTCGACACAAGTATCAATTAAGATGTTCAATTTGTAAAAAAAAAAATAAAAATAAAAAGATCTTTTGAAATATGTTAAAACATATTTTTTGATACCTGTATCGAAAACGATATTTAACAATAATCCTTGCACTACACAAGCGCAGAAATATTGACCAATCACTTGACTGAAATTCTCAAAGCTGTTCTAACCTGCAATTCATATGCGAACAACTAGTCTTGAACAATTAGTCTTCGATGTTAATAACACTACCAATGATTGCAGTAACGCGTTTGATAATTTTAACCTGTGATTTTGAGAAGCTATCGTCAGCCGTCTGGTTGGTTCGATACAGTGAACAAGTGACGATAGAAATCAGGGTTCAAAGACGTAAAATTCTTATCTTCAAAACATGAGTTCGTTGAATCAAAATAAAAACATCTCGAGTAAAATGAAAATTGGTTTAAAATGAAACAAAAACAAAAAAAAACAGAAATAATGTTCTGGGAGAAAATGTAAAAAGTATGACTTGTTTCAAATTTGGATTTCATTCATTTCAATGTAAGAGCACAGAGACTTGTAACAGTTGGTGTTGGTAAATATTCATAAAGGATGCGTTCATGGTCGGTCATATAAAGGACATCTGTTGAGTTATAATGGTGGACATTTTACGTGTAGGAGACATTTTGGTGCAAGATTGTTCCATTTGTAATATTTGGATATTTTTGAACATGAATTGTTACAAGTCGATGTGTAATAAATAATTGTAATTTTTGTTTTTGAAACAATGTGAAGATTTTAACAAGTTGCTACATATTGTAATCTAAGTGTATAATAATAATAATGATATAATAGTTGTACTGTCTTTTGTTTCCATTCTAATGTAGTAAACTGTTTGATGATAGGTTGATTTATATATTCTAGTATGTATAGCCTCATGTGATTGGCTGACTGTCGGTACTAAGTTAAAATTGAAAGTAGAAAATCATGAACCTTGAAACCTTCATTGTTTAATGGTAAAGGACTTTATGTAAGGCCTTCTATCCAAGTGCGTGTTTTCGTGGACGAAAAAGTCTGTATAATGCAAATGTAATTGGACTGTTTCCGTGTAACCAGCAAAACGTGTACATGGAAAACGGGCCTAAGGCCTTAAAAGGAATTTCAAATGATGCAGACTAATTAAGTTTTGTTAAAATAGTGGTTCTGATTGAATTTTATTGAAGTGTTTTTTTTACTTGTGTTGAAGTAACCAACGAAGGCTTATGTTTGTTAAAAAAAAAAATGGTTTTAATCAAATTTATTTGGCAATTTGATTTTTTTTTACCTGTGCCGATATGTTAGCCAATGAAATGAACATGGCTCACTGCAACACTCTACTTAATACAAGTCCAATAACTCTCGGGGGACGTATTCATCAAAACTTAAAATTAAATATTTTAAAATTCTGTTCCTTCATTGGCCAAAAGCTAATATTTGTTTTGGGATTTTAGTGATCAGCCAATGAAATGTTTGCATCGTTAAAATATTTTAGTTTAAATTGTTGTGAATTAAGCCCCTGGTCGAATATTAAAACAATATTTCGAAATATCGTGTTACCTGTTGCAATGAACTAATGGTCAAAATAATGATTGATTTGATGTTTCATATATTCTATGTACAAAAAAATTAAAAATATTGCATATCTATGACAGAGCCAAGTCTAAGTTTGAAAATTAAAATTTAATTTAAAAACAAAAAATTGAAAATTACAAAAAAAAAAAGAGTTGAATTTCCTCGGTAGCCGTTTTTCTTTTATTTATTAACAATGCTTGTTCGATATTTCTTTTTGTAAAATATGTTTTTTTGAAGAAATTTTTCAAAAAGGCCAGTATATTTTGCTGAATTACATTATGCGCAATGACTGCTGAAAAAAAAAACATTTTGTTTGAAATATATTTCAAAAATTTTAGTTTGATTTTAGTATGGAAAATAAATTTGATGAATGGTTTTTTCATCAGATATTGGACGAAAAAAAATAATGGAATTTGGAAGTCACCTTTTGTGTACTATGTTAAAACGTTTTTGATGTATTTTTTTATTCGGAGGCTGGCATCATACAGAAGACTTGGCTCTCACTGTTTTGAGTTCTGTAATGGACCCCTCCCATTTCCCCCCTCCCCTGGAACCATCTGTAGTATAGTTTGAACACATTAACTGATGTTTAAAATTAGTTGCTTTTCTTGTTACAGCATACTCGTTATATTCTTAAGCTTTTACAGCAGTTCAAGAAAAAAAAAAGGCAGTCATTTTTTCTCAAAACAAAAAACCCAAGTTACGAGAATTTATATTTTGTAACCAGACCCCAAGTGGGCTAATTGTAGAACGTTGAAACATTGAAATTAAATCCAGAAATGTAATAACATCCATATTGTGACTTGTTGATAAGAAAAAAAAAAAAATGGCTGCCCCCATTGTAAGATGAATTTGTACAGCCTTGGTTACCGCTGGTATTGATGGTTAGTTTTGAATTATTACAGTTTTTGTCTTGTTTTTGAAATTTTTTCCTTAACAGTTAATTTACACAGTATTGCATGTATAAACTCTAGTAACACAAACTGTTATAATTATAAAAAATTGGTAGTCAAAGGAGACGATTCATGAACTCCATTTTAACCCAAAATACAGCAACAGGATGCAGGTTAGCAGTTTCTCGTCTGTACGCTATTGGCAGGCATTACTCGTGATTTGCCGCCAGACTGTTAAACACATCTCCTTTTCTACCACCAAAAATAAATTATTCTAGTAAGAAAGAAGTCTTGTTTTTTTTTTATAATAAATCATTGTGGACCTGGGGACCTAAAGTTGCTCAGTAAGATGTTGGCTCACTAACCTGGAGGTCCAGAGGTTGATCCCTGTGTTAGCTGCGAAAGTTCACCAGGATTTTCCAGTGTAGTTCCCCCTTGTCAGTGGTGTTGGATGGAGGGCCTGGCAAGGGACAAGGTATAGTTTGTTCAAATGGGAGTGCACAAAAAGAAATGGGGTTTAATGTCCTGCTTTTCTGTACCGACCCGCAAATGAAGATGGGCATATGTAGGCCTATATTGGGGGGTCCTGAATGGTTTAACGCGTGCGCATTAGATTATAAGGTCTGTCATCGAGTCAAGTGGGGTGGTTTCAATACCCCGCTTGTACATGACAAGGAGAAGTTTCAGTTTCGCCTGTCCAACCTCATGGTCTTCTGACTTTCCTCCCACACCTAAAGGTTCCCAAGTGCAAGAAGATTATTGAAATAAAAATGAACCCTGTGTTAGTCCCGTAATGACCTAGTTTGTATTGATTGGACGGTAAACCCCATTTCTCTACCTCATTTGTTAATTTGGGGCAAAGATTGGATGTGGTTGGTTTTAATAAAATAATAACAAGCAGTAATGGAGAAAAGGTAATTTGAGCAGATTTTATTTCACAGGGAATCAATTTCATAAATATATATATTTTGTAGTACCTGTACATAGAGAAAATTGATTTACTTGAATCCTCAATATTTACAAAAATATGTTTAACAATAATAATTAAAATATACAAACATGACTCATTAACAAGTAACCTCCCCTTTTACAATAACATCACAATTGTTTGATATCTTCTCATTGCTTGGGGCAAGGTAGTTGTGGGGTTGGGTAGCTCGAATCACCATGGCTAGAGGGTCATCTGGTTCGGGAGCTCAACTTGCCATTTCTCGGGGCAAGATAGTTGTGTGGTGGGGAGCTCAACTTGCTATTTCTCAGGGCAAGGTTGTCGTATGACGGGGAGTTCAACACACCATTTCTGGGGGCGGGGTGTTGGTATGATTGGGGAACACGACACGCCATTGCTGGGGGCGAGGTAGTCATGTGGCAGGGAGTTTAACTCGCCATTGCTGGGGGCAAGGCACTCGCATGATTGGGGAACACGACTCGTCACTAGAATGTCCCAGATTCAGATCTCAAGGAGAGCCCAGAAGAACCTTCAAAATGTTTTAAGCTCGGCCTTCCTTCGCTTGTCTGACGGCAGACAAGGAAACAGGCTGGTCGGGATGAGATGAGAAAGCGTGTTCCTACAGAGTGCACATACAACGCTCAAGAATCTTTGATAGTTGGAATTCAAAAGAGGGTAGGTAGAAATGATGCCGTCTGGGCAGAATTCTCCATTATTCCATGCTATACCTCCCATTACTAAAGAGCCCTGTACCTATGTGAAATATTGAAATGAAAATTTGTCCCAGTTGTATGGTATGGACATAAAACTCTAATTTACTACTGTAACATTACATAAAGAGCTAAATCTGCCTCCTGTAGATCTTATATGAATTATTATTTAGACGTTTATTCACAAGACAAGTTCATTATCAACTCTCTAGATCATTGGATTGCAGACATAAAAACACCCATTAGATCTGGTCAAAACTTCAAACAGTGATAACTTTGCTCATAAAAAAGTATTTTGAATGAAATATTCATTTTTCATTATCTATTTTTAAACTATTATAGCAAGAACGGCCAGCTCTTTATTTAAATCTTACATAATGCATCTTTAAAAGCAATCATATCAAAAGCCATAATCTATCTCCTGTGGTATGATGTATGGATTAACCATCAGGAGCATACTGTATGAATTAGGAACCAACATTAAAAAAATCAAAGTCCGTTATCGATGACCTATTGTCCAAAGGACAAGCAGGACAAGTTAAATATCAAACATAGTCAGATTGACAAAGATGGTCTGACCAGGTGCTTTGTTTAAGACTTCACTGTTGCATGAAATCAAAAGAAAGTTATGGCAACTTTAGATGGTCATAACCTTAACAATTTTTTTAATAACTTTCACTGAAATCTTTTGATTGGGCTCTTTTTAATCCGATTTAATCAAAGCTGGGAAATTATCAACCATTGATAATATGATTTGAGCCTGCATCAGCGACGATGTTAACAATCTATTTAAGATATTGCCAGTATTTTCCTAGCTAATATATTAAATAATTTCAAAATTCCCTCTTCCTCCCCCCACCCACGCAAATAACCAAGTTCCTTTTGTCCCAGCTTGTTTTGGGAACATCTCATTCAAGATAACCCTATGAAAGGTATACACACATTAACCTATTATAGTAATTTTGCCTCTTGCTATTTTTTTTGTGTTTCCATGGAAACAAATCTGATTTGATTTTTATAAAAGGTCGTGTGATGCTGATGACCCATTCTTCGTGTTCTCATCTTTATGCTCTAAATTCTGAGATGAAGAAAGCTAAAAGCATCATATCCTAGCAACATATTTAAAAACATTTATCAGAATATCCCTATACCATAATCTAATGGTCCTGCCATTAACCTAAACATAGATTTTATTTTTTTTTGGCCTAAGGCCCGACCAATTTGAATTTCTGTTCTTTGGGAACACCTATTAAAAAATTTAAAATTTTGCCAATCTGATTAAATTACAGATCTATATTTCGTTTCGTTTTTTTTATACTTTTGATGGCCTACACTACACGAAAATCTGACCGGTTGTAGTAAAAGGTCGGTCAGAGGTCGTACGAACGGCTTTTGACTCTAGGACGTCAGACATTGATTAATCAATCGGCGTTGTCGTTTCTAGTGGGATATCTACAGTTCCGTGCATCGCTAGCCAAGAACTCACCGTAATAGACCGTTTCATTGGCGGTGAATCCCTCACTTCAACCAGAACACGAGTTATATAACAACTCTTCCTGATCTTCGTGTAGGTAAACACGAGTAAAAAGAAATTTTGAACTATAAAAAAACGAAAGGAAATAGGATCTGTGTTTTAAAGGCTCAATACCACTCTTGTTGTAACTGAATAATATGTCCCAATCTTTATTCTGGTCAACAAATTGTACTATTTTACAATATAAGAATGAATTGATGATACAAATTTCATCTTAACACACTTTATTTAAAAATTTTGAAAAATTCAACATAATGGTTTGAAAGGTCTAACCTAAACCTTTTCAAATGAAACTTCGAGTTAAAAATATTTTCGAACCCTCTGGACAAGTAAAATAGGATGTAATGCATAATTTACACAACAGGTAGGACACTAAAACATCTAGTACTTAGATAGAGATATTATTTATTTTCTGGAGCTTTCAAGCCAGCAAGAGTGTTATTGTCTCTTTAATCAGATTTAAATTTTGTCTCTAGTTTGTTCAAGGAGCAAACTGATTTAAAAACAAAACATATTTAGTTCCTCTTCTCAAAAGTATTTTAGTTCCAAATATGTAAGTTTTGAAATTTTAACAAAACATCAGACACTGGGTCCACAAAGAATTAAAATTAAATTGGTTTGGCTTAATGGTCCTTCCTAATAACATAACAACAATAACAACATAAATAAATATATATATATAGATAACACTACAACTTGGATATCGTGTTGTTGTGCTGTTTCAGCAGGAGTTTCTTTATTTAATTAATGTTTAGTTTCAAACCATTGTGGGGGGGTTGGATGGCCGAATGGTTAGCACGCGCGCGCGCTGTATCATACGGTCTGTCATTGAGTCAACTGGCGTGGTTTCGATTCCCCGGTTGTACGTCACAAGGAGTAGGGTCACCTGTCCAACCTCGGGGGTTTTCTCCGGGTCCTCCAGTTTCCTCCCACTGCTAAAGACCCCTACGCGCAAGTGAATTATAGAAATAAAATTGAACCATGTATTAGTCCCAAAATGATCTAGTTTGTGTCAGTGGACATTAAACCCCATTTCTCTCTCTCTCTCTCTCTCTCTCTCTCTCAAACCATTGTTGGCAAATTGTTCAAATTCGGGAAAGTAAACACTTATTATCTAATCTAGACAAACCATTTTAAACTACGGGAGAGAGAGAGAGATGGGTTTAACGTCCACTTGAAACAAAGTACCGGTAGGTCATTTCGGAACTAACATATGGTTCAATTTTAAACTACGCGACAGAGAGAAAGGGGGTTTAACGTCCACACCACACAAACTAGGTCATTTCGGGACTAACATATGGTTCAATTTTAAACTACGCGACAGAGAGAAAGGGGGTTTAATGTCCACACCACACAAACTTGGTCATTTCAGGACTAACATGAAATATTCAACTATTGTTGAAAGAGGGAGAAATTTTATTTCAATAATTCGTTTGCACATAGGGGTCTTTAGCAGTGGGAGGAAACCAGAGGACCCGGAGAAAACCCATGCTGTTGGACAGACGACTCGACTCCTTGTCATGTACAACCAGTAAAAATCCAATATTTTTAGATGAATTCTCAACAAATTTGAATAATTTGAAACTAAACATTAATTAAATAGCGAAACTTGTGTAAAACAGCTACAACTAAATGATACACGAGTTGTAGTATGAAATAACTCGAGATGATTTTTTCGCTACGTGAATTTATCAACTTTAATTGTCAAGGCCACTTCTGGCCGTCGTTGTTTCGGGGTGCTCATGTTGAAACTTGTCTTGTTTTCTTCTTTCTTGTCTTTTCTTCTGAAATAAAACAAAATTAAGTTTAGAATAGTTTCCTCCACTGAGTGGTTGACCTTTGATATGGCACTTATGTTGTTTATAGAAACTTGATATATGTTGTCGATTGCTTTCGTGTCTTGTCCATGGGTTTGTCTTATCGGTTTTGTTTGTGTGTAGCGCGGTCCTCCAGTAGTACTATCTAATAGAAATAATCACCATGGTTGCGAAACATCCACTACAGAGTTATTGCCCCTGTGATAATTTTTGTCTGTGCAGTGGTCTTTAACAGAGTTAAATCGCAGAGAAAAACAATGAAGTGAGACAGACGATTCTACACGTTCAGAATTCAACTACTGACACTTGCATTGATGACATTTGGCCTGCATTCCTTCCCTACCCCATCGAAATACTGAACCTAGTAAAACTACAAAACAACATCCCAGTCCGATCAGAGAGTGTCAACTTTAAAATAAAAAAAAATTAAAAAAAACAAGAAAAAAAACAAAAAAAAACGGACAGCCAAGAAGTGCCAAAATCTAAAAACAAAGTAGGCAAAAAAATAAACAACATAAAACAGTAAAAAAAAGATAAAATAGTGAAAAAAAAAACCCAAACATATAATAGGGAAAAAACATTAAATAGGAAATAAACATAAATTAGTGAAAAACATAAAATAGTAAAAAAAACATAAAATAGAGAAAAAACCCACATAAAATAGAGAAAAAACCCACATAAAATAGTGAAAAACATAAAATTGAGAAAACCATAAAATAGAAAAAAACGTTAAATAGTGAAAAACATTAAATAGGTAATAAACATATATAATTAGTATCATAATTTTATACAAGTTACAAAATAAAATCCAAAATACATACTTCATCTTTTTCTCTTCAGCCAGCCCGCCTAATTCTTGTTGAGCAATAATATCTTCTTCTGTATTAAAATCATTGATATCATCTGTAGACGTTACTACATCCTGTAATATCAAATACAATAGCTTTATACAAGAGGATTGATGTTGAGTTAACAATTTGGTCTCTAAAGCGCTTGTACCCATCTTCAACCTATGTGAGACGAACCTCTTGTTTGGCTCCTATCGCAAGTTTCCCTATTCACGGAGCGATTGAACAAGGAGTTAAAGATGCATTATATAAGATTAGATAAAGAGCTGGCCGTTTTTATAATAGTTCAAAATAGATAATGAAAAGAGAATATATTGAAAATTTCATTCAGATTACTTTATCCCAAGCGAAGTTATCACTGTTGATTATCGTAGCAACGGTACTGGACAATCAAGGAATAGTCTTGATTATCCATTTTATCATTAAAGTTTTAAATCTCTATGGCCTACTACTCTTATACTGAAATCCAACTGCCAAGGGGACTCGTCCCATCCAGCGACTATATGTTGTCCATTGCCAGGCTCTCTGTCCTGCACCACTGACAAGGGGGAACCATGCTGGACAATCGTGATTGAAGTTTCTCGGCTAATAACGGAATCAAAGACGGGTCCCCCAGGTTAGTGAGCCAACATCTTATTCACTAGGCCACCCTACAACCATTAAAGAACCAATTAAAAGTTCATAGATTTACCTTGACACCAATAACGTCACCATCTGATATATAAAATGGTGCCTGACGGGTCCCCCAGGTTAGTGAGTCAACATCTTATTCACTAGGCCACCCTACAACCATTAAAGAACCAATTAAAAGCTCATAGATTTACCTTGACACCAATAACGTCACCATCTGATATATAAAATGGTGCCTGACGGGTCCCCCAGGTTAGTGAGCCAACATCTTAATCACTAGGCCACCCTACAACCATTAAAAAACCAATTAAAAGTTCATAGATTTACCTTGACACCAATAACGTCACCATCTGATATATAAAATGGTGCCTGACGTAAATTCATTTTCTCAACTTTAACTTTTCTCTTTCCTTTTTTACCTTTTCCTGAAGAAGGCTTCGACTAAAATAAAAACAAAAATTCACAATTTAATTTATTTTAGTGACATTTAGTAACTGGATGAGAATAACACATGACAATATTATATAGAATACAAGTTACTTGAACGGTTTTGTTTTCAGCCACCTTTCAACAAGGGTTCTTCCGGCTTATCAAGCAAAGAATTATAAAGATGAAAGAATCGTTGAAATGTCGCTGAAATAAATCCTTCAACTAACTTGTATTCCATATAATTTTGTCATGTGTTATTATAATTTAATGTTGGCAATTGAGGATACAAGTGTCTTTTGAGGGGTGAGGATTCTTCTTTCAAGTCCACTTTACATCTATCTATTATAATCTGAAATGAAAAGAAGTTTAACGTCCTACTGTTCTGCTCCGAACTGGGCTAATAAAGATGGGCATATGCCATACAGTGTGCTATAAGGGAAATTTTGCCCGGACAACGGCAATATGGCCTACTCTTATATCGAATTCCAATTGTCAAGAGATCTTTTATGTGCACGCCAATGTGTACACGGGAGCTCGGTTTTTCGTCCCATCCGAACGACTAGACAGTTGTCCTTGTCAGCCAGCGTCTTACCCACCCTGACCCCACCCCACCAATCCACTTTCTAACAAACTTCCACATCTACACAGATTTCACCCATTGATGGATTATGCCAAAATAAAAAGCTGCAATAAGCAGATTTAGCTCTTACATAATGCATGTTAAACCCACCTGTATTGGTTGTTTCTCTTTGATTATTAACCAATCACATTTAGCTGGCTGATATTTAGCCAATAGAATTTGATTAACTGGTAACGAGAGGGCGTCTGCTATAGTGTGTTGAAGCCTGTCGATGCCAGTACCTGTTGATATATCCCAGATAACCTCTACACCTGCTGTATATGTCTTGGTTCCGGCTATGTGCTGCCTTACTTCCAAAACTATCTCGCTCGTACTGAAATACATAGATATCACCGGTATATCATACCTACAGTATCCTACAGTATTATATGATAGTAATCTACCTACAGTATTATATGATAGTAATCTACCTACAGTATTATATGATAGTAATCTACCTACAGTATTATATGATAGTAATCTACCATACCTACAATATTATATGACAGTAATCTACCATACCTACAGTATTATATGATAGTAATCTACCCTACCTACAGTATTATATGATAGTAATCTACCCTACCTACAGTATTATATGATAGTAATCTACCCTACTTACAGTATTATATGATAGTAATCTACCCTACCTACAGTATTCTATGATAGTAATCTACCCTACCTACAGTATTATATGATAGTAATCTACCATACCTACAGTATTCTATGATAGTAATCTACCATACCTGTATTCTACAGTAGGCCTATTATATGACAGTAAACCATACCTTAATTTTTCTTCTGTAGGTAAAACTTGAATAGCGATATCTTCACTTGAGCGTATTTTATGTCTCCTGTAACAATAATGCACATGTATTTGATTTAAAATAACTTTATATTTAATAATTGATCAGATTAACACAATTACTATGTGACGATTCGACGAGGATACTCTCATCAAATGATACAAAAATAACATTTTCATCAAATGATACAAATATAACATTTTCATCAAATGATACAAAAATAACATTTTCATCAAATGATACAAATATAACATTTTCATCAAATGATACAAAAATAACATTTTAATCAAATGATACAAAAATAACATTTTCATCAAATGATACAAATATAACATTTTAATCAAATGATACAAATATAACATTTTAATCAAATGATACAAATATAACATTTTCATCAAATGATACAAATATAACATTTTCATCAAATGATACAAATATAACATTTTAATCAAATGATACAAAAATAACATTTTCATCAAATGATACAAAAATAAAATGAAAAGTTGGTTTAATATCCTATTTTCTGCAGCAACTGGGCTAACGAAGACGGGCATATGTCATATGGAATCAATATCCCTCCCGTAACTTCACTCCGTGAGTAAGACATTGGTTCACTATCCTGGGCTAACGAAGACGGGCATATGTCATATGGAATCAATATCCCTCCCGTAACTTCAATCCGTGAGTAAGACATTGGTTCACTATCCTGGAGGCCCCATGTTTGAATTTGATCTTCGGGGTTATTCTGTGTGGTTCCCCGATAGTGCAGTGGTGCAGGATGGAGGGCCTGGCATGGGACAATGTATAGTCCCTTGGATGGGCCGAGAAACCGAGGTCCTGTGAACACATTGGCGTGTACATTAGAAAAACCTTGACAGATGGAATTAAAAATTATAATAGGCTGTAGTGCCGCTTTCTGGGCAAAATTGACCTCATAGCATACTGTATGGCGTATGCCCGTCTTTATTAGTCGGTGCAGAACATGTTGTAGGACGTTAATTTTTTGAAGAGTATAAATTGACGTACTTGATTGTGTGTGAATGATCTCTAAGAATGGTTGATGGACGTAGATTGTTTAATAATCTAACACGTATATTATATATACTAGGTAACGCCAGACGTGCGACTTTCGGTAACGTTAAAATTTGCATTTTTAATTCTTCTAATGTTGACTCCTTCCATATATCTATCTCTCCCATATGAATCGATGTTTGTCCTTCTGAATTTGATTGGCTGTCTTTGTCTTCTTCTGATTGATTGGTGCCCAGTAGAAGACCTGCACCGAATGATAAATAAATAAATGGATGGAGAGAAATGGGGTTTGATGCCCACTCAACAATAAATTAATGGACTAAATGTTTTATAACACTGTCTTTAAATCCTAGAAATGTCTGGATCTAGTAGGATGAACAACAAAAGAGAGAGAGGGAGAGAGATGGGGTTTAACATCCACATGACACAAACTAAGTCATTTCCGGAGTAACACATGGTTCAATTTTATTTCAATAATTTGTTTGCACGATAAAATCTAAAGCAGTGAGAGTAAATCGGAAGAACCAGAGGAATCCCATTAGGTTGGACAGGCGACCCTACTTGCCACCTACGACCAGGGAATCGAAACCACAGCAGTTGACTTACTGACAGACCTTACAATACATCGCGCACATGCTACCCATTCGGCAATCCAACCGCTCGAACACCAAAAGGAATGATAGCTTGCAATGCAACGAATATACGTCCATGAATGTTATCACATTGTTATTCTTTTGTAGCTAACTGGAACATTTCAAGACAATAAAAACTGACCAAGAGCATCAACCTATGAATCAATGTTCAGAAATAATTAAAATTTTATATGCTTCTAGAGCTCTAAAATAAATAAAACCTATACTAGCTAATTATAACTTCAGCTGTTGGAGTTATTGGCTTGTAGAAAATCAATAGACTTTTTCATCTCCTGAACATAAACATTGTATACAAATTTCAAATATATTGAATGATAACCGTAGGGTCCACAAATATGTCATTGGCCAATTTCGTATATCAAAGGAAATGAAATGAAATGAAATGTGCTTAACATCCTACTGTTCTGCTCCGAACTGGGCTAATGAAGACGGACATACGCCATACAGTGTGTTATGGGGGAAATTTTGCCTGGACAGCAGCACAACGGCCTACTCATATATCGAATTCCAAATGTCAAGGGATCTTTTACGTGCACGTCAATGTGTACACAGGACCTCAGTTTTTCGTCCCATCCGAAAGACTAGACAGCTGTCCTTGTCAGGCTCAATATATCAAAGGAACACTGTGTATAAATTTCAAGTAATGCTAACTTTAGTCTTGAGAGCATCTACTGAGAGCATCTACAAGCAATTGTGGAAGACCGGACAGACAGACAGACAGACAGACAGACAGACAGTGAGGGTGATCCAAATACTAAAGAAATAATACTTCCATAATAATTACTAAATATAAATCTTAATATTATGTTACCTTGAAGGCCATTGGTAAACCATGTTAATAAACCAGAGTTTTGATTGGCTGTTGTTGGAAGACTCGACAGTAGAGGGTAAAGCCAAATAGTTAAAATCAGAAAACCCTGAAGTAGAAAATCAGATCAATAAAATGTTTGTGAATAAAATCCCCAAAAGTATATTTATAATTTTGAAAACTAATGAAATGAAATTTTAGTTTAAGGTATGTTTTTTGTGCACCAAATATGACAACTGAGATAAACACTTGGGCCTACTCTTATTTCAAATTCTAACGGTCAGATCCAGTGTTTCTAACTGGAAGATATCGCATTTCTAATCTGGAGATCCAGCGTTCCTAACCGGGAGATCCAGCGTTCCTAACCGGGAGATCCAGCGTTCCTAACCGGGAGATCCAGTGTTCAGTGTAAATAATGAAAGGAATTGAACATTTTTGGGACCGATATTCCTTTAGTGATTCAACTTTCCCAATATTCTAGTTCATATTATATCAAATTCCAACTGTTGAGGTTATTTTACGTGCACGCCAATGTGTACATGGGACATAGGTTTTCCATACCATTCGAATGACTATACGTTGTCTCTTGCCGGACCCTCCATCCTTCACCACTGACAAGGGTGAACCCAGCCGAAGAATCCGGTGAACTTTCTCGGCCAATGGTGGGTTCGAACACGGGACCTTCAGGTTAGCGGACAATGCAGGGATCGAACACGTGTCCACCAGGTTAGCGAGCTAATGCAGGGATCGAACACGGGACCTCCACAGGTTAGTGAGCTAACATCTTACTCAGTGAGTCACCGTGCACCCCTCCCCCTCAAATGTCGATCAGAGACTTCAATTTGATCAAATCCTCACCTTTACTGGTAAACGGCCCTCTTCTATCAACAAATGATCTCCATCTTGAACTTGAAGTTGATTCAAGGTCATATGAAGGTCATCTAATACATCAGTAGGTTCACCACACCAGTTAGTTTTACGTAGATGCCAGTTCTCACCTACAACAGTGTCATATAAAAACAAAGAGTGAGAGAGAGAAATGAGGTTTATCATCAACTTAACACAAACTAGATCATTTCCAGACTTACAGGGTTTAATTATTTGCTCGTGCATAGAGCTCCAGGGGCGGATCCAGGAATTTTTGCATGAGCCAGGTTTCTGTTAAGGAAATATGACAGTTGACAATGCATAATGCCATCATCGTTTCCAAATTACGTAGGCATACATACACACTAAACATTGATGTAAAGTATTAATTATGATATCACATGTCTATATCATTATCTCACACTTTGAATGCCCATCCCATCCCACCATCTGATGATAAAGAAGGCTAAAGCACAAGACCGTAGCACTTTTCTAATGAAAGGTTATTTTACAATTTTTTTTATGTAGCTGAGGGTGGGGGGGGGGGAGTTGGGTGTTGAGGGTTGTATTGGATCTTGCCCTGGGGGTGTTTAGCAATGGGAGGAAACCAAAGGATCTCAAGAAAAACCACGAAGCTGGAGAGGGGACCTTACTCCTTGTCACTTATAAGTTTGGGATCCAAACTACACCACAGGACTCAATGACAGACATGATAGAAAGTGCACGGCCATACCTTTAGCAGCACTAAACATGCTGAAGATTAATAGTTATTGTGGTGGATTTAACGTACCTGGTAAACCAGATTGTAATAACATAGCATCGAGACATTCTTGTACAGTAATAGTATTATCTAAAATAATTTCTTCTTCTTTTATTAACATATTCTTTACAGGTTTTACTGGTGCATACGTTAACTTTATCTATAATAATAATAAAATATAACAGATAAAAGGAATGTTACCAGGCGAACTTAATTGTTGGCACTGGTATAGTTTTATTTCAGTATTATGTACAGTCTATGGAGCAATAGTCTCAAGCTAAAAATAACAATATAAAAAAGATCACTCTTTGCTAATTGCTTCAGGGAAATGAAATGGGATTTAACGTCCTACTGTTCTGCACTGACTGGGCTATTGAAGACAGGCATACGCCATACAGTGTGCAATGAGGGAAATTTTACCCAGATAGTGGCGCTACAGCCTACTCTTATATCAAATTCCAACTGCCAAGGGATCTTTTACGGGCATGTCAATGTGTACATGAGACCTCTGTTTTTCGTCCCATCTGAACGAATATTTGTTGGCCCTTACCAGACCCTCCGTCCTGCATCACTGACAAGGGGAAACCACGCCAGAAAATCTTGATGAACTTTCTCGGCCAAGGCAGGGATCGAACACCCGACTTCCCGGCTAGCGAGCCAACGTTTTACACTGGGAGCCACTGTAGCTCCAACATGTATCAGGTGATAAAGTAATGCTCTGTGGGAGGTAGTTTGTAAGTCTAATAACTATAATTATTCACTCTCTTGTTTCTAAGAGAAAGATTATATAATGGGAGATAACTCAAAAGGATTCCAATAAGTAATAAAGGGGGAGGAAACTCTTCCATGAAAGGTGGCAATGGTACACAATGTATATAAGATCCTAACCACTGAGTTGATTATAGCTGAAAGACTTGGTTGAGGTGTTGTAACAGTATTATCACAGGATGTTGATGATGTAGTCTGTAAGGCAGTGTTGGTATCTATACAATTATTCTTAGTAAAACCTATACTAAAATCACTAGAATTTTCACCATCTAATACTATAGTATATACAGGTGGTTCACTATTTCCTATCTGTAATATAAATATAGGTTATTATTCACCAGGTAACAAGGCTTATGGTAAATTAAATCAAGTTTATTCTACTCTAAATCTTAGATTGGACTTGAATCCATGGCACTCGATTGATAGGACTTAGCAGGACTTGAATCCATGGCACTTGATTGACAGGACTTAGCAGGACTTGAATCCATGGCACTTGATTAACAGGACTTAGCAGGACTTGAATCCATGGCACTTGATTAACAGGACTTGAATCCATGGCATACGATTTGCAGAACTGAGAGACGACTCAAATCCATGTCACTCAATTTCTATTCTGTCATTTTTGAGATTAACATATGGTTGCTGTTTTCTTCTCTATTGTGTAGTTATACCGGACTTCTTTGTTGTGTTTCCTTCGTGATGTAAATATAACTACAGGTTAGTTCGTTTCTACAACTTTATTATTAAAACCTCTTTGCATCAATGTTCCTTGTTCTCAATAACTTGTTTATATAGCTTTTGATGGCTGCTCTGACAGACTGGGTGAGCTCTGATGAATTTCGTTCAACACCCTCTTTTATAACCCTCTAATTTCTTTACATTAATTTCCTTCCCAAATATGGAATAAACATCCCAATACCCCAAAGACCGAGAGAAGAACATTACCTTATTTGGTCTACCAAACACTATCATAAACAAGATAGTATTTGATGGATATTTTGATAATGGAAAGAACATAACCAGTGTTTTTACCAAAATATCACTGTCTTTTATATATAAACATATAACTGAATTTAATTTGAGTGAGATTTGACTCTATATAATTAGTTTAAGATACAATGTGGTCGTAAAGACTATTTCTAACTACTATTCATCAAATTCCATATGACAATATGTATGTAAGTGGACCTCAGTCTTTCATCTCATCCAAAATGTCTTTGTCCATCCTTTAGCTCACTACTCATATAAAATTGCAGAGAGAGAGAGAGAAATGGGGTTTAACGTCCACTCGACACAAACTAGGTCATTTCGGGACTAACATATGGTTTTAATTTTATTTCAATAATTCGCTTGCGCGTAGGGGTCTTTAGCAGTGGGAGGAAACCAGAGGACCCGGAGAAAACCCACGAGGTTGGACAGGCGACCCTACTCCTTGTCACGTACAACCGGGGATTCGAAACCACGCCAGTCGACTCAATGACAGACTTTATGATACAGCGCGCGCACGCTAACCATTCAGCCATCCAACCCCCCCATATAAAATTGCAACACCGGTTCTTCAAGAGTGATGAGTCAAGTGCTTGGACTAGTACAACTACCATGGTAGTGCCATCTAGCACCCCCCACTGTGACAAATGAACGTATATTATGATAAAAAAAGATAATCTATATTTTTCTCTCTCACCTGGTTTCCATCCCAGACTAATATTTTATCACCATCAACAATAGATACATCACCAACAGTTTTACTAACATCACCTGAAAAAACATTAATCAATACATTAATCTCATATAAACAGCTTTCTAAAAAATTTCATAGTATGCAATACCTTGTATGACATGGGGACGAATACGGTAATAGAATTCAAGGGATTGATTTACCGAGGCATGATAGGGATCTATTTGGTTGTTATTAATAACAGGAATATATGTATAATCAGCATGCTTGTATATTTACCGAATTATCAATATTATTGTTACTTGGATCATATGAACTGAATGGGGCAGCATTCATCATTTGCCAGGTGGTGGATTCTAACAAACTTATCACTGTTAAGGATCAGCTGATTCCTTGATTGACTTCTCATGATCGATGTTCCAGTAATAATTAAATCTTTGTTACTAATAATAATATCGTCACTTATAAACTTTGATACGAAAGTAGACTGATGTATGATACCATAACTAGCTAGTTCATTGCTTTATCAATCACTGTTGATTAAGATCTCTAATTCAAACAGTACATACACGTACCTGTCAGATATTTTATACAGTACATACCTGTCCGAGATTACATATTGCTACATACCTGTAAGGTTACATATGGTACATACCTGTCCGAGATTACATATTGCTACATACCTGTCAGGTAACATATGGTACATACCGGTCTGAGATTACATATTGCTACATACCTGTCAGAGATTACATATTGCTACATACCTGTAAGGTTACATATGGTACATACCGGTCTGAGATTACATATTGCTACATACCTGTCAGACATTCAAAGACATGTAAACCAGCTGGAGATTCCTTGATTCTGTTTAAAACAGGATTAGATGGAACCAATTCTCCTCCTAGCTGTAATTAAAATAAATCAAGACTCATATACAAAATACAACAACACCCCAACATGAACTTATACAAAATACAACAACACTTCCATATAAACTCATACAAAATACAACAACACTCCAACATAAACTCATACAAAATACAACAACACTCGCACAAACTTATACAAAATACAGCAACACAATCATATAAACTCATACAAAATACAACAACACTCCAACGTAAACTCATACAAAATACAACAACACTCCAACATAAACTCATACAAAATACACAAATGAATTGTTGTTTGCTCTATTTCCATCATCAACTGGACAAATGTGTGGGATCATCTGACGTGTATACCAAACAGACTTGATCTTTATTCAACAAAACATTTTAGTCTCCCTGGTACGGGAGCCACGGTGACTCAGGGAGTAGGATGTTGGCTCGCTAACCTTGAGGTCCCATGTTCGATCCCTGCGTTTGCCAAGAAAGTTCATCAAGATTTTTTGACGTGATTCCCCCTTGTCAGTATTGTAGGACGAAGGTCCTGGCAAGGGACAACGTATAGTCATTTGGATGGGATGCAAAGCCGAGGTCCCATGTACACATAGGTGTGCACGTAAAAGAACCCTTTGACAGTTGGAATTCAACAAAAGACTAGGCCGTAGCGCTGCTGTCCAGGCATAATTTCCCTCAAAGCACATTGTATGTCCATCTTTATAAGCCCAGTAGGAGCTAAACCGCAGGACATTAAACCACATTTCATTTCATTTCATTTACTGTGTACCTACCTCCATAATAGCCGATAATAATTCTACCATCGTGAGCCGTCTGTCAAACATCAACTCTAACCACGGAACGAGAGAATCTGATCGTGTTTCAAGGACACCATTGTTTACGTTATATTGTGAACTGAAGTGAATCTGTAGCGTTATTTTATTTATTAATTCATCGTAATCGGCCCGCTGTTTCTCTAACTCACGATTCTCCATCTCTACTTCTGCCAATAAATCTTTACCGATACAATAACTCGGATTGTTTCTGGCTGAAAGTACAAAGGGCTATACCGAAACACCGGAAAACACCGAAAAACAGCGGAAAACAATTGGAAAACATCGGAAAACTACCGGAAAACCACTAAATACCGGAAACCACCCTAAATACCGGAAACCACCCTAAATAGGTAACCCGGAGAAGGGCTATACTATAAACCGGAAACTAACCGTAACCCTAACCCTAACCCAGGCACACAGAGGACCAGGCTCCCGGTTACCTATTTAGGGTGGCAGTCTCCGGGTTACCTATTTAGGGTATTTTCCGGTATTTAGTGTGTTTTCCGTTATTTAGTGTTTTTCCGGTGTTTTCCGGTATTTAGTGTTTTTCCGGTGTTTTCCAGTATTCAGTATAAAATGGTGTTTTCCGGTGTTTTCCGTTATATTGTATTGCCGAAGTACGAATAAGGTTTTAAGATCAGTGCAACATCTTTATCGATCATGCGAACATGAACAACTGCGTATCCAGTGTAGAGAGGAAGAGAAATTTAAAAAAATAAATAATTTCAAAACAGGAGGTTAATTATGATTATTATATTATTAGTGGTTGACCCGGTTGCGACTTAAACTAGAAGTAATATCACTCTGTAACCCAACGTGGTCACCCCGCCACTCGATCATTTCAACAAACTTAATTTATTACAATTTGAGCCCTAAATTACAAGCAAATCACTTGAAACCGCAAGTCGTAATGCAACAACAGCACGTCTATGTCACATGTTTTTTTGAAAAAGGGGTCTTCAGTGTATATAAATTCTGACCTACATTTTATGCAAAGAATGATTTTAAGTAAGATATTTACCTTCGGAAGGTCTGGGTAAGTTTTTACGTCTATAAAACAGCATATAAGCACTCTCTCTTCCATGAAACTGTTTCTCTATATCGCTAGTTCTGATGGGAAAAACTCTGGCATCGTCAAAATCATACCAACATCTTCCCTCTTCAGGAGGAGGTAACTCTGGTCTACTGTAAAAACATATAATTAAATACAGTGATTTACCTTGTTTGCTTTTTATTACACAGATGAGTGGTCTAGTGGTCCAACACGTAAATCATATGGTATGTTATTGAGTCAAGTATTAAGGTTTTCAACAAAGAATAGGGTCGACTGTCGAACCTCACAAGTTTTCTTTAGTTTGAGGTTGGATGGCCGAATGGTTAGTGTGTGCATGTTGTATCATAGGTCTGTCATTGAGTCAACTGGCATGGTTTCGATTTCCCTGTTGTACGTGACAAGGAGTAGGGTCGCCTGTCCAACCCTGTGGGTTTTCTCTGGGTCCTCTGGTTTCCTCCCACTGCTAAAGACCCCTTCAAGCAAGCGAATTATTGAATCTCTCTCCCTCTCCTTCCTCCCATTTCCTCTCTAAACACACCAACTTATTGCTTTCTTTCTCCACCCCCCTTCCTTATTCCTTAGCGTCTGCTGAAGTTTATATCTGAATTATCATTCGGAACAATGAGGTTATATTTACCATTTTACATCTGTTTTATCTCCATCTGTTGATTGGTTATCAGGTTCTTTATTACTAGTATCTGATATACGATTGGTCGATTTCAGATGTATCATGTTTTTTGATTGGTTGAATTCAAACACATCATCATGCTTTCTTAAAAACTGTAAAAATATATAATGGATTTCCACATAAGCAATTTTGAAATAAAACTCTACGGATTTTAAAGATGCATTATATAAGATTTAGATAAAGAGCTGGCTGTTCTTGATATAATAGTTCCAAAATAGATAATTCAAAATGAATATATTGACAACTTTAATAAAATTACTTTATTCTGAGCGGAGTAATGACCATTTGACAAACGTACTTGACCTAGTTTAACATGTGACCTTTGTTATTGGTCCATATCGATAAATCGTGAATATACGAACCTTTGTCATTGCTCCATATTTTTGTTTAAATCTACTGTTCCATGATACACCTGTTCTTTTAACCATGGCCTGAAATAAAATGGGGTTTAACGTCCTACTTTTCTGTACCACTGGTCTAATGGAGAATAAATCACATCATGCTGTTGGTTATGATGGAAATATTGCTATTATTTGCAATTTCCAAATGTCAGATCTTTAATGGGCTGCCAATAGCAAATACAGGACCTCAGTATGAAAGGTTCTGAACTGAAAATCTGCATTTAAATAAATAGATATTTTGCAATGAAATGGTAATATAGCTTATTCTTTTCTTCTCATATAATTAACTTACCGAGCCTAGTTTATCCAGTTCCATAGCTTTATTATTATTTTCATTTAACAAAGCTTCTATTAACTGTAATGGTGAATCAAACTCTTGAACATCCAGTTTCTTACTTTTTTCACTAGGAATCAGTTGTATCTCTGCATCATCCTATATAACAAAAGTCAAAAATTACAACGCAAAAAAGACGAAGGAACGAACGAACAAAAGAGGGTTTAACCTCCTAAATTTCTGCACCAAATGGGCTAAGAAAGACAGGCATACGCCATAAAGTGTTCTGTGAGGGAAATTTCTTTCAGACAACAAATGGACAATCAGCGATGATAAGATATTAAGTGACAGGATTATACTTGAGTGAAGATGTCTTAATTAATCATAAATGGATATGGATTAAATTGTAGTAAGTGTATGTATTAAATACATATAGTTTTGTTTTGGTCATTTTATGTGCTCTTTAACTTACTGGATTATACCACGTCCCTAGATTATCGACATCTCTGATATAAGATATTTACTTACAGGATTATACCACGTCCCTAGATTATCGACATCTCTGATATAAGATATTTACTTACAGGATTATACCACGTCCCTAGATTATCAATCGACGTCTCTGATATAAGATATTTACTTACAGGATTATACCAAGTCCCTAGATTATCAACGTCTGTGATATAAGATATTTACTTACAGGATTATACCAGGTCCCTAGATTATCGACATCTCTGATATAAGCGTGATAATGTCCACCATACGCTCCACCTTGATGTATTACAATTGAAAATAACTCGAACTCATCACAAACACTAGGCTGAAATATAACATTTTGTTTTTACAGTAAATCAAATGCAATAAAATGGGGTTTAACATTCTAGCTTCATCTAGGTTAATAAAGACAGGTTTTAGATATGTTAATAAAGACAGGTTTTAGATATATTAATAACTCAAATATATAACACGTGATATCAGGTGGTCAATCAGGTAAGCATAACCTGCCTAAATCACAACACTCATCATGAATTATGATTAAATAGAGAAGTAGTTTAGACTTGAATTTTAGAAGTTGAAACTGATATTAGCTACTATAATATTAAATTAATTACATACAAAGAAGCTTTGTAAACTTTGATCAATATCCAATCAGAAATTGAGGGGTTGAGGGTACAGTAAACAAGTGGTAAGGGCAGTAGCAAGTATTGAATGATTAAAATGGGAGGGGCATGGAACCAGCAACAGTATTTAAGTTAACAATCTTGTGCCTTTATTTCTGTTTTTAAAGTTCATTAGAAGACCTGTATCTTTACCAGTAGATAGAATTATGTTTTTTGTAGAGGAATAGATGATTTTATTAACTCCAAAGGGTTATCAATGATCTAGATTACTTGAATGGAGAGAGAGAGAGAAATGGGGTTTAATGTCCACTCGACACAAACTAGGTCATTTCGGGAATAATATACGGTTCAAATTTATTTCAATAATTCGCTTGTGCGTAGGGGGTCTTTAGCAGTGGGAGCAAACCGGAGGACCCGGAGAAAACCCACGCGGTTGGACAGGTGATCCTACTCCTTGCCACGTACAACCGGGGATTCGAAACTTGCTAGTTGACTCAATGACATGTCTTATGATACAGCATGCACATGATAACCATTTTACCTGATTGGTGTATGGTGTCATGTTTATATCATGGTGTAGAGATTACCTGACTGGTGTATGGTGTCATGTTTATGCTATAGTTTAGAGTACCTGATTGGTGTATAGTGCCATGTTTATGCCATGGTCTAGAGATTACCTGATCTGAATATGGTGCCATGTCTATGGTTAAAGGAAAAGAGAATTTTCCTGATTCCTTGTATCTCTCCATCTTCTGGAAGTCGTAACTGAATCGTAATAATGATACAGATAGTATTGGTGGAAGCTTTCGTAGTTTAGCACCCTGTAAACGACGAGATAAAATAAAACATACTATACAATCCATTCTACATATTATTATTATTATTATTACAGCATATTTATAGTGCGCCCTTTCATATAACATGTTCAGGAGCACTTTACAAAGTGCAATGTAATCATAAAAAAACAACAAGATTATGGACATGTTAACGATTGTAAAAGACTGATTAAATAAATGTGTAGCGAATAAAATACAGATTAATGAAAGGAGCTAAATATCTGACTCAATATCATCCATAATATTCTGAATTACATTTCAATATTGGTTAAGGGGATCACTTGGCTAAGTGGGTAAGACGCTGGCTCGCTAGCCTGGAGGTCGGGTGTTCGATCCCTGCATTGGCCGAGAAAGTACATCCAGATTTTCCGGCGTGGTTCCCCCTTGTCAGTGATGCAGGACGGAGGGCCTGACAAGGACAGCTGTCTAGTCCTTCGGATGATACGAAAAACCGAGGACTGTGTATACATTGGAATGCACGTAAAAGATCCCTTGGCAGTTGGAATTCGATATAAGAGTAGGCGATAGTGCCGCTGACCGGGCAAAATTTCCCTCATAGCACACTGTATGGCGTATGCCCGTCTTCATTAGCCCAGTATAGGAGCAGAACAGTAGGATGTTAAACCCCATTTCATTTCATTTCATTTCAATATTGGTCCATTTTAAATCAATATTGATTTAGTTATCTTGTGAAAAAATGAGATCCTAATATCCAATATTTAAGACAAACGACAAAATAAAAATTAAAAAAAAAATGTATAGAATGGACTAAGCAGGCGTAAATGACTGTTGTTCAATTTAGATTGTTCATATATTTCACCGAGCATAATGGATTAGAAATGAAAATAACTGGTTATATCAAATCTACACTAACTATGTTCACTACATTTATGGCAAGGTTTGGAGGCTATTGTTCTACCACATTCCAACAGTTGTCATGAAACACAGTCATCAACATCTCCCGCCCATGTATACCAAAACTGTAGTCAAATTTGTTTCCATGGAAACACAAAATTATTAAATCTGAGAATTTCTAATAAACAATAGGTTGTTGTGTGTACAAATTTCATTGGGTTTGTGAGATATAATCTAAAAATAAAACCAAGATAGACAGACAAAACCTATTTCATATCCCTCATCTAACTTTGTTCGATATGGGATATTGAATAATTTTACCTTTTTAGCGTTGACTAGTTTATTGCAAGTTTCACATTTATATTGATTTTTTCCGTCCATTAATTCTGTTTCCTGATAATATCTACATAATGCTGTTTTCAGATCAATATTACCAGCTACAGTTAACGTCAAATCCAAAAAATCTTCCTGAAAAATTCAAAATAATTTCAGGTGTCAAAGGTCGCTGATGCTGATTTTTTGAAAAACGCCTAATTTTTCAGAGAAAAAAAAAACAAAATAAAAGAGGCCCATTAAAAGATTTTTAAGAGTACCTTCAGGTGGCACTTGCTTGTTTATAATAATAATGTGAATATTCGTAATTACCATCGACAAAAATTAAAACAGAATATCAATGGTATATAATCTCCTGACTTCAATCAGATTAAAGAAAGAGAGAGAAATGGGGTTTAACGTCCACTCGACACAGACTAGGTCATTTCGGGACTAACATATGGTTTAATTTTATTTCAATAATTCGCTTGCGCGTAGGGGTCTTTAGCAGTGGGAGGAAACCGGAGGACAGGAGAAAACCCTCGAGGTTGGACAGGCAACCCTACTCCTTGTCACGTACAACCGGGGAATCGAAACCACAGCAGTTGACTCAATGACAGGCCTCGTGATACAGCACGCGCGTGCTAACCATTCGGCCATCCAACCCCCCATCATAAATGTAAGGGATTAATTGACAATAGTCTAGTTTAATGTAAGGGATTAAAAATTGATCAAATTTGCCAATTTAAATTAAAAGTGAAGTATAAGAGACTTGCTTGGACATTTTATTTGTTATTCTGATGACATAAGATTAATTATTAATTAACTACTTACCTCCCTTTCTCTACAAGTTTCACACTCCATGCATTTAATCTGTTAAATATAACACAAGTTATATCATATAACACAAGTTATATCATAATCTGTTAAATATATCATAAGTTATATCATAATCTGTTAAATGTATCACAAGTTATATTATAATCTGTTAAATAAATCACAAGTTATCTTATAATCTGTTAAATATATCACAAGTTATATTATAATCTGATAAATATCACAAGTTATATTATAATCTGTTAAATATATCACAAGTTATATTATAATCTGTTAAATATATCACAAGTTATATTATAATCTGTTAAATATATCACAAGTTATAATATAATCTGTTAAATATATCACAAGTTATATTTGATAATAAAATGGCTGTATCTGTTAAATATATCAAAAGTTATATTTAATCATAAAATGACTTTATCTATAACAAGTTATATTTATTATAAAATGTCTTAATCTGTTAAATATATCAAATATACTCAATTCTTTTTAAATCAATGGTACCAGTATGTATCTGACTTTCAACAGTTAACCAGGCCCTGGTTTCACAAAACATTCTAATACTTAATTTAAGAATTTACTCAACTTCCAATCACTGTTTATGATGAATATTTTTGATCCAGAAACAAAAAAGTTTGCACATAGTTTCTTATTGATGTATTTGATATATTAAACAACAAAAGTTTTATAAAGGGTTATATTTTAAATACCAGCAGCTGCCAGGCAGGATACGCCCACATTTTCGAGAGATGGATAGAGAACAAGCTAAAAAAAAAAGTGATGTTTCTAACAATCAGGGGCCATAATTCGGGAAGATACTGTCCGATATGTGCGAGTATGGACAGGAACCGAGATCTTTGGATTATAAACTTACATTTCAAGTTTTAACAAAATCGGATAAAAATTGTGACCTCTATAGGGTCCACAACCTTGATATACCATATTTTTACGTTATTTGAGAAGAGGGGTGGTCATTTTATCTGTCATTTTTGGGCCGATTTTCACGAAATTCGAACTCAGCTCAGCTTTCCTTAGGGTGTAATGGTGATATAATAATACGTTTTTTCAGATCGGATAAAAATTATGACCTCTATAGGGTCCACAAGCTAAAAACGCAATTTTTTGTACAATCAGGGGCCATAATTCAGGAAGTTACGATCCGATATGCGCGAATATCGAAAGGAACCACGATCTTTGGGTTATAAACTTATATTTCAAGTTTCAACTAAATCGGATAAAAATTGTGACCTCTATAGGGTCCACAACCTTCATATACCATATTTTTACGCTATTTGAGAACAAACGGCGGCCATTTTGTCTGTCAGTTTTGGGCCGATTTTCACGAAATTTGAACTCAGCCGTCCTTAGGGTTTAACTGTGATATAATAATATGTTTTTTTAAATCGGACAAAAATTATGACCTCTATAGGGTCCACAAGCTAAAAACGCGATTTTTCGTACAATCAGGGGCCATTATTCAGGAAATTACGTTCCGATATGCACGAATAGCGAAAGGAACCGAGATCTTTGGGTTATAATCATACATTTCAAGTTTAAACTAAATCGGATAAAAATTGTGACCTCTACAGTGTTCACAAGCTAAAAACATGATTTTTCGTACAATCAGGGGCCATAATCCATGAAGTTACAGTCCGATACATGCCAATATCGAAAGGAGCCGAGATCTTAGGGTGATAATCATATATTTCAAGTTTCATTTAAATCAGATAAAAATTGTGACCTGTAGACTGTTCACAAACAATTGTGGACGGACGGACAGGGGCAACGACAATATACGTCCACATGAAAATGTGGGCGTATAAAAATAAGGCGAACAATTTTTAGTAAATTCTCAACTTAAGTGTGAGAATGTTTTGTGAAACCAGGGCCTGATTTACAACAGAACCATGATAAAGTTGTGGTAACAAACCTGATTAACAATAGAACCATGATAAAGTTGTGGTAACAAACCTGATTAACAATAGAACCATGATAAAGTTGTTCTATTAAGTTGGTACCAGATGTTCCTGCCAACGAATCACTGATAGCACTAAATAATATTCTATTTAATTCCTGTACATCATGCTGTTGTAGTTCCTGATAATATAATTATTCAACAGAATATATTTTAAATGAAAATGATTTATTTCTATACATTTAATTAGTACTGTTGATTAATATATTATAGCTACTGTAGAGAGAGAGAGAGAGAGAGAGAGAGAGAGAGAGAGAGAGAGAGAGAGCCAAAGAAAACTCATGCGGTTAGATAGGCAACCCTACTCCTTGTCACGTACAACCGGGAAATCGACAAAACCATGCCAGTTGACTCAATGACAGACCTTATGATACAACCCGCATGCACTAACCATTCAGCCACCCCACCCCCTCGTAATCCTAAACATGCAAAACCAATGATAGTAGTATATAATTTAAAGAAGCTAAATCGCTAATATTTGGGACCTAGAAATTGACACAAATGGGTCGCAAGTTGCGACTCGCAACACATATAATAATGTAATACGAATATATATAAATTATATTCAACCATTTCCGTTTTTACTCTAATTTCAAATCAGTTATGTTTGGCGAAATACGCCAGAAATTCTCAATCGAATGGCAGTCTCTAGTATCTGGTTATTCCAGTCTACACCAATAGTATTTATTGCGCATGGTCTCCAGATAAGAATATGGGACCACCGTTTGACATGACTTGTAGAAGATGTCTAGCCTCGTTCTTTGAGTCCTTTGTCACAAATGACACTGAAACGCATTATGGTTCAAGATTCGTGTACCAATGGTAAAATGTTTATTTTGTCTTAAATATTGGATATCAGAAGTCCATCTTTTCCTGGTAAGATCACAACATCAAAGTTGATTTAAATTGTTTTCAATGTCGAAGACTTGGGATAATATTGAGTTAGAGACTAAGCTACTTTAAAATAACAATACGAAACTGAGTTTGGCTTTGCAATAAATTATTAATTTAATTTTCATTTAAGACATCAATCAATAAGCTTATTAGTTTTTATGTACAAAAACATTTTTCAACAATACAACGATACGATATACATACAATTCTCGTATCGATATAAATGTTACTTTCTGTTGAATTTTATTTTGACCTCTTGTACTTTTTAACTAAATATTCTCAAGATAAAAAATTATATTATTACCTCGTTATTTGACCATCCAAAACTTTCCGTGAGCTCACGTGTAGAAACACTCTGTCTGTTACTTAGCAACACTCTTACAAATAATCTCTGTAGTTGTAATGGTATCACTCGAACCTGAAACAAATAAATTACACATAGTATTTAGTCTTATTTACAGTTCCGAATCCAATAACACATAACCATTCAAATTTTTGTGTGCAGTTTATCTGAACAATGCCACCAATTAAATAATGCATTTAAATCTGATTAGTGTAGAACAGAGGTCCAAATGTGAAAGGAATCATTTCGAAAAATTACATCATTATGAGCAACAAATGTATTCAAATATCAAAGTACCCTTAAGTTGGATGATATTAAAACATCATACAATATTCTTAGCTCTTATTAAAGATACATTATGTAAGAGACTAAGATTTAGAATACAGAGCTGGCCATTCTTGCTATAATATTTTATTCTGAACGAAGTTATCACTGTTTGTAGTTTTGACAGGATGTGGCATTGATTGTTTATTATCATAACAACGGTACTTGTTATTCGAGACTTGGCCTTGCTTCTCCATCTAAAAATTAAATCATTAAATGGCCAACCTGTTCTAATCTACTATACTTAAAACCACAACTGTCCGATGGTCTAGAGAGTTTATTATGGGCTTGTCATGTTAATAAATGTCTAATTAATAATTCATATAATATTTGAAGCCAAAAGAAAGACCTGCAATAGGAAGATTTAGCTCTTGAATAATGCATCTTCAATAAGCTAATTGTGATATTTGACCAAACGTTGTATTTTTATATAAAATAATTTAATTGATATACCAGTACATTTAATCTAATTAATTACCTTGGCTCCTATTTTTTCTCTATCCTGAAGATTTCCGAGTTCTTCTCTAGGGATTTGGAACAAAGATTCTGAAATTATATAATCAACTAATGATTAAACAACTCTATTTATATTACAACTGATTGGATTAATAAACATACAGTATTGAGTAAATAGAAGTCACATTCTCAGTTTTATAGACAGTTGATTGATATTCACAAATTATATGCAATCCACAGAAATTCCTTATCAATTTTTATATTCTTTTACAAAAAATTCTAAAACTTTTAGATATTGTGTACCGGTATGTAAATATACAGCCTTTTTAAAAATCTTCTACAAAGTTTGCATTACATAGTATTTACTGATAATTTGCCCTTGTAGATTTCGACATTAATTATTGCTATGTACTTTCAAATGTGTTCAAAGTAACATTCTGTTGATAATAGCTAATGTACTGTGTGTGTGTGCATGTGCGGTGCTTAACATCCGCTCCACTTAGTGTGATATTGTGAGAAGAGCCAAACAAGTAATCGTTCCCATTTACTTGGTTAAATATGGCTTATGAGTAGCAGTGTCTGAGCTAGTATTACGGACAGCTGTATGGGCTCCGTACAAAGGTTTTGCTTCTGGGTAATAGCTACACCCTACACTAGTGTACTGTTTTCCATTAAGGCGATCAGTATAACTGTCACCATTATGTTGGCCTGAGTGAAGTTATATAAAACTTCAGATAATAAGCAGTCAATTTGTTGGTTTTCACGTGGAATGGAGGTCAGTACTTTTAACTTGGACCCTGACAGCAAATTTTACTAGAACTAACCCTATCCCTAATCTTAACCCTGATTACATAACCTTAAATCACCTCATATCGACATCAAACAGGATCGCCCATTACAAGGGCGTATCAATTCCATGGAAACCTTTCTCGGTTAATACTGGGATCGAACATGCCAATTGCAATGTCTTACTCAATGAGCCACCATGGCTCCTCACCAATTTCATATAATTAAATGAAATGAAACGGGGTTTAACGTCCTACTGTTCTGTTCCTACTGGGCTAATGAAGACGGGCATATGCCATACAGTGTGCTATGAGGGAAATTTTGCCCAGACAGTGGCGCTACGACCTACTCTTATATCGATTTCCAACTGCCAAGGGATCATTTACGTGCTACGCGAATATATACATGGGTTCTCGATTTTCCGTCCCATCTGAACAACTAGATAGCTGTTCTTGTCTGGCCCTCCATTCTGCACCACTGACAAGGGGAAACCATGCCGGAAAATCCTGATGAACTTTCTTGGACAATGCACGGATCGAACATGCGACCTCCCGGGCTAGCGAGCCAGCGTCTCACCAACTTAGCCATCGTACGTGGCTTCCATATAATTAAAATAAATGAATAACCTCTAAATTCAGGTGTTAGAAGTAATGTCTGTAGGAGTGAATTCAGGTAACATGTGGCTCCTTGATTCGTAATTCCTGCTAGGTTACATTTAAGTCGGGGTCTGGGAGGGGTTGGTATTCCTTTGGAGTCGACATAACGGGAAGTGGCGTCTGCTACACTTCCAAAACCTTCCTCGTCATCCCCAAAAAGATTACCAAACATTTTGGTTCAAACTTTTAAAATCCCATAAATGGTGTATTTTCTTTGAATCTGACTGTCACATAACATGAACGTCGTTTTCCAAGAATTTCAGGTACAAAATGAAACAAAACAAAACTTCATTCCACGCGTTGTTGTTCCTTATTTCTCACTTCCGGTTGTAAACATTAGCTGTGCAGTAAATGGCTAATCTCGAGTACTTTGGTCAAAAGAAATTCCTTCCTCGATAAAACCGTTAGAAACTACATCATTTCTAATATCTAACTCATCTGAAACCTGGCAGAAATATATATACTTCACAATATCATAAAATTCCTTCCAAATTACATCTATTTCACAATATATGGTTGATTTAAATTTTACAATTCAGTTACTAACAACCGAAACGAAATACAATATATTTCCGTTAAAATTTGCTATTACGTTAATTCGTTTTTCGTTTTTACGACGAGACCCATTTACGATTTTTGTTGGTGACGTCAGAACATGTGTGTCTAAGTATAGAATAGCGAAAGGTGAGTCAAATTGCGAGGGAAAGAAAAAAGAAATTATATGACAAAAAATCTGTATTTTTCTCTTGGAAATTGTTTCAATATTGAACATAAAGGTAAAATGTGTCAACCAGTCGCTCCAAATTGTTTCTAAACCGTAAATATTCTTTAAGAATCGTGTTTGAAAATTGGTTTTAGCGGGATGGTGAAACTCGTTGTCGGCATGCGTGGGCCATGTGATTCCGGCTGTCACTGTTGACGCAATACGATTGTTTCATTTTGTGTAATTTTGTTGGAGTGAAGAGTCGGGTCTGATTTCACTGAAACAGGTTTTTTTTGGGAGGGTTCTGGTCAGAGATTTCACAACTAAACGCAGTGTAATATTTTAAGGTATGTGAATACAATTTCAGTTGACCAAAGGGAAAAAGAGGTCAATGAACTCTAGCGTTTTTTCCGGTTTTTATGAAAATATGAGTTCATTGAGGACATCTTTACCATGTCCTTAGGCTTCCCAGTAAGTCAAAAGTATCAATACAAAAATGGAAACTCAAAGGTTGGCTATTTCTCGAATTTATTTCTTCTAGCTTTTTTAATACTGCTTCCTATTTTTGTTAAAAAATATTAAAACCCTTTGACACTAGTCTCTTCTGGCGATTTTGAATTTTTATTCTTTTAATTTATTACTAATTTTGTAGTAACACACATCTAACATCAAAATGCCATCTGATAACAAAAAGAAGAGAGATGCCAGAAAAAAAGAGGCTGCCAAAAGTCGACTGTTGAAATTCGGTGGAGCTGAACCTGAAGCCGAAGTAAAAGAAAATGGTGAAGAAAATGGAAACGTTGAAAATGGTGTCCAAGAAAACGGCGTAAATGGTAAAGAAGTCAATGGCAAGGACGTTAAGAACAATGGAGCACAAGGTATAAAATAGATAGAATTAATGATTTATTAATGATAATGATAATTTATTGAACTTGTATAGCGCCAAAATCCAGTTTGTAAAGCTGCTCTCATACTCATTGTACAAAAGAAAGATATATGATTTTAGTACACAATTTACAGCACTATAGATAGAATATCATAAATAAAAATAAAATTAAAATATTAAAAAAATTGGTAAATGAGTTAATCATATCATGAAGACTTTTGAAAACAATTTTGTTTTTAGATTTAAAATGAAATTGTAAACTGATTATTAAAACAAATCTTTATAAAACCTAAGAATGAATGACAGTTTTGAAGTTATGTATGGCAGTTATTGTTATATTATTTAAAGTGTATGGGATGTGGGGTGTTCACCTATAATTGGGGTCAGGATTAACCCCTGTAGTGAGTGTGAGCTTTGATTATTCTTTATATGGCTTTGATTCCCTGATCTAATCACGGCTACAGTTTTAACAGTGATCTTGATCTAGTTATAGAGATAGAGATCAGTTTACAATATGGACTCAATATACTAATTAGGTTAATGGATTAATTACCATTGTTTATTGTAATCCTTTTAGTGTCTTCTCTCTTATATTTTAAATCCAATAGATCTGGAGTCTTTAGATAGACAAAATAAATAAGGGATTGAAATGACTTGTTAGCAAATCAATAGTTTATGAATGTATTTTGTTGTAACATATTGTGGTTTTAATAGAAATGTTATTTTTTCTATTGTCAGTATTAGAATTATTTATTGCTGTATATAACAAAACTTATAATTTAAATTACATGTACTGGACGCCTGAGAGACTTTTGATTATTCTGTGTGTATTTTTTGTTAGATTGTTATTCTCTTCTCTGAGAGACTTTTGATGATTTGGTGTATTTTTTGTTGGCTGTTATTCCCTTCTCTTAATAATACTTCTTGTTGCATACATGCCACTTGACTCGGTGACAGACCTTGTGATCTAATGCATGTGTTAAACCATCCGCCCACCCCCTTCTTACATTAATACATGTATTATAACACAGTCTCATAATGACATCAGGGGGTTGGATGGCGGAATGGTTAACACGTGCGCGCGCAATATCATACGGCCTGTCATTTAGTCCACTGGCGGGTTTTCGATTCCCCGGTTATACGTGACAAGGAGTACGGTCGTCTGTTCAACCTCGTGGGTTTTCTCCGGGCCCTCCGGTTTCCTGCCACTGCTAAAGACCCCCACGCACAAGCGAATTATTGAAATAAAATTGAACCATGTGTTAGTCACAAAATGACCTAGTTTGTGTCGATTGGACATTAAACCCCATTTCTCTCCCTCTCGTAATGACATAATAGTAAGTGGGTGAAGACAGCACCAAACAGATGGAACCCATAAGCCAAACCTGCAGATAGACAAGGCACACTTACTTAATGCTCGAGCCATGGTGGTACCTGGAGGTACCGCATTGCCCAAGAAAGTTTGTCAGGATTTTCCGACATGGTTCCTCCTTATCGGTGAGGTAGGGTGGACATCAAAAATGGGGTTTAGATACGACATCGTCTTTCATTCATTATTTTATTAAGCCCAACCAAAGTTTCAAGATGGAATTAGGAGATTATCTAAATCTTAAATGTATATAATTATATTTTGTTCAAGATGTGTTATGTAAGATTCAGATAACAAGCTGACAGTTCTCGTTCTAATAGTTAAAAAATAGATAATGAAAAGAGAATATGGTGAAAATTTTCCTGCATTCTTTTCTTTGTTATTTTTGGTCTCCCCCTCTTACCCTTGTTTTCTTGTACTTTCAGAAATAGAAAAAGCTACCAAAGGAATGGATGATTTAGCTATGGCAGCCAAGTTTCGGTCATGTACTGGCAATTTAACATCACACGCTCTGAGTCGTGACATCCATCTTGATCATCTATCCATGAGATTCCATGGTGCCGAACTTCTGATGAATACCAGTTTACATCTGAATGTTGGAAGAAGATACGGTCTGATTGGTGCTAACGGCTGTGGTAAGTCATTTCATCGTATCCGGTGAAAATGTTCAAATGTATAATATGATAACGCCGTTGTCATTGTAAAATAAGTGTGGAAAAGTAAAATGTTATTTATCTATTTTTTTATTTTTTGTAAACAGGAAAATCATCATTACTATCTGCCCTTGAAGCTAGAGAATTACCCATACCCAAACATACTGATATATATTTATTACGTCGTGAGATGCCCGCTAGCGATATGACTGCTCTAGAAGCTGTAATGGAGGTTGAAGAAGAGAAAAACAGGCTAGAAAAAGAAGCTGAAGAATTATCAGACAAAACCGATCAAGGTACGTGGACATTTAATATTACAAGTTGAGATCTTTCAGCGACAAATTAAAACTTTTTTTTACGATACCGACCTGTTGGGTTTACATCTGTTTACGTTCCCAAAAGGTTTGAATAATTAACAGACTAATTAATTACTCAACACTGCTTGTGAACGTAAACAAATGAAAACACAACACTCACTATCTAATCTAGACGGAACATTTTAAACTACACGACAGTAGGAATCCAGTATTTTTGATACGTCCACATGAAAATGCAGGGCAGAGAGGGAACAGTTAATAGTCGTTCGGATGGTATGAAAATCTGAGGTCTTTTGCAGATATCGGCATGCACATAAAGAACCCTGGAATTCTTTGTGAATTCATTGTAAGAGTAGGTCATAGCACACTGTATGGCATTAGCCCAGTCGGGGCAGAACAGTAGGACGTTAAACCCCATTTCATATTATGTATATTCTATTTTTAGATTCAATGGATCAGTTGATGGATATCTACGAACGTCTGGACGATATGGACGCGTCTAAAACCGAAGCGCAGGCCGCATTTATATTACATGGTTTAGGTTTCACTAAAGAAATGCAGAATCAGAAAGTGAAGAATTTTTCTGGAGGATGGAGAATGAGAATTGCTCTGGCTCGTGTTTTGCTGATTAAACCAGGCCTACTATTACTCGATGAACCTACAAATCATTTAGATTTAGACGCTTGCGTCTGGTTGGAGAATGAATTATCTACGTAAGATTTTTATATTTGATCTTTTTAGTATCTCAATGTCTCGACACGTTGAAGGTTAAATTGTGAAATTTTTGTATTTAAAGGAGCTAAATTGACAAATATTGTGTGTTTTCAATGTATTTAAAGAAGCTATATTGACAAAATAATTTGGGTTTTCAATGTCGAATGATATTGAGTTAGACTTGGCTACTTTTGTAGTGATTTTTGGGAAAGCCTTTTATATACTGTTTTGTGTACATCTTCAATAGTGACGGACAAAACAAAAAGTTATATCTACTCCAGATTAAAGCGCAATATTTGATTACATTAGAACAGGCAATTCCCCCTCAGAACATTGCACGAACATACTTTGAAATTAAAAGCCGTTAGACCCCATATTGAAAGTATCAAGGAACTCCAAATTATGGAAGGCTGACATTAGGATATCTATGATGATAAAACTTGCTATACTATATATTTGTACATGTGGTACTAGATATATATTCTGTATTGTGTTATAACAATAGGTAGAAACAGCAAGGGCCATCTGAGATATGTAAATTTATAATACGCTATATCCACAAAACATGCTCATATAAATTATTTCTCTTTCCTTCCATTATAAAAATCAGTACCTAGTTGGCAGTTGGAATTCCTATATGGTAAAAATGTAAAAATTTGCTCTCGTTTGAAAAATGTGAAATTACTGATGAACAGTTTCAAAATAGTTGATTAGTTTTGTGGTTTTCAATTTAAATAAAGATTTTTGTATTTTAACAGTACGACATTAAACTCCATTTCATTTTATTTCTTTTCGTATTTTTCAGGTACAAAAGAATATTGGTGGTTATATCTCATTCACAAGATTTCCTTAATGGTGTTTGTACAAATATTATCCACATGCAGTTAAAAACACTGAAATTATATGGTGTAAGTTGTTATATATCCCAGCCATATACACTACAACTTGTCGTGTAATTGTTATATATCACAGTCATATTTACGCTACAACTTGTCGTGTAGTTGTACTATTTTAGCAAAAGTTTCTGTATATAATGTTTAGTTTCAAATCGTTGTTGGAAAATAGTTTAAATTTGTTGAGAATCGCGGAAAAATATTGGGTTTTGCTGTCCAGGTAAAATTTCCCTCAAAGCACATTGTATGACACGTACCCGTCTTAATTAGCCAAGTCGGAGCAGAATATTAGGACGTTAAACAACCATTTCATTTACTTGATGGTTTTGTTTTGTTTTTTTCAGGGTAATTATGATTCCTATATACAGACAAGATTTGAATTGGAAGAAAACCAAATGAAAAGATATAAATCAGAACAAGATCAAATAGCACATATGAAGGTATGTAAATACCTGTCTGGCTTAGATCTGTGTGTCGAACTAGGAAAGGGTATTTAAAGAGGGTCTGGGAAAATCTGCCAATATTTCGGAGCTGAAGAAGGTCATATGAACGGTTTAAATTGTATGAATTCAATCAATTGTGTTGACTGAAGTTAAATAAAAAAATTTCACACATTGGTACAAATAAGAAATGCCACATATTATCATAGTAAAAATTATTTTTAATCTCATACTGACATGAATTACATGTCACTAACTACGACATTGAGATTGGGACTTTTTCTTCTTTCTTTGACGCATAGAACTGAAGTTTAAAACAACTCTTTACTTTAGTAATGTCTATTTTTTTTTTAAGATCATCAGTTGACATTCGAAGTGAAATTTACATTTTATATTTTGTTAATATATAACATTTTAAGACCATTGGTGGTCAATTGAAATGAAATTTACATTTTATTCCTGGTTTTGAGTTTTGTGAGGTTAATGATTATAATTTGTTTTTCAGAACTATATAGCTAGATTTGGTCACGGTTCAGCCAAGTTAGCCAGACAAGCTCAGAGTAAAGAAAAGGTTTTAAAAAAGATGGTGGACGGTGGACTTACGGAAAAAGTTTCAAAAGATCAGGTATGTTCTTATTATCGTCAATGGAGCCGCGGTGGGACGATCAGTAAGATTTGGCTCCCTAACTTAAAGGTCCTGTGACATGTTTGATTCCTGCATGGCCGAAATCTGAATACAAATGGGCTCATTAATTGCTTAAGTAAATCTTTAAACAAACATTTGTATAAATCCATGGACTCAAGTAGACAACCCTGATAAATGTTAATGACTGGATAATCATACATTCCTATAAACAACATGAAGAGATAAATGTTACTGGATAATCACACAGTCCTATAAACAACAACTTAATGTTTATGAGAAGTCATTTAGCCAAATAGTAATTCTTTGACAAAATAAAAACACAAAATGAAAACATCTGATTTTTTGGTATAGATTATCTGAGAACCATGGCCCTGTTCCTAGAAAATTCTTTAAGTAAGCACAAAGTCACTTTTTCTTAACGTAAGAAACTTATAAAAATACCGTCCCTAGAAAATTCTCAAGACCATTCTTACGAAAGCACAAGTCAAGTATAAGTCTAAGCACATTGTGACTGGTAAAGTTGATGCTCTTTAATGTCATAAAAACAACTTTGGTATGCGAATTACGTCTTAAATTTGTCGTCTGCTTCATTGACGTCATATATAATGTTCATTTCGATGCATTTGACATGTCCCCTATTCACATATAAAATATGCCACAAGATAAAAAAACGCAGACACATAAAAACTGAATAATTGTGAGAGCCCCTGATCTTAAAGTAGCCTGTGTGTTTGTAGCCTATTGTTTACTAATTGGCAAATAAATAAAATGGTTTCAGGGTAGGCCTAGAAGAGAAATTTTCTATAGCATTCTTAATTTGAAATTTCTTATGGAGAAGGATTTTCTCTGTCTTGTAATTGTCTCTTTGGTATCAAAAGGTGTCGGAAATGCCGTCGAATAACTCTACGGTCAGCCGTCTTTTTGAAGCAGAACAGACTTAAGGTTGGTAAGCAAGCCGTATACCTTGCTTGGGACTTGTGTTTAGATTGACTATGTTTAAGAACGAAGTTGTGCTTAAGTTTTTTCTTGGAACGCATAATAACGTTCTTGTGCTTAAAATGAAGTCTACTTAAAATCTAAGCACAAGAACGTTCTTAACAATTTTCTGGGAACACAAAATAAGGTAAGTTTACTTAAATGCATAGTCTACTTAATTCTAAGCACAAGAACGGGCTTAAGAATTTTCTAGGAATCGGGGCCCAGGATATCTTTTGTTTTGTATCTTTTCATTATTAATGATATTTATTGTTTATTTTCAGACGATATCATTCTGTTTTCCAAGTTGTGGTACAATACCCCCACCTGTTATTATGGTACAACATGTTTCATTTAGATACGCTGACGGAAAGGTAATAATACAATTATTATAATGCTGGGACAAAAAAAAAACAGGGGTCCTGTGTAACGGAACCCTTGACAGTTAGAATTCGAAATGAGTTAGGTATATGTTAGTCCCCATTTATTATATTTCACAATATAAAACTACGACATGAGAAATATTTTGGAAACCCATCCTTGTGAAAGTACACATTACCAAGAAATAATAATACTGCTTCTATTGTATTCAGTTGTCCTGAAAAACCGAGATTTCGTGTTGCCATGCTATTAAGAGAATCTTTGACAAAATTTTCCTCTTGGCACATGTTATATGGTGTATGCCCAACTTCATTAGTCCAGTCGGTGCATAACAACAGGACGTTAAACCTCATTGAATTTCAGATGCTTCCACTGTAATTTTAATTTAGAGTAAAAACTTGATCCAGTGTTGAACTGATTGTGTTTTACCTCCATCTTTCCTGTACTAATTGAGCTAATAATGTTTAAACACCTGCCTACTTCATGCAACTCTATCAGAAATTTTTCTCCCTTCAGCAGTGCTATGACGTACTCAGTTTTTCGACCCATCTGGCCAGTTTCATTTTCTTGTCGAGCATGGGGACAGATTATGAGACACCTGCTCCCCTGAAATGAGTAATTTTGTCGGTCTTTCTGCCTGTCCATCACACTTTTTGGGACTAAGCATTTTGATTGGTTGATGCTTTGGGACACGATAAATTTAGTTCTAATTATGTGAGAGTGAGGAGGCTTGGTGTATAGTTTAATCACATCAATACCTTGACTAAGTTCGATAATGAACATTTTCTGCTTAGGGAAGTAAAGATAAGCCATTTGATTGGCTGATGCTTTGGGACACAATAACTTTAATATGTATCATCTATTTATTTTGGGATTTCGGCGGGGACATCAGCCTCACTGTTGGCTTGTATTTCTAACCAAATGATCTTCAATTTATATGGTAATGATTAAATTTCCAATTAACACGTTCGCAGTGCTTTGAGGTCAACTAACCAAAGATGCATATTATTGGATGTATGAACCATTGGTTGAGATATAACTTTGATTCTATCTGAAAGAGAGTGATGAAACTTAGTGTATAGTTGATAATCAGTTTGATTGCTTGATACTTTTGAAAAAAATAAATGTGCGATTAATTAATTTATTGGGATTTCAGCCTCACTGTTATAAATGATATAAATTCTAAATGCAGTTTATTTTCTCTTTTTAGCCATGGATTTATCAAAATTTAGATTTTGGTGTTGATTTGGATACAAGAGTAGCTCTGGTCGGACCAAATGGAGCCGGCAAATCTACGTTACTTAATCTGATTGTTGGAGATGTAAGTATTTACTCAGATTTGTTAGTCAACAACCAGAGGGTTGGGTGGACGAGCAGGTGCACTTTAGAGCACAAGGTCTTGCCAGCTAGAACATGGCAAGGTATAGGGTTCCCTGTCCAACCTCAAGGCTTGTACAGGTCCTTCGGTTTCGTACCACTGTTAAAGAACCCTACATGCAAGAAAATACTTGGAAAAATGCCATCTCTTGCTGAATAAAGTCTTCCGTCCCACTTGTTGAGAAATTTGGTGGGTTGGCTTGCCAAATGATCAACGCATGCATGTTGCGTCATAGGGTTTCTTATTGAATCAACTGGCGTGACAAGGAATATTGTCGCCTGTCCATCCTCATAGGTTTTCTCAGTTTACTCTGGTTATATCCTAATGCTAAAGACCCCTACGCGCTAGCAAATTGTTCAAATAAAATTGAACCATATGTTAGTCCTGAAATGACATAGTTTGTGTCAAGTGGACGTTAAATGCAATTTCTCTTTCTGCTGAGAAATTCCTTGGATTTAATCAGTTATGTGTTTTCAGGGCCACATATCTTGTTACAGGAAGGCTGAGATAAAATTAGTCTGTGTAGTTATAGTATTAGTTATTGAAGTTGTTGTTGATTATTTCAGTTGGTACCATCGGATGGTTTAATACGAAGACATTCTCATTTACGAATAGCCAGATATCATCAGGTAAATTTACATATTTAACAAATCAAAAATATCACTTGTAAACTAGTTCTTCACATTCTACATACTAGAAATGGGAGTTTGGCATCTCCACCATGTGGTATTGGGGTGTATAGGCCACAAGATGACCTGATGATGGGCTAATTAAAAACAGCCATCTTACATTTCACTCCATCCCAGAATTCCATCTAGGATCAAAGCCTTTTATTAATAAAGGGAAGAGACTCAATTAACACAAAGAAGGCTTCAGACCACTATTCCTTAATAATAGGAATAAGTTGGGTTAGTAAAGGAGTATGACAACATCTATAGACTGTCTTTAGATCATAAGGTCTGTGTGGTATCGATCTCACACTTGTACGTGATGAGAAGGGTCATGTATCCAACCTCGTGGGTTATCTCATAGTCGTCTCCTCCCACTGCTAAAGACTTCTACATGCAAGCAAAATTATTTTAATAAAATTTTTGGATTACCGAAATGACTTGGGTCTGTATCAAGTGAATTGAAATGTTTATCCCCATATCCTGACAGTAAATTTGAATAATTGTGCTTTTGTTGTAGCATCTTCAAGACCAGTTGAATTTAGACATGTCCGCCTTGGAGTGGATGATGGCACAGTTCCCAGAGGTCACAGAACGAGAAGAAATGAGAAAGATAGTAGGTCGATACGGTCTGTCCGGTCCACAACAGGTACGTTTCATTATTATTTAAATTTATTGGGCCATGTGACTCGGGCAGGATCACGGCTTCCATCCCATTTCAAACTCAGAAACTTCCTCAGGTTGGTTCCATTTTGGTTTGTTTTAGTCAGTGATGCAGGACCGAGAGCCTGGCAATAGGCAGTGTCTAGTTTTTCAGATGGCCAAAAAAAAAAAAACTCCAAAAAATAAACTAGGTCCTGAATGTATATTTTCCTGAAAGCAAATTTGCCCAGTTGGTGCAGAATAGACGTCAAGTTGATTTGATCGAAGTCGATCTAAATTCTTTAATAAAACTAGTGATTTTGTATTTTTACGGCCGTCTGTAGCAGTTTTTCTATGTCAAGGAAGGTTGGTTAAATTATTAACTAGAGGCCAAACTTTTAATAAGATTTCATTGTAAAGTTCTTATTCTAATTATCTCCTCTTATTTTCAGGTCTGCCCAATCCGAAATTTATCTGATGGTCAGAGATGTAGAGTTATCTTTGCTTGGTTGGCATGGCAATCTCCCCATTTATTACTGCTTGACGAACCTACTAACCATCTTGATATAGAAACCATCGACACGCTGGCTGAGGCGTTAAATGAATTTGAGGGTGGTATAATGTTGGTTAGCCACGATTTTAGACTTATTAATCAGGTATGTAGATGTTATTCAGTGTACAAGCCGCTGCAGTGGCTCAGTGAGTTAGCCACCCTTGATGTTGGCCGAGAAAGTGCCCCAGGATTTGCCAGTAAGTTGGCTGGACAGTGACTAGTCATTCAAATTAGCCTAATAAAAATTGGGGGGTTACTGTGGCTAAGTGGGTAAGATGTTAGCTCGCCAGCCTGGGGGTCGGGTGTTCGATCCCTACATTGGCCGTGAAAGTTCATCCAGATTTTCCGACGTAGTTTCCCCTTGTCAGTGATGCAGAGGATGGTGGGCCTGACGAGGACAATTGTCTAGTCATTTGGATGGGACAAAAAAAAAAACAAGGTCTTATGTACACATTGGCGTGCATGTAAAAGATCCCTTAACAAGTTGGAATTGATATAAGAGTAGGATGTAGTACCGCTGTCCGGGCAAACTTTCCCTCATAGCACACTGTATGGCGTATGCCCGTCTTCATTAACCCAGTTCGGAGCAGAACAGTAGGACGTTAAACTCACATTTCATTTCCTAAAAAAAATCCATTTTTTACTGTCACGATTTTACTTACACCACTATGACAGAACATGATTCAATGTCTCTCAATCACAGTTTAAAATGTTTCGGACTTTATGATCAAATAGCACTCTCTCCTCTTCCTCAACCTCATTTTACTTAAACCACCACTATGACATGACAGAACCCAATTCAATGTCAGTCAATTACAGTTTTAAATGTTCTGTACTCTCTCCTCCGTCCCAACCTCGGTCCTATTTCATATAGAAATGATTTATATATATTTTAGGTGGCTGAAGAAATTTGGGTCTGTGAGAAACAGACGGTCACGAAATGGGACGGTGATATTTACAGTTATAAAGAAGCTCTTGTTAAACGTGTCAAATCCAGAAACGCAAAACTAAAACTACAGAAGAAAAAATGATGACAATGAAAATTTAGGAAAAAAAAAAAAATATTTAAATTCTAGGACAATTCATATACTTACCTTAAATTTATTTATTGAATTATCAAACCAGTCATTTTATGTGTTTACATCATTATAGTTATTTACGTCAACAGAACTGCGGAACTTGATTCGCAGAAAGACGCTTTAGAATTAGTCATTTGATGATCAATAAAAAAGCGGGTAAAAAATACGAGTTCAGAATTTATGGCGCTCTGCCTACTCTTAGGTTCTTTTTCCATGTGTGCATTTCAGTGCATGTCGTCGTGCTTACCGACCTTTTGCTGCATACATGGGAACGGTCCCATTTCATTTCATACATGACAATGTAAAACTGGCCGTAGAATTAAAGTTATATTAATATGTTTATACTATGTATAAGACTACTATTCATTAAAAACAAAAGGGTGAAGATTTTAGTAAGATTCAGAAAAATTAATAAAATTTATATTTATCAGTTATCACTAGAATTGGGGGGTGTTTGTTTTATTCAAATATATCTTTTTTTCCAGTCTTCAAATCTGAATTATTTATAGAAATACAATTAATTGTATGTAAAAGAATGCTTATTTTAAAATAGCGAAAGGGATAACGGGGCTTTATTTAGAAAAATATCACAAAAAAAAAAATTAACTTTAGCCCAGATGAACTTGAATGTGTTCCAAGATTTGAACGAACACCTTTGGTCAATGAAAAAGAAAAAAAACGATATCCATGGAATATTTGAATTCTGGATGGATGAAAAAACAATGGCCATGAAACAATTGGGGAGCTTAGGAATATTTTTATGTCGTATTTTATTTCATATTTTGCAAATTATTTCTTCAGGTATCTGTTCTCTCTGTTTTCAACTAGAAATCTTGTGTTAATTTCTAAAAGTATATTATTTTTGTACATCAAGGTAAATATGACTTGAATAAGAGCCTTTGAGAATAGAATACTCATCATTGTGGCAGGGCAGCATCTTGGGTATGTTTCCAAGGACCCCTCAAACCCCCTAAAATTCTTATGTGGTGCTTACGACTTTGGTGAAGTGAGTGAATTGAGGCAAATCTCCCGGTCAACCCACCCCAAAATTGTTAGGACATATAATATGTATGGAGCCATGCACGCATTTCCGATGGTAACATGGATGTGATCCCAATATATTTGTATTTTGTAACTTAAAAAGTAATTTAAGTAAAATAGAATTATCTGAACAGAGAAAAAAATTAGATATATTGAATGCTCAATGTATACTAAACTGAACTTGATGTAACTGGTTCTGATCCTTAAGGGCAGCCCTGTCACTGCTTTATGTAAATTATGTTAAGATAGGGGAAGTGAAAATATTAAATTAATAATTATCGATGTGATATTTGCATGTATGTAAAATTGTATATAGAATATAAACTACCATTATATCACCTGTGTCATGCTTTGTTTTTAGAAAAACATGTTATTTTTTTTTTTTTTTTTGCAAGGTGGAAGTATTTTTTGTTTCGTTTTTTTTATTTTCACAAAGTAAATCAAATTTTTCTGTTTAATACGCAAACTACAACAGACGGATTATAAAACATGGTTCAAAGCAAGGGTTTTTTTAATGAAAATTTATATTGCTTAAAAAATTTGGTTAAGTACTCAATTTAAGTGATTTTAGTTTCATCAAATAAAGCCTTGTCCATGTTAATTTCTTGCCAAATATGAAATCAAAAATCTGTCAAAATGTAACTTATTACTATTTATTCTGCTGAATTCAAATTTAAATATATTACAGCTTGTTGAAATATCAGTAAACCTGTTTAAGTGTACCACACTTTAAGCCAAAGGTTTAATAAAATAAATTGGCATTTTATCTATAAATTGGTGTTATATCTATAAAGTCTGTTGAATTGAAGGTTTAATAAATTAAATCAGTGTTTTATCTAAAAGGTCTGTTGAATTGGAGATTTAATAAAATAAATAGGAGTGTTAGTATCAATAAAGTCTGAATCTACTATTATACAAGTTTAAATAAATGAACATTTAGTTAGAGAACAAGGTTTATTATAAATCTCCATATTTATACAGAATCTGATCTGTTGTACAATATGAACCATTGTGGTCTAGTTCTGTCTGTACCACACGACTATTTCATTGTAAATAAATAAAACAAATAAACAACAATTTCAGTCTTCTGGTATATTTCATTTTGGTTGAGGAGCCACGGTGGCTAAGTGGGTAAGACGCTGGCGCGCTAGACTGGAGGTTGCGTGTTCAGTTCCTGCATTGACCGAGAAAGTTCTTTGTGATTTTCCGACGTGGTTGCCCCCTTGTCAGTGGTGCAGGACGGAGGTCCCATGTATACATTGGCGTGCACGTAAAAAATTCCCTGGCAGTTGGAATTCATTATAAGAGTAGGCTGCCTGGGTAAAATTTCCCTTATAGTACACTGTATGGCGTATGCCCGTCTTCATCAACCCAGTTACTATAGGAACAGGACGTTAAACCCCATTTAATTTTGTTTCAACTTTTGTTGGGGCTTCCTTGCATGAAAGATGATTATTGGTAATGAAATGGGGCTTAACATCCTACTCTCCTGCACCAACTGGGCTACTGAAAACGGGGATAGACCAGCAGGACGTCCATCTCTTTGTTGACTGCCAAAGCTTTCTGTTTAAGTGTACACAGGACCTTGTTTTGGGTTTTTTTTCCTCGATACAAACTTTCCAGGTGGATCATTGAGTAAGTATGTGGCTTGCTCACGGGAAGGAACTGTGGTTGATCCCTGCATTTACCGAGAAAGTTCATGATTTCCCTGACGTGGTTCCCCCCTTGTCAGTGGTGCAGGACCGAGTTCCCAGCAAGGAACAATGTATAGGTGTTTGGATGGGACAAAAAAAAAAACAAGGTCCCATGTACACATTGGGGTGGACGTAAAAAATCCCTTGGCAGTTGGAATTCGATATAAACAGAATTGGCTGTATGGGCAAAATTGTTAAAACACTGTATGGTGTAGGCCCATCTTCATCAGCCCAGCAACACGTTAAACACCATTTCATTACATGGGGGAGAACTTTCTCGACCAACACTGTTATATGCAAGATATTATCAAAAGCACTCAAGTATCGTATAGTTTCTGTATTTAATCTTTAGTTTCAAACTATTTTCTGCTGTCCAAAAGGTGCTGAGTATTTAATTAGTCTGATTACAGGATACCAGAGTTGCCGTGATGTATTCCTATACCAACAAAAGACTAAGCTTGTCATAAACAGCTAAGCTTGCCATACTGTTCTTGTTAGATATTCAATCTAGTTTTATATAAGCACTAGCAGGATACCCGGCTTCGCTCGGGTGTCATAACTCCGAAACCGGAAGTGGTAGACTAACACCACCTGGCCTATGTTACTCCCCGGTCCGAGCTACCCCTATACCCCAAATTTCAGACTCGGGGCAGACCTAGTGTAGCCGCCAACCCCGAACAGACCTGCTTCGCTCAGGGGTCATAACTCCGAAACCGGAAGTGGTAGACTAACGCCACCTGGCCTATGTTACTCCCCGGTCCGAGCTACCCCTATACCCCAAATTTCAGACTCGGGGCAGACCTAGTGTAGCCGCCAACCCAGAACAGACAGACAAACAGACAGACAAACGACAGTCACAAATATATATATATAGATTAAGCAGCTTTGTTACTGTATCCAATTTATTCATATCATTCCCTTCATGGTGGAATATAAGAATTCTGAATAAATACTTTTTTAAATAAATGTAAGAGAGTGAGAGAAATGGGGTTTAACGTCCACTCGACACAAACTAGGTCATTTCGCGACTTAACACATTGTTCAATTTTATTGCAATAATTCGCTTGCACGTAGGGGTCTTTAGGAGTGGGAGGAAACCGGAGAAAACCCACGATGTTGGACAGGCGACCCTACTCCTTGTCACGTACAACCGGGGATTCGAAACCACGCCGTTGACTCAATGACAGACTTTATGATACAGCAGGCACGCGCTAACCATTCGGCCATCCAACCCCCCGTTCTTTGACAGAAGAAATTAGAGAGAAACGGAAAAGGTCCTGGGTTTGTCTTAAGAAAGTTTCCCAGGATTTTACAGCGTGGTTTCCCCTTGTCAGTGGTTTGGAACAGATGACCTGGCATGTAACAGTGTCTAATTGTTTGGATGGTACAGAAAATTGAGGTCCTGGGTGTCTTAATCTAGTCACGACAGTGGGGGATTGGGCGGGGCCTAGTGCATCTGTTTATCTAAATCCTGAACTGCGTAAACAACTCTTGATGGTAGAAAAGCTGCTGCCTTGGTAAAATTAATCTCATAGCACACAACATGGTGAATGCCCGTCTTTATCAGCCCAGTTGGTGCAGAAACGTGGGATGTTAACCCACAATTCATTTCATTGAACAGACAACCATGGGTTTTAACGTCCTACTGTTCTGCACAGACTGGGATAATGAAGACGGGCAAACGCCATACAATGTGCTATTAGGAACATTTTGCCCAGTAAGCAGCAAGACGGCCTATTCTTATATCAAATTCCAACTGTCAAGGATTTTTTATATGCATGATGCCAATGTGTCACGGGACCTGAATTTTTAGTACCATTGGAAGAACTAAGACAAGTAATAAAGAAGACCACTAATAAATGATTATATGAAAATGAACAATTTATTCTCAGTATGAGAAATAGAATTAAAATAACATTAATTATCTTCGTATCTTCATTATTACGTATTTAGTGTGCAAAAAAAATATTGATATTAAACAATGCATTTGATAGTCTTTGTCCCTGGGTCTTGAAATTCACATGATCAAGGAATATAATTCAGTAATATGATGCCCTAATAAAATTCAATATAATATATGCCCATATAATTTGAATATTATTATGAATAAAAACCAAAAATTCGACTTAATTCTTTTTTTTCTTTATATAATGAATGAGGTTAACAGAATTCTTTCCAAATCAAAAATAAGGGTTTATCATATTCTTGACACAAACTAGGTCATTTCAGGACTAACATATGGTTCATTTTGGTTCAGTATTACGTGGGGAACTTTAGCGGTGGGAGGAAACTGGAGGGCCCAGAGAAAAGCCACGAGGATGGACAGACAACTCTACTTCTTGTCATGTAGAATCAGGGAATCGAAGTCACACCACTTGACTCAATGACAGGGTTATGATCTAAGAACCACACGTTAAACCTTTCGGCCAACCCTAGTCATGTTGTATTTTAATAAAATAATTTCTTTAAAAGCTAACAATAAATCCAAATGATTGAAACAATACAGTTAACGGGCTTTAAAGCATTCCCCCCGTTCCCCTCCCCCATCCCCACAAATCAAACAAGAAACACAAACAATTTAAACATACAGAATAACAATCTTTATAAAAGGATTAATACGAAGATACTAGACGAGATACAATTTGCCTACGACGACCATGAAATTATCTTATTTTCTCAACGTTCAAATTTCGAACTAAGATGGATCAAGTCATGTTGTCCTTTGATCTTTGTAATACATCATGTTCTGAAATAAACACTTCCATAATTGTCTGTCAACACTTGGATAACGGATACTTAAAAAGATGGTTTTATAGTTGTGCTGACAACTTTATCATTGCAAGTCGGGTAAATCTGAAATATAAAAATACAAATATGTTTATGTTTGGAAACAAAGAGGTGTGAGACTCAATATAAACTTCTGTAAAATCTGTACATGTACAACAGCCTTAGTGACATCTCCTTGTAAGCTCCCAGACAGCCACTCCTTTTTAGCGACATCTTGTCGGTGGTCACAATAAACACCCTAGAATTAGGGGATTTGTCACACCAAAGTTTGGATTCGTGTGTAAAAGTACCACAGATAGGACCCAATACTCAAGCACCATAAAAAAACAATGACATGCTACTTACCATCATCATCACTATCTTCTTCATTTTCTTTATCCTATTTTTTAAAAAAAAAAACAATATAGTTATTTATTTTCACAATATTTTATATTTACTAGATGTACTATAAAAGAGCTAAATCTGCCTATTGTTGATCTTTCGTTTGGCTTCAAATGTTATATAAATTATTATTTCGACATTTATTCATATGACAAACTCATAATCAACTCTAGATCATTGGGTGGCAGAGAATTAAACAGAGTTTTACAATAATAAACAATCTATGTCAAAACCTCAAACAGTGATAACTCGGCTCAGAATAAAGTAATTTACCAAAATACGTAATTAAGCTAATTGCTTGCCACTAATTATCTGTAGTTAATGATAACTATTCAACAAGTTAAATCAAATACAATTTTTTTCTTTAAAAAAATAATAATTCTGACCTCATCTCCTGGTGAAAATCCTCCCATCTGATTCATCATCTAAAATAAAGCCAGGGTACAAGTTACAATGTGACATCAGTAATGACACCTAGTGATCTAGACAGTTCTCCAGTAGGTACATTCATGTTTCTCTAAACGACCAGACAAGACAATATTTGTCACTCCCACTACTTTCACATGGGCATTACAAGGTAGGAAAGTTTTAACCTGGGCAGCAGCATTTCTGCGTACTCGTCAATTTTAAGTGAACTCCAGTGGGTACATGCATGTTTTATCCACCCTATTTAAATAACCCATTGTCATCTATACAGTTATGTGTTCATTGCTAGGTAGGGAAGTTTTATCCTGGACAACAGCATTTCCACCTTTTCTTGACCAAATTTCAAGGACCAGTGGGTACATGCAAGTTTCTCCGCTCCATTTAAACAGAGAGAGAGAGAGAGAGATGGGTTTAACGTCCACTCGACACAAACTATGTCATTTCGGGACTAACATATGCTTTAATCTTATTTCAATAATTCGCTGCACGTAGGAGTCTTTAGCCTTTAGCAGTGGTAGAAAACCGGAGGACTCAGAGAAAACCCACGAGGTTGGAAAGGCGACCCTACTCCTTGTCACGTACAACCGGGGATTCGTATCCACGCCAGTTGACACAATGACAGGCCTTATGATATAGCGCACACATGCTAACCATTCGGCTATCCACCCCCACCCCCCAATTTAAACGATCTAGGCAAGACATTATTTGTCAGCCCCATCTAGATGCTACCCTTGACAAGAAGGTAGCCGAGTATAAAATGAGTAGAAGGGCCACTTGTCTAGCCTATATAAATATATAAACGTACCCCTGGAGGTAGTCCTCCCATTGAACCCATCATCTAAAATATATCAAAACATTTACAAATAAATAATCTTTCAATATATTGTATAAAATCATTTACAAATAAACCATCTCAATACATTGTAACACATTTTCTAGTATGGGAACAAGAGATTCTCAGTCGTGTTCTAGGAATGTGTTTCTGAAAGTGCTTTGTGGAATAGGAGAGAAATGGGGTTTAACGTCAACCCCCCTCTTTGTGGAATAGGAAATGAAAGGGGGTTAACATTGTATTGGTCTACTACATCTGGGATAATGAAGACGGACACATGCCATAGTGTGCTATAAGGAAGCTTTTGGTCGGACAGCAGCACTATGGCCTACTCTTATATTATATCGAAAAGCAACTGCCAAGGTATCTTTTACGTGCACTGAACATCGACTGGCCATAATTTTGGAAATGTAACTTTCTCATACTTGAACGATTTCATCTGCTGTCCTGCACCACTAACAAGCGGAAATTACGCCGGAAAATCCTGACGAACTTTCTTGGCCAACACAGGGATTGAACACAGAACCTCCAAGTTAGCTAGACGCCTTCCTCACCTGAGCCCAAGCGGCGCCGATTTATCGCACAATAATCAACTTACATCATCTAAACCGTAATTCTCATTATCTTCAGCATCAGAATCATCTTCATCCTTCCATTTATCAAAATCTGTTTTCAAAAAATGGGGCTGAAATGGAAAAGGCGAATTTTTAAAAAAAAAAACAGCGGCTGCCAGGCAGGATACGCCCACATTTTCGAGAGATGGATAGAGAACAAGCTAACAAGAAAGTGATTTTTCCTACAATCAAGGGCCACAATTCGATATGCGTGAATGTCGAAAGGAACCAAGATTTTTTGGTTATAAACTTACATTTCAAGTTTCAACAAAATCGGATAAAAATTGTGACCTCTATAGGGTCCACAACCTTGATATACCATATTTTTACTCAGTCGTCCTTAGGTTGTAACGGTGATATAATAAAACGTTTTTTTAAATCTGATAAAAATTATAACCTCTATAGGGTCCACAAGCTAAAACCGCGATTTTTCATACAATCCGGGGCCGTAATTCAGGAAGTTAAGGTCCGGTATGCACAAATATTGAAAGGAACCGAAATCTTTGGGTTATAAACTTACATTTCAAGTTTCAACAAAATCGGATAAAAATTGTGACCTCTATAGTGTCCACAACCTTGATATACCATATTTTTACGCAATTTGAGAACGAACGGCGGCCATTTTGTCTGTCAATTTTGGGTGGATTTTCACGAAATTCGAACTCAGCCGTCCTTAGGGTTTAACGGTGATATAATAATACGTTTTTTTTAAATCGGATAAAAATTATGACCTCTATAGGGTCCACAAGCGAATTTTCTTACAATCAGGGGCCATAATTCAGGAAGTTACGGTCCGATATGCGCGAGTATCGAAAGGAACCGAGATCTTTGGATTATCAACTTAGATTTCAAGTTTCAACAAAATCGGATAAAAATTGTGACCTCTGTAGTGTCCACAAGCTAAAAACGTGATTTTTCGTACAATCAGGGGCCATAATCCAGCGTATAAAAATTGATTGGTTGGTTGTCTTTTGTGTAATCAATAATTGACATGTTTAATATTGTTAAGTTTAATTTTTCAACACAAAGTTGGTCATTTCGGGACTAACATATGGTTCAATTTTATTTCAATAATTCGCTTGCATGTAGTGGTCTTTAGCAGTGGAAGGAAATCGAAGGACCCAAAGAAAACCCACGAGGTTGGACAAACGAACCTACTCCTTGTCACATACAACTGGGAAATCGAAATCACGCCAGTTGACTCAATGACAGACCTTATGATACAACGAGCATGCGCTAACCATTCGGCCATCCCCCCACCCCGACCCCAACCTACCATGATTTACCTTTTTTGTGTCTTTTAAGAGTCTTGGCCAGTAGCCAGCATCTTGATCTTTTTTCTTTATAAGAAAAATTATATCACGACCACTATTATGATTCTTCGAGTCCTGGAAAAGGCAAATAACAAAAAAATAAATTGTCTTATCAATGATGATATGTATTGTTATATCATTAACCAGTGGGTAAGACGCTGGCTCGCTAGTCTGGAGGTCGGTTGTTCGATCCCCGCATGGGCCGAGAAAGTTCATCCACATTTTCCCCCTTGTCAGTGATGCAGGAAGGAGGGCCTAACATGGACAGCTGTCTAGTCGTTTGGATGGGATGAAAAACCGAGATCCCATCTACACATTGCAGAGCACGTAAAAGATCCCTTGACAGCTGGAATTTAGGCCATAGCACCGCTGTGCGGCCAAAATTTCCCTCATAGCACACTGTATGGCGTATGCCCGTCTTCATTAGCCCAGTTTGGAGGAGATCAGTAGGATGTTAAACCCCATTTCATTTCATCATCAGCAGGATTAAAGCTTTTTTATATACAGCACAAGTTTTACTTAAATCTCAGTTGCTTGTTTTAACCAATATCCAAAATATCTAATAAATATGTTAATCTATATAAATAAAATCAAAGATGTCTGTGTGTATGTTAGCTTATCACACGTCGTCCCAGCAATCCACCCCACATACGTGGTATGAAATTTACCAGCATGACCCTGTGAATGATTTAGACCATGATTTATGATGTCAAGGTCACATATCTTGGGCCCCAAGTGAATCCGGGTATCCAGCTATGTTAAATGTTTAAGAAGTCAATACCTCTGGAATGACATCACTATAAAATTCTAAGTCCACTTCATGTAGTACGTTATCGTGGCCTCCCTTAGCTCTGAAAGATAGAAAGAATAAATATGACTGGACAACAAAAAGAATAAAATGGAATTAATCATCTTGTATTATAATTTTGAGACTAACATATGGTTTTACATGACGGGAGATAACTTCGTTGACAAGAGATATTTTCCTATAATATATCAACTGTAAACAATAAACATGTTTTTATGTTTTATCATGAGATAAGATCTTGGAGATAAACAACCTGTTACTCATTATCAGGGTATGAAATAAGCCTCTTATATGGTAACCTCAAAATAGGTTACGCTAATCTGCATCAAATTTGAACTGGTAACCTATAGGTTACGATGCCATATTTGTTTAGAGCCGACCCTCGAATTAGCCTAGGGGGATTTGGGGCCAATTAAAAGATTAGCCAGCTACCCCTAAGCTTATTAAATCAGCAGGGCCCATATCCCTAAGCGAATTAGTGGATTATTGTTAATCCTAAATCTCTCTACAAAATTGCAAATAACTAAATAAAAAAATTTTTTATACAAAAATGTACAGATTGTCGTGTTCTTTCCAATGATATAAAATTCAATTGTACAAACTAACAATTACCGGTATATTACTATAAATAATATTGAAAAGTCAGTTCCACTAAAATTATGACTTTTCTCTGTCATAATAAACGTGAACATGTATCTCCTAAGATTTTATTTTAAAAAAAGAACAGTGTTCAAAGTAAATATAAATATATAACTTTTAGAAAGAAATATCGCCCCAAATGACCGTCACTTCATCGCTATGTGACATTTCTGCCTTTGTTGGATATATGGTGGGAATTGTCGTCTTCTTTGCTTCATAGCATCGAAAATAAAAATATATTGTTGAAATCTTCGGCAATGTAATATTCCTCTATGTAGCTTGTATTAAATCCTAAAAGTTTTGATTCAATTAAGCTTTCCAAACTCTAGAATTATTATCCGTAAGTTTTGTGGTATCGTCTGTCTGGAAACGTATCCAAGATATGGCGGCCGACACGCTTGATCTCGGCTGCTTCGCATCATTCATAACGTCCCCCAAAAATAACAAATAGTTGATTTCTTCGACATTATCATGTTCTACGATATGCCTGGCAGTAAATCATAAAAAATCTGATTCCATATCACTTTCCATGTCATAAAATTATTAGCCGTGAGTGACAACGTGAAAATATTGGAATAATGCCAAAGTCATTGACACGGTGTGAATTTTCACCTCTGACCTATTACGTAAATACCGGAAGATCCATTGTTGAAAAGTATGTTTTTTATTTGATAATTTGCGAATATAACATTCCTTTTCATTGGGTGTTTTATTTTTATTACTCAATCACCATTAATTTAAGAAATAAAAACAATAGAAATCAGTTGATTGATCTGGCGCTTTCGTTCGCTAAAGAGGCAAATGAGTATGTCATTGCCAGGTATGATGGGTCCGCGAGTTGATTTGCTACCGACAAAATGACAGGTGCGAACTTAACGATCTTTCAGGCATTTATTTATAATTGTAAAATGTTTTAATGTAGTAGTGGAGGGAATATTTTAACTGAAACCTTTAGTTTATAAATTATAGCTCGGTGGTCGAGAACGGAAGTCCGTTCGCGTGTTTCCAGGTCATGGTAACCGATGCATAACCTGAACGACTGTTCGCGTGTTATTTCTTACCCTGATTATATCATATCATATTTAATTGTTGTATTGAAAAATAGTACTACTTTAATCGTAACGGGTTTTTTTCAGGTTCGTAAAAAAAATAAACAGAGTAAAGATTGTAAACATTATGTCAAATAATTTTTTTTTAAAACTAGGTAATCAATATATACACGTACCCTACACAATTTACCATGCCTGACATATTTTCAAATCTTAAACATATTTATTTCCGGTTGGTTATCCACACGCCTTTACACAATTCCAAATAAATTATGTTAGAGAGAGAAAGAGAGAGAGAGAGTTTAACATCCACTCAACACAAACTAGGTATTTTAGGACTAACATACAGCCTAGATTTATTTCAATAACTCTCTTGCATGTAGGGTCTTTAGCAGTGGGAGGACACAGAGAAAACCTATGAGGCTAGAATGGCGACCCTACTTCTGGTCATGTGCAAGTGTGGGACTGAAATCCTACCACCTAACTCAAATGACGGACCATTGATCTTAAACTCATATATTAAGATTGTTCAGCCACCCATGGCCAATCCTACTTACTTGAAATGTAGTTTTTTATCTGTCAAATCAATTTGAGAATCTTTAACATTTTCTAATTGTATTGTTAACCATATTCTGTCTTTTCTTTGAGCCCACAACATGGGAGGTACTCGAATACTGAAACATACAAAAATATATATATATATATCTAAAATTAACACCAGAGCCAGGTATTTGATTACTGAAATAAACAAAAGCACACGGGTGTAGTTATTAATAGAGGAAATGAAATGAAATGAAATGGGGTTTAACGTCCAATGTATACACGGAACAGATAGGGGTTATTCTATTTGGTATTATTATACAATATTGTTTATCGAGTATTAAAATCTATTTCAGTGGATAGATGTCTATATGGGAAGACGGTTTTCCGTCCCATCCGAACGACTATACGTGGCAAGGGAGAACTACGTCAGAAAATCCTGATGAACTTTCTCGGACAATACCAGGAGCAAACCCGAAACTTCGAGGATAGCGAGCCAGCAGGTTTCGTACTGAAGCACCACGACTCCCTATTTAAACAAGGATTGGTTACTGGATTATCGTAACCCTTACCTACATTTGTGCAGAATCCCCAGGAGAGAGAGAGAGAGAGAGATTGGGTTTAATGTCAACTCCACACAAAGTAGGTCATTTTGGGACTAACACATGGTTTAATTTTTTTTATTTCAATAATTCGCTTGCGCGTAGGGGTCTTTAGCAGCGGGAGGAAACAAGAAGAGAGAGAGAGATGGGGTTTAACGTCAACTCGACACAAACTGGATCATTTCGGGACTAACATACGGTTTAATTTTTTTATTTCAATAATTCGCTTGCGCGTAGGGGTCTTCAGCAGTGGGGCGAAACCGAAGGACACAGAGAAAACCTACGAGGTTGGACAGGCGACCACACTCCTTGTCACGTACAACCAGGGATTCAAAAACACGCCAGTTGACTCAATGACAGGCCTTGTGGAAAACACTGTACGGTCAACAAATGTTAGTCGGTCTGCGATGGGCTTTAGGATGTTAGTTGTTACGTCCTCAGATTATCAATGTGTACTTGAACTAAACTTGCTGGATTAACACAAAGGCTAAACTATTCTTCAAGCTATTTATTGCGTAGTTTTGCTGAATTCTGAATCAAATGTTTAATAATCTGTCACATGAAGTCAGTAACCTATTGAACAAATAGAAGATTTCAGTATTGGCTAATTAGGAATATTCTGGATCATCATACGTGATTATCTCCCTTCAGTATTAATAGATCATATTGCGTCAAATGAAAACGAAACTTGTGTGAAATTCCCCTTAATCAATGCGGAAAACGCCCACCAAAATCTAATACTGATCTTCAATCTGGTATTTCGTGTTGTTCAAATTTCACATTACTACACGGGTTGAAATAGTTTAGAAGAAAGCCGAATAACCGGTTTCGCATTCCCTGAACAAACGAAAAGGAAAATTCGCGACACGAATTGACGAAAAGAAAAGGCAGTGGCCGAAGTTTATTTCACTTGCAAAACATTGCATATCCTAAATAATTATGCCAAATCATATAAAATATGTAGAAGATAATTTGTTTCGGTCACAGATAAGTTTAATTCTATGCAAAACGGCTACAAATTAACAATATTTGTAATAATTCTTGCACAACGTTACCTTTTGTCCGCCATTGTGAAACGACCATGCCGCGAGTCACGTGGTAGATATTGGACAATCGAGTCTACACAAAATCTGAACAAAACAACCACCTAATTATCAGAGTTAGACCTGTGTAGGCTAGGTTATTCATTTCTCGCGAACAATAAACCACCAAGATGCTATATTTATTCAATAAATATGAGATATGTTTTATTTGCGGAATTTAGAAAAGGATAAATTATTTAATGAAAATGGGGGAAACTACTCTAATTAAAATCATAAATTCATTAATTAGAGTTATTTCCCTTGCGCCATCGGGTGGAGCGGGGAGGGGCCTGTTTCTGAGAAATCCGTGGATAATGCTCATAATCTTATCAGCTTATTAGTTATAGAGATACCACAATACATTCAAATATTCTAAAAGGCGGTAACGTAAAATAAATATTCTAAAAGGCGGTAACTTTTATTTTGGACAGAGTCCGATAAGAATCCGTTACTAAAGTAACTAACTTTTATTAACTTCTATGTAAAATAAATATTTTAAAAAATGGTAACTGTTATTAACTGTTTCCTTAAAATAAATATTCTAAAAGGCGGTAACTTTTATTAATTTCTATAAAAGAAATATTTTTTTTTTAAAAAAAGAGGTGACTTTTGTTACTATATTTTCGGAAAGTAGCCTAGTAGTCATGGGACTGAGATCCGAGCAGGGCCTGATTAACAACTTGGCATGGTGGGGTCCATGACTCAGGGCCGTCGACATGAGCCCCCCCCCCCCACACACACACACGTACACAATCTCAGTTGCGGGAAAAGCGATGTGAGCATGGTCAGACCGAGGACTACATCTGCTATAGTGGCAGAGGTGGGCCCTCCGAGACCCACCTCGGATTTTCAAAGTTCTGGATAGTGGGGCCCCTTCCATCCGTGGGTTCGTGTTGCGGTGGACATCCGAGAATTCGGTGTAATCTAGCGATGCCGTGTCGTACATTCGACTGTCATCTAGGTTTATTTTTATTTTTTTGATATTCAGCGGGAAAAGTATATCAAAAACGCGTTAAAATCCTCTTTAGCGGCAATATTTTGATTACAACTTGTTGTGCTACTGGAGGTGGAATCAACGCAGAATCTGTCAAAAATGTCATTGGTAATCTCCGAACATAGTGTTTTCTTTTTGTTGTTGGTGAATCGAGGAACGTTGATTTCTGGCCTCGTGTATTCATCGATGATTATACCCTAGTCTATAATTATTTGTTAAGTTGGTGTATATAATATGTGTAGTTTCTGTATAGACAATACTTACCATATTGCGCGTTTTGGTTCCAACAAAAATCATCTCGGTCATGTCGTAACGTTACGACCTTCGCGGATATGACTAAAGCCACCCCACCCCCTATTTATCACTGAACGACTTCAAATTACGTCGTAGGTTTGATGTAGTTACATTCATGTGTGTGAAATAATAATGCCTAAGTTCTCAAGGGAGGATTTAAGGGAGGGGTGGGGGCGATCCAATGGGCGCACTTTAGAACTGGATTCTTGTCTCAGATCCTAGTTTTCGAAATTTTCCGCTGAAGGCCACCTGGACCCAATGTTGAGCGCTTCGCGCCTTCGGTGCTCACAACGTACGATTTCGCTTCCGGTCCCCCCCCTCCTTTCCCCATATCCACGATCTCTGGACCCGCCCTTGGTCACTTGTGTTAGATTGAGTGCCCCCCCCCCCCACACACACACAATGGTTAATCCGGTGCTGGGTCCGAGTGGAAATTAGGTATTATCTCGGGATTAGATGTACCGCGTGGCTCATGCTTAGTAATATTATGGGAGATAATATATCTGATTATTAGAAATTTTTAAGTCCCCGAATCGAGTTTTAAATTCTCCAAAATAAAGGCCGCTCCAATGCAGTTGAGCGGATATTTAGCAAGTTCTTCAGAAATGTGACAGACATTTTGTAATATTCCACCTAATGTTTGTGTCATAGTTAAAAGGGGGCATATTGTGGTCATTGTCCGTCAGACTCACACATATGTAATGTGTATGCATTATCTAAATGTGTACACATTAATGAATGTATTGATGCGGCAGTTGCCGGGGGTGGGGGTGGGGTCGGGCACGAACGAGAATGAGGGCCCCATGCTAATTTATGTATGCTAATTTAGGGAAAGGGTTTTTTTTTTACATAGGCTAAGCCTGCCTGTTCCCCAATCCCATTCTGCCATCCTGAATAAAAATATTGTTTATAAAAAAAAAAAAAAAATTATGTATGTTGGGACTTTCTGTTCTGTCAATAAATGAATACTAAACTATAAATATTTGTTATTGTGTTACAAGTGGACATTGACATTTTTAATCCTGTTAGTGGTTGTGTACGTATGGGTCCCAGTGAACTGCTTTGCCCGTGGGCCTTTTATGCTGTTAAGACGGTCCTATACGACGGCGAACTTTGATACGCCGTTTAGCATACTTGGACTTCATCTTTAATTTCACCCGATGTTATATTGTTGATTCACATACGATCGAGCCGTTGAACTGAGAGTTGAGCAATATCAATATGATTTGTTGACATGAAGCTCTCTGACATGAATTTTGTCCTCGAAAAATGAAGATTTTTTCGAGTGGTTCCTGGAACCTTAAAAATCTGCAGAATGTTATGAAAAGCCAATTTAATCTGGCTATTTTAAAGATTTGTTGATTTGTATTTTTTTCTGGAGTTTAAGCTTCATTGATTTCGGTAGCCATGGCGATTCAGTGAGTAAAGCCCTTACTCAGTAACCAGTAAGTCCGGGGTTCGATCTAGGTGTTGGCCTAGAAAGTTTGATTGTTCAACGTGGTTTACCCCCTTGTCATTGTCAGGCAAGGAACATCGTTTAGTCGTTCAGGTGGGACGAAAACCCTAGGTCCCGTGTACTCTTTGTCCCAGCACGATTTCCCTCATACGACATTACATGGCATATAAACGTCTCCATTTAAAGTGGTGAGATTTAGGTTGATTTGTCTAATGTATTGGGTCGTATTTTTTTTTTTTTTTTTTAGCTAAACTATAATTAGCATTTCTTTCATTTTTCCCCCGGGGTGCTAACACCTTACATGGTCCAATCGCCACACGCATTGTTTTATTCTTCGTCTTTCTTCTTTTGTTCCTTCTTTTTGTGGACAGTTCATTATCGTTGGCATAAATCGTTTGCTGGAAATGCTACTAGGCATCAGAGGGTTAGGTGTCTCTTTTTATAGCAAATGGTATCTTTCTCCCTGGCAGTTTTTGTTGACCTTTAGGTCTGCAAACGAAGAGGACTGTTTGAATTTCCATTTTCTGCCAAGATTCAAGATTTTGAGGCGATAAAGAGCCAGGAAGTAAACAGGCGTGTATTAGGGAAATCGCCTACTAAAATGACGTCACTGCCTATAGATTTGTTTGAATAGATCTTGAAAAAATCGAAACGGTCACCCCTTCAATATTTTAATCAAATATGGGTGTGACATGTTGGACTCTTTGTGGCTATAAAGATTAAGATCATCTGAAGGTTTAAGGCGCGCACTGATCAGAAGTGAATATTCGCTAGGCCACTACAATCACTGATAAGATACATCGATGCGACTTAATAAGCCAAAAATATGAACTTTTTTTCCCCGACAAATTAAATTCTAAAACATTTTTTTTATGTATTAGAAAAATAAATAAAGACGTTTGAAGTATTTGTAGGTAATTTTTTTTCCCTATTTAGTGTAAATGGGTATTAAAATGAGTAAAAAGCAGCATTCTGCACGATTCAGTAACGCCTTATGTAGACAATGCAATCGCCATTGAGCCAATGCTTGGCATCGCGTGATGTGACGTCACGTGTTGAAGGCAGTCACCTTTTACAGAGATATTAAAAGACTTTCGTAATCCTCTGTGAAACAGACTGTTCAAAGAGATGTAATAGACTAACAGTGAAGTCAACGGGGAGGGAATTACTAGTCTGATTCCTGAAATGTAAAACAGAGTTATTCCCCTTCCATCTTTTTGCGATCAATAATATTGTGAAATATTCTCGAATATTAACTTCAGATGCATTTTAGACAGGGGTTGTTTTCACCAACAAGGATAATCCTAAATCCAAACACTCCAAATTTTGACAGTGTATATAGTATACATTTGTTTTTTCGTTTTTTCTTGCTGTCAAAATTTGCAACAATCGCTTATATTCAATGTCAAAGAAATTACTTCCGGAGTACCTGTTGTAGGCTGTTAATGTTGACAAGCAAGTGTGTGATGTAAACTTGAAGTCGAACGAATGGCGCTCTTTGTCCAGCACTTCTGGGTGAGTCATATATATTTTATTAATTCGTGATGTATTACTGACGACATTTGTGTTTGTGAAATCCCCGCTATTGACTCCAACTTTCTGACAGAATGACAGTCCTGTCAATAATACGGGAGACCGAATTTTCGACAATTGATTGCACTACTTCACCTTCGCGAGTGTTTGCTCAATGCTTTTCAAATGTATGTCTTGAAATCTCTTGGCAAATAATCTTCGTTTGTTTGCCGAAATTTATTCAAGGCGTATTTTTCAGTTGTCCTTTCCTTTTTTCTTTTTTTTTGAATTGTCATCTAAATTGTTATGGATTTTGTCATTTGGATTGATGCAATTTTTTTGTTCAATCAAGGAAGGAAAAGACAAAATAAAATGTCATCTGGGCCAGATTTGTCATTGACATCCATGGATATTTGATACCCAGAAGTAGATAAAGTTTTAACATCCCTATTTAAGTTATACTTAGTTATAACGTTAGGCCTATATGCAGCTCCACATGTTTGGCTTATGTTTTATTAATTGTGCATTTTTGTACATAGAGATTTGTAGGCCACTATACTTTCTTAAGCCCTTATCAAACTTTACAGAGCAAAAACTCCTAAATGCAATCTCTTTTCTAGACAGCGACATTGTGCGTGCAGAGTCAGTTCGGAGCTTCAGTACAGCTGTCCATCAGTGTGAATAGTTACACATCTCCACTGCAATTATACCGGAAGCTCCTGCAGTGGATACATTCAGATTCAGATTCAGAGCTTGAATACAATTTTCATGTCCTCTGCTTATAACCTAAAATATAGGACACTAACATCATAAATTTAGGAGTCCTGAATAGGTACAGAAATAGTTGTGGTAGAAGATTACATAATTATCAGAATTAAGAAAATACTTTAATCTCACTAATCCCAAGATCTGTAGTGTCAAAACTGATTTTGTTATTAAAGTATCTTTGGGAATCTTGAGTTCATAATTTGCTAATAGGATTTCTGTAGCCAGGTTAATTTTTTGACCTTACCAAAATAATCTGATTAGGATTGTTTAAAGATACATTATTGGAGATTAGATAAAGAGCTGGCAGTTCTCACTGTAATAATGTAAAGGCAATTTGCTGAAAATTTCAGTCAAATTGATCCACTATGAACCGAGAATTAAGCTATTGGAATTTCTGCCTAGCCTCGATCATCATTACTAAAGTCAGTATGATAAACAGCATAGTCTCGATTATCCATTTAATCATTAAATCGTGAAGAAAATTTATGCAGTACATCGGCTCATAATCCACTAAAGATTGCAGGCTAGCAATGCCATCGAGAGTTGATCATGGTCTGAATAAGTTAATTAATGTCTAATTAATAATTTAGATAACATTTCAGGCCTAAAGAAAGACCTGCAATAGACAGATTTAGCTCTTGCATAATGTATGTTTTATTCAATAATATGTTTATAGATCTGCTGTGGTTCATTTTATCTCCCAATCTATTGTATAAAGTATGGTGGCTATTAATTTATTTCCAATTGAGTCATGCCTCGGTGATATTAATGTACATGTAGCCTACATAGATTAATGTTTGACCTTTAAAAATGATCTCATTAAAGACCTTTTAATTCAGTAATCTGTTTATAGATATGATGTATATTTATAATATGAAGCAGAGCTCTATTAATTTATTTCCCAATGAGTCAGCCTCAGTGATCTAAGTATACCTGTTTAAATGATTCGGTGAACCGTGACGTACATGTACAAACACACTCATATATACAGCTGAACCAAGTAAAATATGATTTATTTTAATATTTATCCTGATTTTCTGCCCATATGACATACAAGAGTATATGGTGTATTTTAAGACCTTTTTTTTTATTTTCTCGAACTTGATGAGAACGAAGACCTAATTTATTCATAGATGACAGATAGACTTGGTTGCATAATTTAATATAATTTATGCGAGAAAACAGAGATAGAAGAAAGCAATACATGATGTCTAAACTTTATATTCAGCTGATTCACAAACTACAGATAAAAATGGTATAAAAATGATAGATTTTCTTCCTGGATGAATTAAAAAAGGTTTAATGTCCTACTTATATGATGCTTGGCTCAATGAAGACAGGCTTACAAATAATAGATGTACTGCCTAGATATAGGTTTAATGTCACACTCTTCTAATCAATTTCTGAAGACAGATATTTTGACAAGGCAGTGGCAATTCCACCTATTCTTCTTCAAATTAAAACTGCCAAGGGATCTTTAACGTGATATGTTTTTACTCCGTTTTGAAAGCGCTTTGAGCATGCTTATGGATGGATTTGGCGCTCTAGAAATCAACATTATTATTATTATTATTATTCCGTGTACACAGGATGTTGGTTTTTCATTCTATCTGAATGACTAGACACTTGCTTGGCTTTCCGTCCTGTGTCACTGACAAGGAGAAATCACCCTGGAAAATCTTGAAGACGGGCATACGTCATACAGTGTGCTACGAGGGAAATATTGCGGACAGTGGCACTACAACCTACTCTTATATCGAATTCCAACAGTCATGGGATCTTTTACCTGCATGCGAATGTGTACACGGGACCTCGTTTTTTGTCCCATCCGAAGGATTAGACGACTGTCCTTGTCAGGCCCTCATCCCTGCATTACTGACAAGGGGGAACCATGTCGGAAAATCTGGATGAACTTTTTCGTCCAATGCAGGGATCGAACACCCGAGCTCCAGGCTAGCGTGCCAGCGTCCTACCCACTTAACCACTGTGACCCCCCATTTGATTTAGAGAGCACGCACTACCTGGATGCCTCCGATGTACATGTATATATACATCACGATTTTGAAAAAAATAAATATTTCTTTTTTTAATGAGTGACTGTCCACTTTAATTTTTTTCTTATAGAGATATTAAAGTTACATGTCTAATCAGTTAATTATAAAATTTATTACCTGTACAGATATAATCAATCATACATACAGGTAAGGCCTTGAGGCATAAATAAGTTGACATATACATGCATCTACATCTATGTGGGTGTGAAATAGCTTCGCTGATAGCAAAGTGATAGCGTTGACAATGCATATATGTACACTCTGTCAGTAATTGTAAGCATTTGAATGTTTCGTTCTCCTTAGAAGGGGGTTCCCGGTTGGATGGCTGAATGGTTAGCACGTGCGTGCTGTATCATAAAGTCTGTCATTGAGTCAACTGGCGTGATTTCGAATCCCCGTTTGTACGTGACAAGGAGTAGGGTCGCCTGTCCAACTTCGTGGGTTTTCTCCGGGTCCTCCCACTGCTAAAGATCCCTACGCGCAAGCAAATTATGGAAATAAAATTGAACCATACATGTATGTTAGTCCCAAAATGACCTAGTTTGTGTGAGTGGACGTTAAACCCCATCTCTCTCTCTCTCTCTCTCTCTCTCTCTCTCTCCTGATAAAACATCATTCTGCACACTGAGATAGAATACTGTCCGGAATGGCCGCTATATCCCAAATTTAGTATACTATTTTTCAGTGCAGTTCTACTCTGTTTCACATCTGTCATAAATAAACATTTTCAATTTTTTAAATGGAAACAGAATAAATACTTCTCAAAATTCTCGAAGTACTACTAGTACTTAGTTTTTTCGACAAATTGTCATTGATTTAGGAACTAAAATGTTGGTCAAGAATGTTGATTTCAGTTAAAAATTTGAAAATTGTTGATTTACCTATTCTTATAGCGCCAAACTTATAAAGGGAAATAACTCTTCAGTGATAGAAAGAAAGAGTACAGATTTAAGTTGGTAAAATTATGTTCTTCTTATTACCAGTGTGTGCCTTATGCTTGATATGATAATTACAAAATGGCTCTTGCAAATTAATTTGTCAAGAAAGATTTCAGTCAGATAAGAAAGAGTTTAATGAAAGAAAAAAAACTTTTTACTTTCTTTTTAACCCTGTGAATATTATATTCCATTATTTTAATTGTAAACGAAAGCCACAGTGGCTAATTGAGTAAGACAGTGACCAAGCGAGTAACTCAGTAAGGCACTGGCTCGCTAGCCTGGAGGTCGCGGGTTGGCTTCCAGTATTGGCCGGTAATGTTCATCAGGATTTTCCTGGCATGGTTTCCCCTTGTCAGTGATGCAGGAAGGAGGGTTTGACAAGGACAGCTGTCTAGTCGTTCGGATGGGACAAAAACCGAGGTCCAGTGTCCACATTGGTGGTGTGCACATAAAAGATCCCTTGGCAGTTGCAATTCGATATAAGGGGAGGCCATAACGGCGCTGTCCGGGCAAAATGTCCCTCATAGCACACTGTATGGCATATGCCCGTCTTCATTAGGCCAGTTCGTAGCAGAACAGTAGGACGTTAAACCCTATTTCATTTCATTATATGTATGCTATCAACCAACAGACATTTGGACATATTAACAAATGTATTTTGAGTTGATTGTTAATTTTCAGTCTGCTACAGTCTTTAAAAGCAAAACTTTGTCTTTTTTTGGACGCATAGTCTCCCTGTTTAAAAAAAAAAAAATTTGTTGTGTTTTACGTAAAAAGCAATTTATAAGAGGTATATATAGTTTGTGATTTATAATATGTTATCGTTATTTTTTTGAGAGAATTAATAGAATTGAGAAGTGTAGCATTGTTGCTTCAAACACTAAACTGTTATTCTGTTTTCAAGGCTTGTCTTCTGTTATTGTATTGAAATTATAAAAGAAAGGGTGTACAGTTAACAAGTACTTGTTATTTTTCTGTTTAACACTTGTCATTGTTTTATGCATTTAACATTGATGCATGTTGGAGTCTAGGTGTGATGCATGTTGGAGTATCTGGTTAACTGTGACATGGTCTTCTGTTTGACTAAGGAGGGGGTTTGGTTTACAAATATAATTGTTTTCGAATTTAACATTTTTCGGAGGTTTTCCCATTAAAGATGCATTAGGTAAGATTAGATAAAGAGCTGACAGTTCTCGCTATAATACTTTACAAATAGATAATTGAAAATGAATATATTGAAAAT